AGGTGGAGTCAGGGAGGTTTTCTTTCTCCCAGAGTTCCCCGACGATGGCTTACAGTACAACAGTGATCAACAGTAGAAGGACAGTGCTTAGAGGCTGACCGCTCCAAAAAGACAAGGGAAATAAGTAAAATCACAACAACGGGGACCCACAACATTCCTTAAGAATTTCCTGCAAAATTTCAGTTCCTGCAGGGGCCAAAGAGTGGGATCATTTTAGGAAAGACGCATCCTGCTCGTGGGTCCTGGATGCTAGATCCTGAACAGCAGCAGCGGCATCCCAAAACACATAGGAAAACAAAGAAGCAAAAACCATAAGCTCCAGAATCATTTAAAGTAGTAACACCATATCCTAAATCCTATAAAATAAGAATAAATATATTGTAAGCACTGATTATACAAGGCCTCCCTGTGTTCTCTAAACAGCTCTACTGTGTAGCCTAAAAATGTATATTTAGTTACAAGGAGCTTTAAACATGTAACTGACAATAACTGTCTTCTTGGAATTCAGAAGAGTCTTTGAGGTACTGCTACAAATGGCCTAGCTCTCCTAACAAAACTAAACAAGTACAAACTCCAACCCAAGAAGTATGTGCTGCTGCCTTCTTATTCTCATCACATGTGTTAAATTAATTAAACAAGGAAGGCATTAGACCAAGGTGACTCAAATGCTCTAATGCAGCTCTAACGCTTGGCACCTACATAAGCAAACCAAAATCTAAGCCTGTAAATGCCTCAGGGTTAAGAAATCGAAACCTAAGTAGAACCAATCACAAACAGCCGACTAGGCTTTCCTGAATGCGGCAAAGGCTTAAGCTACAGCCAATCATATAATCTCCTTGCTTTGCTTCTAAGTCTTCTCTATGAAAGTCCTGCCTCTAGCCCCTAACTACCTCTGGTTTGTCTCTGCCTGATTAGAATCCATATTTGCTCAGGTAAATGCTTAAACATTTTAATATGCGTCAGTTTATCTTTCAGCACATTGAAACTCAGTCCTAACTACCATCCTGGCTTATTGTCATGTTCTCTGACATTTAAAAGAGATCACCCACCTCATCCCCACTCTCACCCCGCCACAGTTTAAAATAAGGGAAGTAAGACTCAGGGAGGTTGAGGGACGGTCACAGTCATAATGACGCTAGTGTTTATCCCTCCATGAAGGCTAACCAAATCATTTTAATGACACCTAACTATTATATCCACGTAGGTTGCCAGTCCTCAGCACATATGAGTGACTAGTGTAACTCAGTTATGACTGATAGAAAAACTAAAATGAAAATTAAGATGAGGTATCATGTTCAGTCACATGAGAAATCTATTATTTTGAAGGTTGCCACAAATGCACTGCAATTCGGATGTTCATATCAGACCAAAGACAATTTGGAGTGTTCTTAGTCATGTGAAGCTTATAGTGGCAGTCAGTCCTCCAAGCAATTCACACATCGCAGAAATGCATTTTTAATCATAATTTTATAGGGCTGTATTTTTAAAAGCAACTTTAAAGATATTTCATTGAAAGGAATATGTCAGTAAAATGACTAAAATTCTGAAATCCAATCACAGCTTCCTTCACTTCCTCTCCTTCCCCACTCCCTCCAAGCCACCATCAGTCCACACTCGATTCTGACCCCACTTGCCTGACATAAGCCTGCAAGAACCATCACTGCAACACCCTGCTGGCCTCCTGAGAAAAGCATTCTGGTCTCTCCCTTTGTCTCTCCGCCACAAATCTGCAAGTCCCTCCCTAAGTCTTGGTGGTCCTTTTGTTTGCCTTGAATAGACCTACTTTCACATCCACTATAATACCAGCAGCAAACTGATTCCATATTGCAGCCTAAATCCTACCCACATCCACAAGAAGGATTGGGCCATCCAAGCACCCATTACAGATACCAATTTATCAGGAAGGTGCACTAAGCCAACACAGGAATGTTGGCAACTTGTTGCCAGTGAACTCAGCTGTCCACATGAAACTTTTCACATAACTGGCCAGACATAAGCCCACTACTAGCTCCCACCAACATATATATTAAAGCATCCTGCAAGGCACAGCCTTTTCTCTACGGTGCGCTTTAGCAAGTTAGATGGTTTGCCCACAGAGTCACAGATCTTGAGATCAGCTGATAGAACAGCTGAGGCCAGCACCAAGGGACCAATGACATGCTGAAACTGCAGGATGCAGACTGTAGTATTTATCAGCAACAAGTGGTTCACATTATTATCTCAGTTTGAAGCACTGACCTAAGACTTCCATGAAGTTGTCTGGTTCAGTAATAAAAAAAGAAACTCAAAAAAAAAAAAAGAGAGAGAGAGAGAGAACTAAAGAAAAATGAGATCTGTTTTGCTATCATGTAAGTCAGGAAAAGAAACTTTTAAATACATATTGAACTACACTTTACTACTATTCAACAATTCATGTATTCAATACATGAATAGTACACTTCCCCTATACTTAGTAAATAGGAGTACTCACCACTACAGAAAATGTGACGTGTGAGACAATTTCAACTAAGCGTAAATGTTATGCTACGTCTGGGTCTGTAATAAACCCCAATTTCTAAATATAAACAGAGGCATGCAATTTTTTAAAGAGAAAATCAGCTTCTCTTTGTTATAAGAAAATGACTAGTAGATAAATATTTAAGGAATACCACTTCAAGACTGCCAAACTATTGCCCTGCCCCAAGAATTACCCCACCGCCCCATAACATGCTGGTCTGGCCCTGACCTCAGCCCCATTTTATTAGCCCATCCACACATAACATGAATCCCAGCTCTTCTCCTGCAATCCCTCCTCTCCCCCGCAAAGTTATCCCCCTTGTTATTTCTGTCTGTGGCTTCTATTTCAAAGGCAGAGAGGTTCCTTTTCTTTCCAATCTTGCTTCTTACTCAGTTCCCACATATAATTTTGGTTTTATCAATCCCTTCCTCCCCCACCTCTTTAGTCTCCTCCTCTTTACTTCAATCCTTCCTCTTGGGTAACACCAAAGGGAGCACGAGGCTCCGTTACCCTAACACACTCATTCTTCTCCTCCCTGCTGCCCTGACTAACCATCCGTGCTCTTCTGCACGTCATCTCCAAACTTTCAAAGGAGCATTCTACTTGAAAGAGTTAAGTGACCTCTATTTCCTCACCAGTTCCACATGCCTTAACCAAGTGCAAACACACTGACAACAGAACTGCAACAAGGAGGCTGGGGGCAGCTGCGGCAACCTGAAGGGGTCAATCCCCCCCAACCTCTCACACTCCCTCCACTACACCGCCGACACAGGGCCTCCAGCCAACATCCAACCCAAGAGGAATGAGGGCTAGGGGTGGTTTGAAATTTGGGATTTTTATGTGAAATCTAACAATTTCTAAATATTAGCTATTAATCTGATTTTTTTAAACACTGAGAATGAAATGAATTACCTTCTTATGGTTGGATTCAGCCTACAGCCCTGAAATTTGCAAACTATGCTTTAAATCTAAAAACAGTTTTAAAAGTCATCAGTGACCACTTAGCTGCCATAACCAATAGCCTTTCTCACCTCATGTTTTTCACCTTTCCGTGTGCGGTGGTGGGGGGGGCGTTTTATCACCAACTCCTGTGTTAAACAGCCATAGCCAAGATTCTGTGACTCCATTCCTTCCTTACTGTTCTGTCGTCACCTCTTTCCTTAGCTTGTCTTGCTTGATCATTTTCTTTTTTCTCTTTCAAAAACCCCTAATTGCAAAATCATCTAATATCTGGGATTCAACTATTCCCACTACAGAGCTCACTCTCCCCGAAAAACTCCAGCTTCTCCCCCAAGCTCCAGTCTCAAACTTCTGTGTATAGGGTCAAGAACCCCCAAAATACCCCCTAATTCTCTTCCTTAGCACTGTTGCCACCAAATCCACTTATTCTATCCCTTTCCTTTTAGCCAACCAGCCTCAAAACTCCACCAACTGCTCCGTCACTCCTGACACCCAATCAGTCATCACTTCTCTTCTGTGCCCTTTGCAAAATCTGTCATAAATGTCTCCACCTTTTCTTTCTTCCTCCTTGACTCTCATTAGCTCTCAGCTGGAGGACTAATCCCAGAGCCTATAAATCCACCTCCCCGGCCCAGGTCCTTCATCTCTTCACCTCCACCCTGCTGCAAAATTCATCTTCCTGAAGGACTCAAGTCCTGGCACTCCTGTGCTCAGAACAATTAAACTGGTCCCTGTTGCTTACCCAGAATTGAACTCATCACCCTACCTGATATTTTCAGACTGCTCCTCCTGCATTTCTTTCAAACCCCGTGCATTTCAACCAAACTCACTCACCTGTTCTGCAAACACACCTCACCTTCTTTACTTAAGCCACTCTCTTGCATGAAATATCGTCCCTTCCTTCTACCAAAATCCTAAGTGGCAAGCAAAGTCCTTTTTATAAATGTTCGGACTGCCTCCTTACTAATGTAATCCTATTCTCTGAAACCCCATAACTCTGGATCTATTCCTCTGGTGGACTTAACACAGTGAAGCCTCCATTAAGAGCTCATGATTCATGTGTTATCTCTGTAAGATGATGGGTTCCTTGGAGTGGCAAGTTTGGGGCCCCATTTGTCTTGGACCACTCACAATGCTAGCAGTGACTTCCATCTCCATATCTGAGGACCAGATGACTGGGCCAGTTTCCTGACTGCCTGCAACAGTAATAATAATCACAGTATAGGTTTTCACAGGCTGGGGTGGAGCCTAGCAGTATGAGAGAGTTGAGGATCGCCTGTCTTTCTGGCTGAGGCAAGTTTGGGATTAGAATGATATATAGTGGCATAGTGGGCCAGTTACAGGTGCAATCTCATATTTCTTACTTTAGCTTGACATTGGTTCCTGTCAAGTGAACTTTAACTGCTATTTCCAATTCTCCTTCCAGTTTGAGATTAGAGCTGGTATTTAGTCACCAAGATAGCAAGCTCCTCTGTGGCAAACTAGATCTCCTCAAAGATTCCCCCCTCCATCCTGTCCCCTGGTTCTATATCCATTGTATTACCTTGGACTTGTCCTTCTCCAGGATTCAGCCCACAGCGCCTGATCCACAAAGTTGCCTTGGACTACAGGGTTTTCATTTCATTCTCCTAAAAAATAAATGTAACATTTTTTATTGAAACATCCCACATGGCTAAAAGAATTCAAACAGAACAAAAGTGTACTATATGAAAAATCTCCCTCCCACACCATAGCTCCCCAGTTGAGGAGTCTCTCAGTCTCCTAAGGACAACCGCTAAACCATTTCTTTGGGTACCCTTCCAGAAGTTTTCCCTCACCTGCAAATATATATAACATATAATCACTTTTGTATAGGAACAAAAGAACACAACGCACACTATACTTGGTTTTTGTTCTTAACAATATTCAGCAATTGTAAATATTCAGTAACTTGTAAATCTAAGTTAATACACAGAAAGCCCTTGGAAGAGTACCTGGCCCACAGTCAATGCTCAATGACCCTTCAATGGAACCTAGCAGAGGACATTCCAAGATTCTAAAGTTCATACCTATTAGACCCTAGGAGCACACAAAAAAACACTGCAGTTCTCCTGCACGAGAGCTCAGAGGTGCTTCTTTCCACTCATTCCAGAGACAGGTTCCTGCAGACTTGGCTGTCACCTCTCACACTGCCACCAGAGTTCATCCTCTCAACCAAGACACACCTCCCTTCCTCTGATCCCACCAAGCTAAACAATCCATGCAAGAATAAAGGCCTCATAATGAGTTTTGTTGCAACCCCTTTCAGAAAACTGAGAAAAAGCCGCTTCTTGCCCTTTAATTTGATTACATGGCAACGAAAGATAAATTACTATGCGCTGTGTGAAATCAGCACCCCCGGTTTTGCCCAAGCTGGCTCAGCACCGCGCCCCGTCACGGTAACATGGAGAGTCTCCGCCCTTCGGCTCCTGTCCCAAACCTCTCCTACCAAGCCCTCTGATTAGAGGAGAGCTCCCAGGAGGTGTAAATTAAGAAGTTAACCAGACCAGGGCACAGCTGCGAGTTGGAGCACCCTTGGGAGACCACCAGAGAAGTCTTTGCTCCCCTCGAAAGCAGCTTTCAGTTTAAAGCTCTGAAAAACTTCTCCCCACCCTCCCATCCCTGCCATTTTCGCCAGTTTCAGTGCTCCCTCCCCCGCGGAGGCCTGCAGGACTTCCCGTTGTTCGGTTCACACACCTGAGGAGCCTCTCACTTCCGCTGCTGCTTACAGGCAGCCTACCCAGCATGCACAGCGGCAGACCGAGCACCACTCCCCCTGGGGGCGGGGGCGGGGGGAAGGGCAGGGCCAGAGCGTTTGGCTCTTGAGGTTTTTGGGGTGTCTGTAGAATTTGGGAGAGCTTGCATTTAGTGAGAAGCTGGTGACCACTGCTCGTGAACAACGAGTTGAAAATCCTTTTTTTTTTTTTTTTTTTTGCGGTACGCCGGCCTCTCACCGCCGTGGCCTCTCCCGTTGCGGAGCACAGGCTCCGGACGCGCAGGCCCAGCGGCCATGGCCCACAGGCCCATGGGATCTTCCCGGACCGGGGCACGAACCCGTATACCCTGCATCGGCAGGCGGACTCCCAACCACTGTGCCACCAGGGAAGCCCGAAAATTCTTTTAAATTCCATCCCCCCTAGAGACTTTTCTCTGCAAGTACACGCGGGTTTATGGGCTGGAGGACACAATGTGCACGCACAAACGGGGTCCCCCAGCAACTGAAAGTAGGGAGAAATGCCATCACAGTGGCACCCTGATTCTCATTAGGGGAAGAAACATGAGATGCTTGACCCTTTCATGTTACTTGCTGAGAGGCTTATGTAGGGTGAGAGACGGGGTCAAAACAGGCCAGCTGTAGACAACTGTTTTGCCACTGACTTTGCAGACATTTCCCAAAGCCCTGTAGCACCCGATACCCGTACCGGCATAACTGCACACACACAGGGAGAGTGAGCCTTCTTTCATAACAGCTGCAGCTTCTTAACGGAATGGCCTTTCCACTGAACCTGTCATAGAGACTAGCCCAAAGCCCCTGTCAACAAGAATATTAAAAATTCAGGAAGAAGTTGAGTAAACAGGGCACTGTTGCTTAAAGTGGTACTTGGTCAGGCCGCCCCGGCCAACAGAGATCCAGGGACTACTGAATGACCTCAAGTGTTCTGGACCAGAACGAATAAGGAGAAACTTCTGTGAGCAAGAAAAATAACCAGGTCAACCTCCTAGAGCCCTGGGTGTGAACAAAAGGCTAGGGTCAGAAGGGTACCCCAAGCAGTGTGTCAAGGCTCGGACCAACCTCGAGAGGAACATCCAGGGATGCACTGGGATTGTGTCACGGATGGAATGTGGGCTGCAGGCTGAGCACTGTGCTGAAGGCAAAGTGACAGAGTCCCTGCACACGGGTGTGAGAGAAGAGCGGGGTGCACATTTAGGGGAGGGATCAGACACTCTCCAGGGGAGGACGGATGACAACTCTGAGCAGCTGTCTGCAAAGTTCAGGACTGCAGAGCCGTTCCAGTGACTTTAGGGAATTAAGATCTTTGGGGCAGGAGTTCCAGACAAAACTATGAATTTAGTCTAGCTTCCAGTTGCTTCCAGACAAAAACCTGGGCGTCATTCTTGGCATCTCTCTCTCTCTCTCTCCCTCTCTCGCCCCCACCCCACGTCCAGTCTATCAGGGAATCCTATTGGCCCTATTTTCAAAATATATCTCAATTCCGCCCAGTTCTCAACACCTCTGCTGCTATCACCCTGGTCCAATCTATAGCATCTCTCACCTCAATTACTGAAATAACTTCTCCAGGGTTCTTATTTCCACCTTTGCTCCCCTGCAATCCACACAGCAGCCAGAGGGATACAATGAAAATGTGAGTCAGATGGTGTCCCTTCTCTGCTGGAAACCCTCCAATGGCTCCCCATCTTACTCAGAGGAAAAGCCAAATCCTTCCACTGTCTTACAAGGTCCTGCGCAGACTGGGCCCATGGTCCCTTGGTCCTCATCTCCTCCTGCTCTCAGCCTCACTCCCTCACTCTGGCCGTACCGGCATCCTCATCCTCCTTGAACTGACCATGTCCACTCCTGCCTCAGGGACTTCCTCAACTATACTTCCCTCGGCCTGGGAAGCTCCTTCCCAGGATATATTCATGACTCACCCCTCAGCTCATTCATTCTTTTCTCAAATATGAAATTCTCAGGAAGATCTACCCCATCCAAAATTACAAGTGCATCCCCTTTGAACTGCTCTACTATTTTCATATCATTTATCACTTTCTAATGTGATATATAAGCACTATATATAGAATGCATTTATTATACATTGTCCTTCCTCACACTAAAATGCAAAGTTCCATGAGAGCAAGGAGTTTTATGTAGTTTGTCAGTTGGTGGATTTTTTGAGGCTACTAGAATGTCTGGCTTACAGATGGCTCTCAATACAAATAGTTTAAATGAATAAGTAAAGTAATTTAGGGTTGAAGCCATCGAATGGCCCCTTCACCAGACTAGTAGCTCCTCTATGGCAGGAAAGGTACCATCCATCCATTCATACGTGTGATACATATTTATTGAGCACCTAACCTACACAAAGCACTTTGCTGGGGTCTAAAATATAATGGCGAAAAAAACATAGACGGTCCTACCTTCAAGGAGCTTACAACTTAGTGACTGGAGACAGATAACCCTGCAAATAAGGGTTATTCAACAATAACCCTGCAAATAAGGAGATAATTACAATTGACATAAGTGTACTATTAAAATAGTCCAGGAAAGACATTCTGTTTTGAGTTAGGTTGGTAGCAGAGGAAATGGAAAGAGCTGAACTGATTCGAGATTACTTAGAAGATGGAAAATACAGGCGTTGTCAATGGATCAGATGGGGTTGGAGAGAATTTTATGACAAAGGTGAGTCCTGAATTTCTGGTTTAAGAAACTGGGTGGATTGAAGTGCCCTTTGCATGGGTTAGTGTAGGAGGCTTGATAACGGACCCTCAAAAGATATCCATGTCCTCAACTCTGGAACCTGTGAATGCTACCTTATCTGGAAAAAGAGTATTTACAGATATGATTAATTTAAGGGCCTTGAGAATGAGAGATTATTCTGGATTAACTGGATGGGCCCTAAATACAATCTTCCTTATAAGAGGGAAGCAAAGGGAGATTTAAACACACACATACAAGAAGGCAATGTGAAAATGGAACAAAAAGAGACTTAAAGATGCTGCCCTTGAAAATTGGAGTGATGTGGCCACAAGCCAAGTCTGATAATTAATTTTCTGTGTCACCTTGACTGGGCCATGGGATGTCCAGACATTTGGTCGAACATCATTCTGGGTGTGTTTGTCAGGGTGTTTCCTGATGAGATTTTGTTTGACTCAGTAGACTGAGTAAAGCAGGTTGTCCTCCCTAATGTGGGGCCTCATCCAATAAATTGGAGACCTGAATAGAACAAAAAGTCTGAGAAAGAGGAAACTTCTCCTGCCTAATTGCTTGAATCAAGACAGTCCTCTTCTCCTGCCCTCAGACCGGAATTTACAGCATGGACCCTCCTGAGTCTCTAGCTTGACGACTGCAGGTCTTCTCACCCTCCATAGTTACACGAGCCAGTTCCTTATAATAAAACTATACATACATACACACAAACACACACACACTACTGGTTCTGTTTTTCTGGGAAACCCTCACTAATACACCAAGAAATGTTGGCAACCACCGGAAACTGGAAGAATCAAGGAACAGATTTATCCCTGAAGCCCCCAGAGAAAGTGTAGTCCTGCTGACATCCTGATTCAGCCCAGAGGAACTAATTTTAGATTTCTGGCCTCCAGACTGGGAGTATAAGTGTGTGCTGTTTTAAGCCAATCCATTTGTAGTAATTCATTACAGAAGTCACAGGAAACTAACGCAATGGGAAGCAGTGTAAGAGGATCATCTAAGGGTAAGGGGACATCAAGATTCAGTTTGGAATATGGGATCTGAGATGCCTGTCACACACCTAATGGAGAAGCAGGCCAAAAAGGGATTTGGATATGCAGGTAGGAGACTGATGGAATGGTCTGAGCAATCATTATCAGTCCCACGGTCCCAGAGCCTGGAAACCATGAGAAGTAGAGTGAAAAGGAAAGATGGCCAAGCACCATGTCCTGAGGAACTCTCAACATTGAGAGGACAGGTAGAAAGGTAGCCTGAAAAAGAAACAGGAGATCATGGGGTCTTTGAGGCCAAGAGATATGAATGTTTTTGAATGACAAGAGTGATAAATTCTGGAACAGAACCCAGTCTGGAGTAGATTTAAGATTGAACGGTTGATGGGAAAGCAGAGAGAGCCTGTGCGGGCAACTTATTCTTGAATTTTGTTTGACTTGGAACGCACATAAAGAGAGTGGATAGTTGCTACGGACAATGGATCCAGGGAGGATTTTTCATTCTTATGTTCAGATAAAAGAGTTTCAGGCATTGTGTATGACTTGGAAATGACCCAATAGAATGGAAACAAATAGAAATTCAAGTGAGGGTGAGGTTACCTGCTGAAGCCTAAGAAGGGGAGCATACAGAGATCAGGTCTCAATCCTGGCTGTAGTTTAGGTGTCCCTGAAGACATTTTAAAAATTCTGATTCCCAGCCTGCACTCAAGACCAAAGACACCAGATTTTCTGAGTTGGGAGCCAGACATCAGTCACTGTTAAAGCTTCCCAGGTGATTCCAATGAGTGGTCCGTGGGATTCAGAGCACATCTGGAAGGAGTGGCATTGGGTCCAAGGAGAATCAGGTGCAGGTGCAAATAAGTTTGGAGGTTTGGTGGGTGTAAGTTAGAGACTTCCCAACTTCACCTTTATATTTCCAAAATTCAAGACAAGGTCAAGTGCTAAGCATGTGCTGAGTGTATAAATGAATAAGGAGAAGACTGAGAGCTGAAGAAAAAACGACATTGTTCATACTGAGAGTGGAAAGGGGAAGATGCCTCAACTGGAAAAATGTGGGAAGAGTGTGGAAAGGGCTGTGAATTTATAGCTATACCTTCCATCCATTCATTCAACTGGCATTCATCAGACAGACACCAAACCAGGCTGTGGGGATAAAACATAAGCAAGGCATTGTCCCCAACCTCACAGCTTTCACAATTCAATGGAGGAGAGGGACATACAAGGAAACAGAACATTCAAGAGCTGTAATAGAATCAAGCACAAGGGATAGTGGGAACGTAGACCTTTGTAGGGACAGAAGTCACCTCCTCCCATAACAGTACTTGGCACATGCTCTTGAGACATATTCATTGTACTCCAAGCACCTTATCATCCTGAGGAAACAGAGGAGGAAATGACAGCTCAGCTCTTATTCTGCAGGTATGACTAAAGCAACCCTAAAACTGTAATGACATGTCAGCTGGTCAGTGCCACATGGGGTCTCTAAGCAGGAGAAAGCCTCAGCTGTCAGGCAGGGTGGTGGCAATGCTGAGGTCAACATGGGATGTTCTACATCAGGGGTCCCCAACCCCCGGGGACGAGGACCACTACCGGCCCTCAGCCTGTTAGGAACGGGGCCGCACAGCAGGAGGTGAGCGGTGGACGAGCGAGGGAAGCTTCATCTGCCGCTCCCCATGGCTCGCATTACCTCCTGAACCATCCCTCCTCCCCCACCATTCCCCCGCCCCCGTCCATGGAAAAGTTGTCTTCCACGAAACTGGTCCCTGGTCCCAAAAAGGATGGGGACCACTGCTCTACGTGGTAATCTTCCAGGTGACATTCAGAAAGTGGTCACTAGGTGGCAGGGTTAACATTTGCAAAAGAGCTGCCAGTAGCAGTCACTACTAGCTAGATACTCGCTGGAAACATTTTTTGTTTCCATCCCGAAGGGAAAGTGGAGCCAAGTCCTAGGGACATAGGATGATTGGGTAGAGTTTCTCGAATTTCACCCAGAGCTCCCTCCATATGCAATCCCTCGCTTCTAAAGCTGGACCCCTCTCTGCCTTAGGGACACGGGCCTCAGTACACACCCGGTCCTAAGAAGCAGTTGCAGAGTGGGGTTTGCAGTGGGGAGGAGGACAGGCTGCAAAGTTTTCTTCAAAACACTGAGGGAAACAAGTGGCTCTGATGGGTTTTTTCCCTTCTTCAGATTTCCCTGTCACCGTCTTTCTCCTGTTTTATCTGGTGCCAGGCTCCCTAGGTTCAAGCCCTACCTCAGCCACAGAGCCAAATGGCCTTGAGCAATTTACTTAGCTTCCTTGTGTTTCTTTACCCAGAAATGACAGAGTGTAGTCATAAAGATTAAGTGAGTTAAAATCTCTAACTTACTTAGAACAGTACCTGACAATAAACAGTAAGCACTATGTACTAAATATTATTATTTTCTCAATGAAAAAAAAAAAGAACTTTTTTCTAAATTCCTTATGAAGATGGTAAATAGTTGGCACTCTAAGTTGTAATTTAAAAACATAAACAACTTCGAATCCCAATTTTTCAGATGAAAGTATAAAGAAAAAAGTGACAACACAACAAAAGGTACATCTATTCTGGAATGGTGAACCATGGTCAGGTTCTTCTCCTGGTAGAATTCTAGACTGGAAATGGGCCACCTCCTGCCAGGGAAGCATCTAACCCTACAGGTATCCAGCTTCCCACTCCCTTCCCTACAGAAAAAACAAAGCCTGAGACCCCAGTGCCAGCAGGTGCTTTACAACCTGTCCTAGGTCTTGATTGTGGTGGTGGTTCTCTCATTCCCCATGTGAGCACAAAACTCTGGCATCACAGCCGGCAGCCTCTCCAGATACTCCAAAACTGCATTGCCCCACCAAGGCTATACATTTTTTTTTTCCTGAAAAAACAAACAACAAACAAACACAGCTTGGGATAGCTCAATTTCAACCTTGGTTATGACCTTATCAACTCATACAAAGCAAAGTTTTTTGTCATTTGTTTAGTTTCTAATTGGCTCTTGAATAGTGACTGTGCGTGTGTTTAAAAGTACAAGTCAGCCTCATTTTTCACAGCAGATAGACATGTAGTTAAATTTTGAAAAATCTGGTCATAAAAACTGCACGAGATTTGGTTACAGGAATTCTACGATACAGTGTAGTCACAAACTGAGTTCTTTGATAAAATAAATGCTTGTATTTTATCAATCCTGCGATTAAAATTTTTTTTATAAATTTATTTATTTTATTTTTGGCTGCGTTGGGTCTTCGTTGCTGTGCGCAGGCTCCCCCAAGTTGCGGCGAGCGGAGGCCGCTCTTCGCCACAGTGCGCAGGCCTCCCATTGCAGTGGCCTCTCCCGCTGCGGAGCATGGGCTCCAGGGGTGCAGGCTTCAGCAGCTGCAGCCCGCGGGCTCCAGAGCGCAGGCCCAGCAGTTGTGGCGCACGGGCCCAGCCGCTCCGCGGCATGTGGGATTCCCCCGGACCAGGACTTGAATCCGTGTCCCCCGCACTGGCAGGCGGACTCCCAACCACTGTGCCACCAGGGAAGCCCCTTAAATTTTTATGCTTGATTTGTTTAAAGCAAATTCAACTCTATTTAGAAAGTAGAAAGTTTTAGAATTTCTTCTTTCTTCTTTTTTTTTTGTTTGTTTATTAATAACAGACTACAACAGGAAGAGACTGTGTTCCAAAGAGGAAGACTATGCTAGAATTGAAGCTACAATCTTATAATTTTCCCATACTTAGCCACTGCTGATTGCCACTGTCTCTCCATGTAGAGACTTTTTCTTTTAACTTGATGTTAATTTATGGAGAGTCTTATCACAATATATGTTTATTCACAATACAATGGATTTTTCTCTCTCTTGTTGAAAATCCCAAGATGCCCCAGTGCTTGGCTTCCTGTTATCTTCCCCCCAAAGACTCCACATATTTGCATCTCATATGAAAAAAAAAAAAAGGCCAAAACTGGATTGGTACCATCTCAGAGGTGAACTGCCTACTGGGTTGGTCAATGTCAGGGCTGTGGGCTATGACACACCCCAGGTGTTTAGGACTTCCCACTCCATGACTTACCTTCAACCAGGCACATCCCATCGACCAGGCTCAACTGACCACTGGGTCCCAGTCCCAGAAGTGAAGGTAGCTCAGAGCTAAGATCTCCAACCATCCCGGCTGCTGACCCGATAGGCACCTGGGCAACCCCACAAGGACTTGGAATAACTGGCACCCACAAAACAAAGTTCTAAGAGGAAAGAACAAATGCATGCTGCCTGGGCCCTCCAGAGACCAAGAAACACGATGATCCTACAGAAAACAAGTTTTGACAAGTAAGGGACAAAGGGCGGTGGGTAGGATGATGAACAGCCATTGCTAAAGGTGAGGTTCAAAAATAAAATATGAAAATCAGAAGGAAGAAATGTTATAGAGAGACACAATTGAAGCAAGAACCAAATGCTAACAAAACAGTGAGCCCTGACAAGAAAAAGATTTTCAGAAAGGAAATGCAATAGAAGTGAAATGGGAGATAGACAAGGAAAGAAACACAGCCTATAACAAAGCCAAGGAAAAGAAAGAAGAGGCCTTTTCCTGAGCACAGAGGCCAGGGAGGTTATAAGGTATGGACCAGCTCTCCAGCTATCTCCATCTGAAGATATATTCCTACCACTGGGGTTGGTTTGGTTTGGTTTTTAAGTCAGAAACAATAGTAACTTGGTAAACACTTATAGACACAATTTTTTCATGATTATTAAATTAAAAACTCTCAAATGTCAATTGCTCCAGACTAGCAAGTCTTCCCTCCAAACCCCCAAACCTTCAATATGTTCCAACTACGCAGGAGCTAAAAGAGAAGTATTAGGAGTAGGTTTTATTACTGCCATTTACGGGCATTGGGACTTCAGGAGTTTACCTGGGGCAAATAGCACCTCTGTCAGGGGGAGGTAGAGGGAGAAGAGTTTGGTTCCAGCTGTGCAAAATTCTGTGGCTTATTGGAGGGACCTTCTCTGCTTTAAAACAGACAGAAGCTGGTGTGTGAAATTCAAGCCATCTCTAGAAATGTGTTTATAAAACGTGTTCTGATGTTGCCACATTATAAAGGCCCTGTGTGCAGAATCTTAACCTTTTTCTTCTAATTCCTCAGCTCTTCCCCAAACCCCTTCGTCCTCCACCCAGGGATGGTTCAAGAACTCCTGTGACTTGAGACACCCTCCGTCACAGGAGGAAGCAGCAACACTAAGCGCAGATTGGGCATGCAAACCCAGTGAACCACCTTAATTATCTTCTTCGTATGCACAAATATTTCCTCTCATCCCTACTTAACAATCAGCAATCGTGATGGGCTCTAATTACAACGATAAATTGGGCCTCGGACAGCCACCTCCTGCTCCATCATTAAAGGGGATATTTACCGGGGCCTTTGCAGTCAATCCATCTCCTCAGTACTGGAATGACACCACGGCTCACAGTGGTCACCGGTTCCGAGCAGGGAAGCACTCAGTGGCCCCAGCAGCAGCTCATAGCCATGGATTCTGCACAATTAAGAAAACACATCTGCCTGAAATGAGGAGTGGACCAGGGGCCTGGGGACCAAGTCAGCATGTCCTTGGCATTTACTAAGTCCAGATGTCTTTATCTTCTGTGCAGGAAGTCAGAGTCTGTCCAGATGGCATCTTGATTGCTTTCGGCTCAGCTGATTAAATTTCTAAGGCTGACATCTCTTCCAAATACCCTCTCCATTCTATGAAAATGTGGTTGTCAAATAGTGCCAGGAAGAGTCATCTGAAGATGGCAGACTGAGAGGGCCCAATTGAGAACCTGAGTGCCTGGGACATAGAGCCAGGCAAATTTCCTGCCACATGTCTGGGACTTTGGGATTCTTTCTGCTACAAGCAAGGGAATTTCTGGAGAGGCAGTGCTGAGGGGCAAGATCGTGGCTGGATCAGAGATCCAGTTAGGAGTCCTGGCTCCTCCACTTTCTGACCTGTGACCTCGTGCATATTCCTAAGCCACTCTGGCCTCAGTTTACTCACCTATAAATCTGGGATAACAAAAGGAATCACTTCAACAAGCTGTTCTGAAGATTTATGAGGTCATGCACATCAAGTGCTTATAAGAGAACCAGGCACATGGTAAGGGTTCCCTGCATACATTTTATTAGTACATTTGGCCCTCTGTATCCACAGGTTCTGCATCGACAGATTCAACCAACCATGGATAGAAAATATTTGAGGAAAAAATTCTAGAAAGTTCCAAAAACCAAAACTTGAATTTGTCACAAACTAGCAGTTATTTACACAGTATTGTATTAGGTATTATAAGTAATTTAGAGATGATTTAAAGTATAGGGGAGGATGTGTGTAGATTCTTTGCAAACACTATGCCATTTTATGTGAGACTTGAGCATCTGTGGATGTTGGTATCCATTGGGGTCCTGGAATCAATACCCCACAGACACTTGGGATGACTGAAGTCTTGTTAATTTTTGTTCCTGGCTTTACTTTGCCTTCTGAAGAGGTGCTCCTTAAAAACACAAACCTGCATGAGGGCAAGGGACCAGCCTGGTCACTTGCACATGCTTTATACCAGAAATAATAAATAATTCTTTATAGTCCTTTATGGGTTACCTTTCTTTCACAAGCACTCTTGAGAGGTAAGCAAGGCAGACGGTATTTCTCTTTTACTGAAGTTGAGACTCTAAGAGGGTAATGACTTGTCCAAGGTCACATCGGTAGCTGTGTCTGAAGATAGAAACCCATAAAGGCTGTTGAACTCCTATCTGCTACAGAGCCTACTCATACAAGGAAGTCAATGTTGCAAATGGAGCAGAGGAATGAACATGCTCCCCTCTGACCACCACCATCCCACCCCCAACAAACACTTCTGGTCATGCCAATGGGACACGCGGAGCATCACCAGGATGAAGAAAGGAGGCCATGGTGATATTTACAGAAATTGCTGCCTACCTCTGCTACTTTAGAAACTCCTTTCCTCCTATGCTTCACTCTAAAGGGCTGTGGGAACTTAATCTAATACTATGCTCACAGGAGGAAGCCTGACAAGAGACAGGATGTGGAAAATGTTTCAGAAGGCCTAAAAGTCAATGGCTTAATAATAATGTGAATAATCTCAGCTCTTAGGATGTTAGACTCACGTTAATCGTTTACATTCTTAAAGGAAAAAAGATGGCAGGGTTGGATTAGGTTATTTTAAAGCTTATTTTTAGCTTTAAAATTTTTGATGTTAATGGACCACTATTAGGACCCCTTTATTTCAGAGTGGAGAGTTTACCTGAGAATCCCAATTCCCAGTCCTGTGCCCCCATATCTCACTGCCTGTTAATATCATTAACTTAAAGCTTGAGAGAAAAGCCCTAAGAATGCTTTTAAAATTTCTGCATTTATAAAATACACCAGGTGAAAGAGAAGTTAGTAGATGGCACTTACCATATGGTTAATTAGAAGCTAAAGCTGGGGCTTCCCTGGTGGCGCAGTGGTTGAGAGTCCGCCTGCTGATGCAGGGGACACGGGTTCATGACCCGGTCCGGAAAGACCCCACATGTCCCGGAGCGGCTGGGCGCGTGAGCCATGGCCGCTGAGCCTGCATTTCTGGAGCCTGTGCTCTGCAACGGGAGAGGCCACAGCAGTGAGAGGCCCACGTACCACAAAAAAAAAAAAAAAAAAAGGGAAGTTAAAGCTGGACAAATATTCCATTTTTTAAAATAAATTTATTTTTGGCTATGTTGGGTCTTCGTTGCTGTGCACGGGCTTTCTCTAGTTGAGGCGAGTGAGGGCTACTCTTCGTTGCGGTGCACGGGCTTCTCATTGCGGTGGCTTCTCTTGTTGTGGAGCACGGGCTCTAGGCGCACGGGCTTCAGTAGTTGTGGCACTCGGGCTCAGCAGTTGTGGCTCACGAGCTCTAGAGCGCAGGCTCAGTAGTTGTGGTGCGCGGGCTTAGTTGCTCCACGGCATGTGGGATCTTCCCAGACCAGGGCTCAAACCAGTGTCTCCTGCATTGGCAGGCAGATTCTTAACCACTGTGCCACCGGGGAAGCCCCAAATATTCTATTATGTTATGCATATTTCCAGAACCATTTATGTGTAACTGGATGACCACGGAATAGTGAAACCTAGCTTTGGGGAAATGTCCCAAATCAGAGAGATTTTAAATTGTTATAACATGGGCCCCAGGGAATGGATATTTCCAGTATCGATCATCTCGGGAAGAGGGTAAATCCTGGGGCAGGAAATTCAAGGAAGAACCCCCCCGTTTCCCTGGGTACAAAGCCAAGAAGGCTTGGACTCTGAGATGTGAAAAGGGCCGTAGTATTTTGTGATGGAGAGGAGCTGGTGATGCCATGGGAAGACACTCTATCTGCTTTGATGGTGGTGGTGGCAGCAGTGCCATCAATTACAGGGCAGAGAAAGAGCCGGTTCTGGAGCAGCAGGATAAAGGCTGGCATCTTGAAGCCGTCAACACAACTCAGTTTGAACTCAAGCATGACATGAGAAGAACCATGTCCCCTCTCCAGGTGGCAGAGGCCCGTTAGCATCGCTTGCTCTGTCTAGCCTGGGGACCTCACAAGAGCCATCAGCTGCAAGGCAGCAGTTACACAGCACGGCAAGCAGGCTTGAGGGCTCTGTTTACGTGTGCCCACAAGGTAGCACACCCTCAGATAGAAGTGGGGACAACTTCTGGCCTTTATGGCTCTGAACCTTGTGTCATAATAATTTGGTAAAATAAATAAACAAATATGGAGAAATATAACGATAAAGAGTAAAACTGACCGTAAAATGCATTTGAATATTCAAGTTAAAGTAGCATTTTAGATGCAAGTAGATTTAATCGTCTGGAGTCAGTGGGGAAAGCAGGCATGACCCAAAAAGCAGAACAAAAACTAAATGTACAAGAAGAAAAAAAAAAAGGACAGTTTAATAACCAACTGGTGCCCATAAGCTACAACAGATATTAAACATCTAGTTCTTTGCTAAAGTTGGATCACAAAAGCATATTTTGGTTTGCACATCCTTGGAAGAAAACAAACTAGCCGTTGGGTCATTGCTAAGAAAAGGCATAAAGAGCTAGACAAGGTATCCAAGGACCTCACATCGCTCCCCAGGCTATAATCGCCTTGAAACACAGGAAAGTGAGTTCACAGGTCTCCCAGACATGAAATTGGGGGTTCTATGGAGTCACCCATGGGTGACAGCTGACACTAGGGATGAACTGCATGGAAACCTGGTGCAAAACAAGACAGAATACAGCAACAACAAAGAATGGTTTGGGGTTTGTATGTAAATATGTAATATAAGGGTACTTGAACTTTATGAAAACTTCTGGGGTCCACAGATCTGTTGTTTCCCCACTGACATGGGTACCAGTCTGTAGAAATAAATGAGTTACCGGTGCCTTTTCTCATCTTCTCCTTTCCCTCTCTGTATCTCTGCAAGACCTAGTCCTTGTAACAGGTAACAGCAGTCCATCCCTAAATGGCACTGTGAATGAATTAAGATTGCAGCAGTCATGATATGATGCCCATAGCTCCAGCCAAACCTCTCTATTTTTTATATCTGTGGAAGGGGTAAGACCACCTCCATTAGTAAAGAAAGAGCGATTGTCAACCAAGAGCCAATGTAACTCTATTTTATTGGCTCAAGCCAATGACCGTTAGATAAGTAAAATGGAAATCATTGTTTTGAAATAGAATAATGGGATTTTTAATTTTTTTTTATTTTTTTGGCGGTACACGGGCCTCTCACTGTTGTGGCCTCTCCTGTTGCAGAGCACAGGCTCCGGACGCGCAGGCTCAGCGGCCATGGCTCATGGGCCCAGCCGCTCCGCGGCATGTGGGATCTTCCCGGACCGGGGCACGAACCTGTGTCCCCTGCATCAGCAGGCGGACTCTCAACCACTGCGCCACCAGGGAAGCCCCGATAATGGGATTTTTAGATGAAGTGCCTTATAAATAGTTCAACTCCATCATTTTGCAGATGAGGGAATTTCGCAGCCACACACAACTAGTCAATGGCAAAGCTAGGAACAGAATTCAACTCAGTCAGTGCCTTTCTTGGGAGATTTGGAAAATATTCAGATAAAGCGACTGTTTGGGACTATAATGCATGAACTTGTGACACAGCTTAAGGAACTAGAGATTTTTAACCTAGAAAGGGGATAGTTCAGGTACATAATAACCATTTTCAAATACCTTAAGGACTGTCAAGTAGTAAAAGGTCTTGAACTTGTCCTGCTAGCCTGAGGAAACAAGGACAATTGTGGGGAAGTTAGAGAAAGACTTTAGCAGTTCACCATAATATAAAACCTTTTAAACGGTCAAAATTTGCCAAAATAATTCATTGGGAGATAGTAAGCTTTCTGTCACCTGAGGCAGTTCAGGAAAGACTGGAAGATAATGTAGTGTGTATGTTTTGTCCATGGAAATGGGTGGGGTAAGAGGTGTGGAGGAGAAAATTCAGGCATGAAAATCATTTGGATGGGGTGACCTTTAAGAGTATGTGATTCTTTACAACCTGGAATCACATAAGGGTTTCATTCTTGCCTCCAAACTCAACAACTTATCTTCCCATCTGTTTGCAATAGTTTAAATTTTAATCTATTTCATATTTCAGGGTATTATGTCCTGAATATTTGATTTGAATGCTGTGGCAGAAGGTCACTCATATTCATTTATTTTCTTTTAGTCTTATGCACTTGCAGTGAGTCTTTTGAATCCATTATGCAAATATATGCAAATCATATGCAGATAGTGTATCCTCAGAAAAATGACAAAATCTTACGGCCTTAACTGAGCCATCAAACCTGTGTTTAAGAGGGAAAGTAATAGGCCTTTTGAATGTCTCTGGGGCAGGAGACAATTTCCTGAGAGTGATATTTACATGACGTTGGAATTGGTTACTCAGAGGAGTCTTTGCCTCACATTCTTCACATTTATGTAGGACTTTGAGGTTAAGAAAGTATTTTCATGTAAATGATCCCATTGGATCCTCATAATTACTCTGCGATTTTGGCAAAACAGGAATTGGAATTCTTGTTTTATTATTCAGATGGGAAATAGACTCAGAAAAGTCAAATGACTTGCCCAGGTTTGCTCTGTTGGTAAATGATGGGTCTGAGGCTTCAAAGTAGATCTCTTTTCAGTCCAAGAACTCCTCCGTGACACTGTGATGCGTGTCTTTTTCAAAGCAAGGTGGTTGCCATCAGTCTGGGTTTGCTTGGACGGCGTTTCGCCAAAAGCATCTGAAGGTGTTTTGTTGATGAGGATGGCGTTTTAAGGGTGACCAGAAAAGTCTAATTATTTGTAGTAGCCCTAGCACAGTGCCAACTACATAGTTTCTCTAACCACCCCCTGCTTTTTCGCATCTGCTTTGAAATCTCCAGATGAAGAACTTTCTTCACACCGTACACTCTTCAGCTTTTTCAGGAGGCAAAATCCTTTCTTAAACTATCAGGAGTAATAGCACAGTCTCTGCAGTGAGACTGTCTAGATCTGAAGCCCTAATCTACCACCTTCTACTTGTGTGGTCTTGGAGAGGTCATTTATTCCTCTAAGCATCAGTTTCTACATCTATAAAATGGGGGAAATAATAGCACCTCTTTGATAGAGTATATGATAAGGAGATATCTATAAAACAAAAGAAAACCTACTTAGACACATAATATGTGCTCAATAAATGGTAGCTACTATAATTATCATATTAGTAGTTGTAACACAGTAGTGGTAGTAGTATTATTTTCTCAAGGTATTGTGAACTCTGATGCTAAGAATTGGCTCTTGGAAATGGAATGGGAGGACAGTAATACCAAATATCTCCTATATGTCAAAGGACTGGAGAACAGACAATGTCTGAGGTAGCCAAATTCAGCCCAGTGAGGAATACATGAACTTTAACTTTCTTTAGTCACTACCATATCTTGCATCATAATGAGGGTAGTTGCAATCCTGTTTTGAAGGTATTTCTAAGAAAAAATAGAGCCAAGGCTGGCACCCTTAACTCTTCTCTCTCTTAGTCAGACTGCTCTGTATATGGCAGTGGCCTCTACTTCCCTGGGTCACCTTGGGAGGGAACAAGAGGGGATTCCACTCCAGCCGCTTTAGCAGGCCTGAATCACGGGGTCAAGGGATGGATTTGTCCTCCTCCTGTACCAAGACCAGAAGTGGGTACTGTGAAGGTGGCCAAGGCAGCAGCTCCACTCCCTTTCTGGGATGACCCTGCTCCCTCTTGCCCTAGTTCCCAGCTCCAGCAGGTGCCACTGCAGGGTACTTTCCCTCTGCCCCCCACAGAGTGCTCTGCCCTTCCAGTGTGCCCCAGCACCTCTCCTGGTCACTCACCTAGGCCAGCTAACAAGGTGGCCTCCTCCGTGAGGACAGACTTCTGCTCCCACAACCTCTCCGATGGAAAGGGACCAGAAGCTGTTGGAGCTGGCCAAACCGTTGAAGCTCGCCTAGGGTCACTAGGAACCATGACCCTGAGAGTCCATGTGACCAGCGAAAAGGAACTGTGCAACTGATTCATGTTGGCCAGGAAATGCACTGGGCCATTCTGAGGCTGGGTGCTCAGCTATTTTTGGCAAGAATGGGTACTATGCAGAAAGGACTTCCCCTTTTTTGCAGCAAAAAGCCACCAAACGCTGAGCCGTCAACAGCATTTCTTGTTCTCAGATTACCCTTCTGAGCACTCTCTGGCTGCCAGATTATCGAGGCCATCATAGCTTGATTCGATTTCACAGCTCCAGGCATTAGCTAACCCTACCAAGCTGGGTTGCCTCGGTCCTGTGATGGCTCCCCGCGTCGGCTGCTTCCTGTTGGCGGTGCTGATTTCTGCCAGCTGTAAAGTCGTCACCTCCTCAGATCCAATGTGCACCGAGGTGAGTCCAAACTATTTGTCTTTGTCCAGATTAAACCACCTGGAAATGTTGAGATTCGGCGTGCAGTCCTATCCGAGCCTTAAAAGGGCAACGAGGTGTGCAGGAGTTTTTCTTTACAGTGAAAAAGGAACCAAAAAGCTCAGCCGGGGAGATGATCTCAAAGGTTCATAGTAGGAAGAAGTGAGGGTTGCAACAATTTCCTGCAATTGTTGCAATTGTCTGCAAACAATTTCCCCCAAATAATCCCAGTTGGGACATAAGATGTCAACAGGGTCCCAGTGCAAAGAGCAGACCTCCAAACCTGCTCCCTAGCATGGAGGAGCGTTTGTCCAAGCTCCCAGCACATGGCCACTTCCCCAAAGAGTCCTGCTTCAGAAAGGTGAGATAAAGTAGAAGTGGTAGGAGAGGAAGCTTTTGATTTAACGGTTTGGCCCTTTTTCAGGTGAAATTCACTCCAGCTTGCCCACTCCTTCCTCTTGTTTTCCTTTCCTCATTCATTCTTCCTCTTCAGTTTCAGCAAAATTAACACATACTGTATATATGTTCATGTGACCACCATGAATTTATCAGGCCCTATGCTGAAAATAAGGGTTTGGTTTTGTTTTGAGTTCAGTACATTTTTTATTGAAGTAAAATATACATACAGAAAAGCTCACCAGTCCTAAGTGTAGAGCTCAATGAGTTCTCACCAAGTGAACACATCTGTGTGAGCAGCACACAGATCAAGAAACAGAAATTTCTCAGCACCTCAGAAGCCCTCTCATGTCTCCTCCCGGTCACTAGCCCCCAAGACCATCCAGTACTCTCACTTATATCACCAAAAATTGACTTGGCCTCTTTTTGAATTTTGTGTACATGAGACCATACAGTGTGTACCCTTCTGTGTCTGGCCGCTTCCACTCAGTATCAAACACGTGATATTTATATATGACGTTGTGTGCAGCCATCATGTGCTCCATTAATCACTGAATGGTATTCTGTTTTATTAGTGAAACTATCTATTTATACATTCTACTGTTAGTGGACATTTGCATTGTTTTCAATTTTTTGCCTATTATGAATGTTGCTGCTTTGGATATTCTTACCTAGGTCTTTAGTAAACAAATATTTATTAGGTGTATAATAGGGAGTAGATGTATTTGGTCATAGGGTACACATATGTTTAACTTCAGTAAATATTGCCAAACAGTTTTTCAATGGGTTGGTACCCATTTATTCTCACCAGCAATGGATATGAGCTCTGATTGCCCTACAGCCTCACTGACATTTGCTATTGTTTGTTTAAGAACATTAGCTCTTCTGATGGATAGTGGTATTTCACTGGGATTTTTAATTTTCCTGATAAATAATTAAATTGAGTATATTTATGTATCCTTGTGTGTGTTTGTGTGTGTGTGTGTAAGTGCCTATTTCAAGTCTTTGGCCCATTTTCTCTTACGTTGTCTGTATTTTGTTTTTTGTTTTTGTAGTGGTTCTTCATGTATTCTGGATACAGGTTCTTTATCACATTACAAATATACTCTCCCACTCTGTGGCTTGCCTTTTCACTCTCTTGACATTTTTTGATGAACAGAAACCTTTTATTGTAATATTGCTTGATTTATCATTGTTCCTTTGTTTATTTTCAGTGCATATCTGTTCTGTTTAAGAAATTTTTGCCGGGACTTCCCTGGTGGCGCAGTGGTTGGGGGTCCACCTGCCAATGCAGGGGATGAGGGTTCGATCCCTGGTCCGGGAGGGTCCCACTTGTTGGGGAGCGGCTGGGCCCGCGAGCCACAACTACTGAGCCTGTGCTCTAGAGCCCGCGAGCCACAACTACTGAGCCCACGCGCGGAACTGATGGGGCCCACCCGCCTGGAGCCCATGCTCCTCAACGGGAGAGACCACAGCAGTGAGAGGCCCACACACAGCAGCGGAGACTCAGCGCAGCCTAAATAAATAGATAGATAGACAGATGACAGATAGATAAATAAATAACTTAAAAATAAAATGAAGTTTTTGCCAACGCAAGGCCATGGAGATATTATCCTATGTTTTCTTCTGGAAGTTTTATCATATGGTATTTATTTCTAAGTTTCACATGTACATTTACAGTCCATCTGGAATTGCTTTTTGCCTATGATGTGAGGTAAGAGTCAGGATGAATTTTTTAATAAAACTTTTTGTTTGAAAAAAATGTCAAACCTTGACAAATTCTAAAATATTCTAAAAATATTATAACAAACACTCGTAAATACTCCACATAGAACCTTCCATGATTAAATGCTCTGTGTGTGTATTCATGTAGGTATGTGTATCATAAGTAACAAAATTAGATCTACGACCAGGTTTTTGGAGGCTGACCAATATGCAAAGAGTAGCTGGAATTCAGTGCTCTGTGATTTGGACTCAGTAACATTTTAGATGTGCTCTTGAATAATTGCTTGGGAGTGCAGGCATGCCTCCTCATTTCAAATGGGCTCATCTTGACTATTCTGCCCCCTTAAAACCACGGTAGGAGACAGTCTTTTGGGTCTAGGTATGGGGAGAGTGTTTAAGTAGAGCTCTATTTTAAGAGAGCTCCAAGTTCATGGATACAAGGGCTTCCCAATAGCTCTAGACGATGACAATGATGTTTTGATGATCCAGGGAAATGCTAACTTTTCTTGTGAGAGTGATGTACATTATTACCTCATTAATCCTCAGAGTTGGTCTGCCAACAGGGGTTATTGTCCTCGATCTACAGCTGGGCAAAAAAGGAGGCTCAGAGAACACAGCTTGGTAGTTGAGAGCTGGAATTTGAACCTGGGCAGTCTGCCTCAAGACACACAGAAAAAGAACCACTTATAATTGGAGTGCCCCTTGCCTGGAGGAGTTAGACTGACAACCAAGTTTTAGGGCTGTGACCTCTTGGGAGTGTTTTGTTTTATTTTCAGAGAGTCATTATTACTCTGTGATTTGGCTCAGTCAAATTGCTATCTCTGGATAGAGGAGTGATCACCGAGGGAGGGCTGGGGTTCAGTGTCCCAGACTCCTCGTGCCTGGCGGAGCTGGCTGCTGTGGGTACCAAGTGCAGAGGAGACATCCCAACAAGTGGGATTAGCACTTGCGTGAAACTCAGAGAATTTGAAATCAGAAAATGATCTCAGCACTTGTGAGGAGAGAAAATATTGTGGAATGGCAGGGGGTTAGAGATGCAGCAGAAAGAAGCAAAATAAGATCCTGATTGAAAAAATGCAAATGAATACCTGGAGGGAAAAGGGATTGCAGACAAAGATGTAGCACTTGGGAGTCCTGCTCTGTGTAAAGGCACAGCTCTGAGGCGGAGCTGGAGATGAAGTGACCGGCACAGGTCCCAGTGCAAATGCCCACGATATGGATTAGGGACGGGCATGGGGCAGTTGTCCTGAATACCACCTGGCTTTGTCTCAGCCCTGCTTGCTGCCTAAGTTCACATCCAGAAGGGTCCTGTCTGCGATGGAATGGCCAAAGCAGAAGAATGAGAAAGTGACTTTGGAAACTGACCCTAGACTGAGATCTAGCGATGAAGTCTGGGTCTATAAGAAGTGGTCATGTGGGGCTCAGAGAAACCACAGGAGCTGCAAAAGCGGTGGTGGGTGTCTGCCTAGAAAAGCAACTGAACCCGTGGTCCTCACAGCTGGCCCAGCCCTGGGCAAAATGGCAGTGGCCACACAGTCAGGACCCAGCAATCCTCTTTTACACCCTGTCCTTTCCTGCTCCGTTGTATTATCATTCTGCTGCCCGGGAATCCTGTGCTATGCTATCAGAACTCACCCCTAGAAAGTTTTGCTGTGAAAACTGACAGTGAATAAGATAACAATCTCACTGATGTAGTTCTATGATCAATGTATAACCTGAATCAAACCATGAGGAAACATACAAACCCCAAAGGAGTAACATTCTGCAAACTATGAGCTTGGATTCTTAAAAAAAATTTATCAATGCCAGGAGAGACCAGGAAAGGCTGAAGAATCATTTCAGATTACAGGAGACAAAAGAGACTCGGAAATGAGATGCAGTGATTGTACGGGAGTGTGGCTGTGAAAGCCGTGGCACAAGAGCCCAGAAGAGTCTCTGAAATGTGTTTGGTTTTCAAATTTTCTTTTGAGCTGCAGTTCTTGTCATTTGCGTCTTTCTCTAGGAATCAAGGGCAGATACTTCATTGCAGTTTATGTAACTAGAGATTATTGAGTGTTACGACCCAGGCTCGTGGTGGTGGGCTTCTCAGTACTCCCGGGAAGTGTCATGCACTGGTTCTTGGGTTTTCACTGGGTTGAAACTGAGCTATTCCTTACCATTTGCTAGGCGCTCCCTCAGGCCACTGGCTCAGGAGAGCTAGTAGCTCCATTCCAACTTTGGGGATCACATTAATGCAGTGAAGTGCTTAGTAAAGCATACAATTTAGTTGTCACGGGCACATTATATTCTGGAAAAGGAGGGAATTGCCAACGTCGAGCCTTTTGCTAAAGGACCAGAATAGAGTGAGACGAATTGAGAAAAGGCCCCCTTTCTCCACGTATATATGACATCAGCTATGCCAGTGGAGACCAGAAAAGAAAAACGTCTCCTCAAAGCTAATCCAGACCTTAGCAGCTGCACAGACATCTTCTCTCTAGGTCTTCCATGTTCAGGGGGCACCAAAGAGGGGTCTAGCAGCATGTGTTTTCCCCCACCAGTCAATCAAATATGTTTTAAATGCAAAGTGTGCATTTCAAGGGCATTATGTAGATTTGTGGCAGTGCCTGAAGGGCTTTGGGTGCATGAAACAATTATGGATTACAAGAAATCAGTGGCTTTCTTAATATTGTCACAATATAGAAGAAAACCAGTGATTTCCTGTAAATGAGCATGCTCACTGTACCTACAAAAAAGTGCCCAACTAATCAGAAGTTGGAGTGAATAAAGGAAAAAGCAGTTAAATTAGCAACACCTCTAAAATGTCACACCTCAGAGCAAAGGCGGATGTGTGCCATCTTCTGTTTCTAACTAAGCAGACCTGTTTGCAACTCAGGATGTGGACAGCTGCTGAATTAGACCTTCATGGGGCAGGTCTTTCCCAGTCCAGGGCAGTCTCAATGGGGCATCTAGTGAGACCCCTGTGTGGCACAGAGAAAGCAGGGCCTGAAAGGTTGGATGAAATCACATGGAGCCTGAGATGAGCTGAGAGATGGCCTATGGTTCTGGGATGTCTTTCTTCTTTGTATCCCCAAGTGTACTTTTCTTGGAGATCATTTCTTTCCTTCCCTGGAGCCTCCCCATGCAAAATATACCCCAACAGACCTTCATACCTGCCCCACGATCCTTTACCCTAAGGCATCATCCAGATAAATTACGAGCCCACAATTCTATAGGCTTCTTACTAACCCCTTCCCATTTTTACCTAGTTAGTCCAAGATCTATAACTTGAGTTTGCACTTCTAGCAAGCAGTAAACAACAGACGTCAGAACACTTGACTCTCCTGGGGACCCAGAATGAGGAAGTCCTGTGAATTTATGTGCAGGGCTGTGCCCAAGTGTTAGGTCTGGTATCAGCAGCCCACAGTTCCAGAGATTTAAAACTCAGTCATTCTTCAAGATTACAAGACCTATGACCTAAGATCTGTGCCATGCTGCTAGTTCTTTTTAAAAGAGGTTGTATTAAGAAAATTTCTAAATATGTACAAAAGCACTTAGTTACAGGGAACCTTGCGTGCATCACTCCACATGCAACAACCATCAACGTTTTGCCTACTGATTTCCGCTATCCACTCCTTCCTTTCTTGCCAAAGTATTTTAAAGCAAATCCCAAGCACCATGTCATTTTGCCTCTAAATCCTTCAAAATGCAACTCAAAATAAGAACATTTCTCCTACATAACGGCAAGGTCATTATTATTAACAAAATTCACAGTTTCTTAGTATTCTCTAATATCCTGTCCTCATTCAAAGTTCCCTGATAAAATGTCTTTTCCCAAATGCTTTATTTGAATCAGCGTCTAAAGAAGGGCTACTCTATGTCATATGATCCAGAAATCCCACTCCTGGGCATATGTACAGACAAAACTATAATTTGAAAAGACACCTGCACTCCAATATTCATTGCAGCACTATTTACAACAGCCAAGACATGGAAGCAACATGAATGTCCATCAACAGATGAATGGATAAAGAAGATGTAGTATATATATAAAAAGAATGAAATAATTCCATTTGCAGTAACATGGATGGACCCTAGAGATTATCATACTAAGCAGGTCTTAAAGAAGAAGACGAATACCATTGATTTCACTTATACATGGAATCTAGAATACAGCACAAATGAACTTATTTACAGAACAGGAACAGACTCACAGACATAGAGAATAGACTTGTGGTTGCCAAGGGAGTAGCGGTGAGGGAGGATTAGAGTGGGAGTTTGAGATTAGCCGATGCAAACTATTTTATATAAAACAGATAAACAACAAGGTCCTACTGTATAGCACAGGGAACTATATTCAATACCCTGTGATAAAACATAATGGAAAAGAATATATATATATAATATATATACACACATACATATATGTATAACTGAATCACTTTGATGTACACCAGAAACTAACATGACATTGTAAGTCAAGTATACTTCAATAAAAAATTTAGAAAAGAAGGGCTATTCTATTATCTTTTGGTCATGTCTCTGAAGTAGCTTTTGTATCTGTCTCTTTTTATAAGAGCAGCCTCCTATTCTCGTCTCACCCCCTTGCTCTCCACTTCCGCCAAACATCATTCACGTGTTGATAAAACGAAGTCAGTCATGCTATGGAATGCTCCACCTTCTGCCTTTGGCTGACTGCTACCTTGTGGTGCTGTTTACCTGAAATCCCCCAAATCACGTATAGACTGAAAGTTAGGCCTAAAGTCTTGATTGGATTTAAGGTTAAATTTTTTTGGCAATACTTCACAGGTGGTGCTGTGTACTTCATACTGCATCACATCACAAAGAATGTAATATCTGATCGTATTCTTTTGTCGAAGCTAATCTAGAATTGATTTGTTTGTTTCAAAGTGAAAGAAAACATTTCCATGCATCTAAAATCAAAACTATAAAATTGCGCTCAGGGAAGCCTTGTTTTCATCCCCGCTCCTCCATCTGGTTCCTTCCTTTCCCTTAAATATAACCAGTTTGCGGTTTTCCCCCATGGTTTCTTCTTGTAAATGTAGGAAAATACACACATACCTTCCTTACACAAAAGGTAGCATACTGTATACCATATACAATATATACTAATAGACGTTCTGCACCTTGCTTTTTTCACCTTACAATAAACCTGTATATCACTCCATTATCAGTTTATGGAGATCATGCTTATCCTTTTTCAGCTACACAGGGTTCCATTCAGTGAATATACCATATTTTGTTCAAGTGGTCCTATGTGGATGGATAATCTGATCATTGCCAATGTTTTGCTATTGTAAAAAAAATACTAAAATGAATAATGTTATGCATAAGTGTTTTTCCAAGTATTATATTTGGTGAAGATTCCTAGAAGTAAGACTGCTGCTCAAAGGATAAAACATGTAATTCTGCTAGATAGTCAACCATATACCATATACTGTCTGATATTAATTTACATTGTTTCTCTCATCAGAAAGAAGCCAACAAGACATATAACTGTGAAAATTTAGGTCTCAGAGAGATTCCTGACACTCTACCAAATACAACAGAATTTTTGGAATTCGGCTTTAACTTCTTGCCTGCAATTCAAAATATAACCTTCAGCAGACTCATAAATCTTATCTTCTTGGATTTGACCAGGTATGTATCTGAGTTCCTTGAGTGTCCTCGATGTTTTACTTAGGTCAAAACACAACTTGCATTCAAATTGTTTCCACGACCTTCTTTTGGGGCACAGGGACAACATGCTTATTCTGCATGTTTACCCTTTCCCATGAAATATTTTTATACAGGTAAAATATAATTTAAATAAGCACCAATCAATGGAGAGGAAAGTGGCTTGTTCTCAAACTAGATTGTGTCAGCAGTGCTGTTTATGAAGTTCTAAGGAATATCAATAACAAAACTGAAAATAAATCTTCTACTAAATCAGATGCCACATCATCGTATATTTTAACATAGTTGACTATTAATGGGTGTGACATTTTAAGAAAAAAATTAGAGGAGAAATACATGCCATCTACTAATTTTTTCCTGAAAGTTGGTAAAAAAGAGTTCCATTATTTGGTTTCAGAGGCAGAATTAGGATTCTAAATGCTGAACCAGTGCTTGTGAACCAGCAGGCAGAAGTATCATAAGCAAATAAGGGAAGAGAGTGAAAGGGAAATGCAGCTGGTGTGTGTGTGTGTGTGTGTGTGTGTGTGTGTGTGTGTGTGTGTGTGTGTAATGGGGGAAAGGGCTCCGTATGTGGATGAGGTCTGCACCCCTTGCAGCAGCTCTACTTATTCTACTTTGGTCCTTCAACTTAAGCTTCTACAGAGCAGGAGAGTATTCACATACATAGAACTGTACGTTCACATCTGCATAACCACCAGTGGGAGGTAGGTATGGTACATACTGCCATCCCACTTGTGTTAGATGGGAAAACAGAGGTTCAAGGAGATTTTATGAGCTTGCTTAAGGTCACACGGGAAGGAAACTGGGACTCTGCTTTCCTGACTCCCAGTCCAGAGTCCCCCAAATAACCCTAGGCTACCTCCCAGCCAAGACTCCGTTAGATACAACTGAGAGAAAGCCTTGCCCTTTCAGATCTTTCTGTTACCTACCTAGCTTTGCCACAAAGAAATTTACTTTCCCTCTCCTTTATCATTTCTCATTTTCAGATGAGAGGAGTTTGACCACATTTTTAAGAAGTGTTGGGCCAGGATAGCTTTTGTAGCTGAAGGACTTTTATTAGTTTCCTCTACTGCTATTTTGAAAAAGTGATAAAAATAGGACCTCATACTTTCTAAAACCTCCTCCTCTGCTCCCCTCCCCACCTGTTATCTGGCTACAAATGAGGCACTGTTTTTATTGCTTAACACAGTCGTGGTGTCCTTAGATTTACTAACTTGCTTTCTATCCCCTTTTCTCATTCTTCTGTCTTGCTTTTCAGATCTTCCTCTCTGGAATCATCTTCCTTTCTCCTAAAGCACCTCCTTAGACATTTCTTTAGTGAGTGTCTGTTAGCAGTCAACTCCCTCAGTTTTTGTTTTTCTGAAGATATCTTTATTTCACTCTGATTCTTGAAAGATAGCATTTTCTGGCGTATGATTCTAGGTGGACAGTTGCTTTTTTCTCGGCCCTTTGAGGCTATCATTCCAGTCTCCCACTGTTGCTGTTGGGAGGTCATCTATCTGTCTAGTCGTTGTTCGCACGTTGGCAATCTGTCTTTTCTTCTCTGGACATTTCCAATAGCTTCGCTTTGTCCTTGGAATTCTGTAATATCACAGCGATGCACTGTGTAGATTGTCAGGCTCCTTGAATGTGAGATTGGCGTCTTTCATCAATTCTAAAATATTCTAGCCACTATCAATTTGAACTCCGGTTTGCCCCCATTCACTCCTGTATCTCCTTTGGATCTCTGATGAGACTTATATTGCATCCTCTTATCTGTCCTTTATATATCTTAATCTCTCTTTCTTGTTTTCCAACTCTTTGTTTTTTGGACTACATTCTAGGTAATTTTCTCATATTTACTCCTAGTCCATTAATATCCTCTTCAGCTGTGTTTAATCTCCTGTATAAACTATCCATTGGCTTATAATTTCAATTATTAACTTCTCGCATTTCAATAAGTTTCACTGATTCTTCATTTTACAAATATATGAGATCAGTTTTAATATTTTTTCCTGCATCATACTTTTGGTTCTTGGTGTTACCTTTAAACATATCAAACATATGTTTGACAAAAGCATATTTATTATATGTTCTGATAATATTCAATACATATCAGCTATGTAATATATTCTTTATATATCATATATATATATATATACATACACATTATCAGATATATCTGATAACTTTGGCATCTGCTACCTTTTAAAATCTGATTCTGTAGAACTTTTTTTGGCTGACTTAAGCTAATGTGTTTTCCTTACGTGTTTAGTGAATTTTATTTTGAGCTCATTTTTCATGTGGAACTTTGTGTAAATCTTTGTTTAAAATGTTTTCCTGGAACTAGATAATGCCAATGAATTATTAATATTTTCATGTGTGACAATGGCATCATGGCTATGGAAAATAAGCCTATTTTTTTGGAGATGCATACTGAAATATGTATGGACACCTAGGATTTGACATAAAATAATTTAGGAGAGAGAAGTAGGTATAGATGAAGCAAAGAAGCATAAATGGCAAAAATGTGAGAATTGTTGCATTTGTGTGAAAGATATACGGAAGTTCATCGTACTATTCTCTTTACTTTTATGTACATTTGAAAGTTCTTCTTATAAAAAATTAAGTAAGTACATGACTCCAGAAAAGGTTTCTCTTTACTTCTGCTAGTTACCTAAAGTCACTACCATCCTGGAACTGCTTTAAGCTAAATTTTCCACTTGGGTTTCTTTGGGGAAGTCCACAGAGGTAGCATAAATTCAGGCTACAGTTCTCATAGGTGGAAGCTTCTGGTTAAAGGATCTCAGAGGAGACTTTTCTTGTTGTTCTTGTTGTTGTTGTTCTACCCAGAGCCAAGGCCAAGACAAAAGCATATCCTAAAGGTCTCCCTCTGTGAGTTTTCTTTTTTAAGGTCACCCATTGAAAGGATCCTTTGAGGGTCTTGGTAGTTTGCAGGTTTTGATAAGACCTCCTATCCTGTCCCCAAGTTTGTCTCCTGACACTGGTCCATGTGGCTCATTAACACCCAGGCTCTAGGCCACTAGGGATTGGCAAATATTGACAGATATGACAAAACTAGCTCCAGAACTCCCTTGGTTCTATGGATTCAAGCTTCCCTTTGACAATGTATTTCTAAGTAATTCCCTTACTGACCTTCAGGGGAGGGGTGTGTGTGTGTGTGTGTGTGTGTGTGTGTGTGTTTGTGTGTGTGTGTGTATATAAAATCCAGTATTTTTAGGTGTAATATCAGGATGGGTTTCTCTGAACCTCTAGTGTTCCATATTTCTATGGGGCATTTTCATATATACCATTTGAATCACAACCATTCTACAAAGTAATCATCGTTGCTATAATGTAGAGAAGAAAAAACTGAGGTTGAAAAAAGTTGTGACTTGCCCAGGATGACACAGATTCATACTTTACATAGCATATGTTATATATTATGCAGTATATAAGACATATTTTATATCACTTATAATAGTAAATAATAGTTTGATTTTGCCTACAATCAAACCACTAAACTGTTCCAAACACAAACCTCTGAGAGTTCAATGTAAAATATCTGGAAAAAAATTCTAAATCAGAGTGTTCAGATCTGAGGCTAGTCATTAACTCAACAGGCCATCTGTGGGTACTGAAGAAAGTTTATTATGTTTTACTTTGAATAATAATGTACACTGTTTTTACTATACACAAAAGATGGCTTTGTTACTATAGGTCACTGTGACAGAATTTTTTTCTTTTCCCTAATTAATTCTTATTAAATACTGTTATCTTTTTAAGGTGCCAGATTAACTGGGTACATGAAGATACTTTTCAAAACCATCATCAACTGAACACCATTGTGTTAACTGGAAATCCCCTGATATTCATGGCAGAAACATCACTTACCGGGCCCAAGTTGCTGAAGCATCTTTTCTTAACCCAAACAGGAATATCCAGTCTTGAGTTTATCCCAGTGCACAACCTGGAAAACTTGGAAAGTTTGCATCTTGGAAGCAACTGTATTTCCTCCATTAATCTCCCAGAAAACTTCCCAACACGGAATCTGAAAGTCCTGGATTTTCAGAATAATGCTATACACTACATCTCTAGTAAAGACATAAACGCTCTGGAACAGGCCACGAACCTAAGCCTTAACTTCAATGGCAATGACATTAAAGGCATTGAGCCTGGGGCTTTCAATTCAAAAATCTTTCAAAGTTTGAAATTTGGAGGGTCTCTCAACTTATCTGTTATATTGAAAGGTCTACAGAACTCTACTATTCAGTCTCTTTGGCTGGGGACATTTGAGGACACTGATGACCAAGACCTCACTTCAGCCACATTTGAGGGACTTTGTGACATGGCTGTTGAGAGCATCAACCTACAAAAGCACCATTTCGATGGCTTCTCACCTTCTACATTTCGGTGCTTCACTGGACTCCAGGAGTTGGATCTGACGGCAGCTCACTTGAAAGGATTACCCTCTGGAATTGAGGGTATGAACTCTCTCAAGAAATTAGTTCTCAATGCAAATAGTTTTGACCAATTGTGTCAAATCAATGCTGCCAGTTTCCCATCCCTTACAGACCTCTATGTCAAAGGCAACAGGAAGAAACTTGACCTTGGTGCCAGGTGTTTGGAAAAACTAGAAAATCTTCAGAAGCTTGATTTAAGTCACAGTGATATTGAGGCTTCTGACTGCTGCAATCTGCAACTCAAAAACCTGCCCCACTTGCAATACTTAAACCTGAGCTACAATGAGCCCCTTGGTCTCGAGGATCAGGCGTTCAAAGAATGTCCTTGGCTAGAACTACTGGATCTGGCCTTTACCCACCTGCGTGTTAAGGCTTCACAAAGTCCTTTCCAAAACCTCCATCTCCTGCGGGTTCTGAATCTCTCTCACTGCCTCCTTGATACCAGCAATCGGCACCTTCTAGAAGGCCTGCTGGATCTCCGGCATCTGAATGTACAAGGGAATCACTTTCAAGATGGGAGCATCTCAAAGACCAACCTATTTCAGACAGTGAGTAGCTTGGAGATTCTGATTTTATCCTCTTGTGATCTCCTCTCCATAGACCAGCAAGCATTCCACGGCCTTGGGAAAATGAGCCACTTAGACTTAAGCCACAACAGCCTGACAGGTGATAGCATGGATGCTCTTAGCCCTCTTAAGGGGATCTACCTCAATCTGGCCGCCAATAACATTCGCATCATCCCACTCCATCTCCTCCCCACCTTGTCTCAGCAGAGCACCATTAATTTAAGTCACAATCCCCTGGACTGCACTTGCTCAAATATCCATTTCATAACATGGTACAAAGAAAACCTGCATAAACTCGAGGGCTCGGAGGAGACCGTGTGTGCAAATCCCCCACCTTTAAGGGGAGTTAAGCTGTCTGATGTCAAACTGTCTTGTGGGATGACAGGTATGGGCATTTTCTTTCTTGTAGTATTTGTATTCCTGCTCATCATTCTGCTCATATTTTCAGTTAAATTTCTTCTTAGGTGGAAATACCAGCACATTTAGTGCTGAAGATTTCTAGAGATAGAAAATAAATATGTTTAGCAAAATTGCCCTCAGTAAAGGAACTGTTGTTTGTTAGTGACCAGACTTTTCAGATGGGTTCCTGGAGCTGGGTAGGGATTCCCTGTGCTTTGCTGAATCCCAGAACTAGTAAGTCTCCTGGGAAGGTAAACTGACTAGGGCCAGAGGGCCAGATGCAGCTGTGAGAGACACAGAGCCTTTTCCTCACATGGAAGGTGGCTAGAAGTTGAGAAGGACCCATGGCAGGGAAGGGCCAGGAGAGTAACCTACTAGGACGCCATCACTTCCATTCATGAGCATCCTTTGAAGCACCTCCCACCTTGACCCTAAAAGGAGGTCATCAACTCCCACAGCTTGGCAGTGCCAAGGACACCAGCTCCCCAGCTCTCTCCCCCACAGCTTGGGCATTGTGCTTGGGTCTGAGTTCTCAGTAATGTAGCCATTTGGGAAACAAGTTGGAGATAAAGTCTCAAAGCTTATTTTAAATGACAAAGAGAAAACAAAGAATTTAAAAGAAGAGGCTGAAAAATGAATCTTGCCATCAAATTGACTTCGTTAACCTCCTTAGTCCTTACTTCTCCAAGGATTCTACAATGCCTCTGCAGTGCAAATAGCTCCAAGAAAAAAAAAAAAAAAAAAAAAAGACACCCCTGCCAGGATGCCCCTCCCCCAGGATTTAGGAGTTTTGCACATTGGCCACCCTCACTTCAGAACCAAGGAGACTTTTTCTACCTACCTGGTGTTCTCGCTCTTATTATGTTACAGATCCTAACTTACAGGTGGGCTGCGGTCCAAACGCTCTTCTCATTTGAATGTCTGGTCCTTAGAAGCTTCTTTCTCACAGGAACCATGAGATAAATGGTGGTTTGGTTCCCAGGCCAGCTCTCAAAAGCCTATTCACCAGGGATAGCAACTGAGATAGCACATTTACAATGAAAAACTAGTGGAGGAAAGAAAGCATCCCGGCACACTCACCACTGGGAACACAGTAAGCTGCCTGAGTGAGCAGTAGTTTCTGTTGAGGCTGGGGGTATTGCAAAGATTATACCAGCAACAGAGAGGGGACAAAATCATTAAATGCAGATAGAGAACAGGGAAGCTGGCAGTGTAATGACTTAGGCCTTCTTCTCAAGGTCCAAAGGGTGACACCCACGCAGGGCTTGATCTTCTGAAATCTGCATTGGCAGACAACAGAGTTGAGCTCTTGTACTCAGGTGTTGCATTTATAAGGCCTGGATTGAGCTGAATAACCCATTTTAGGCTAGAGATATTAGCTTATAGTTATAAAATTCTGATTGGATACCAACGTAAAAATTGATTAACGACCAATGAGAATTGATTAGCCCTTAGGTTGAGGGCATATTAGTGGAACAGAGTAGAAACTTGGGGACCAGCTCTTTACCTCTGTACCCCCAGGAAAAGCAGGAAAGACAAAGGAATAGTGAAGGAAAGCCATAAACCTTCACTGCAAATGCTTTGCCAGTCTTAGGGGATTTTTTCGTGTAATACTACACAGGAGCCTAAGTTTTCCCATATGTTCTTGGTTAAGGACACAAGACGGGGGGGGCTAGGGTAAGGGGAGTGAGGCACTTGATTTGGGTGCAAAATTTAAGGGGGAACCAAAAAACTCAGTAATCAGGCAAAAAAGTTACTCTTAAGACTTTAAATTAATGCAAAAAAAGTCCGTGATAAACATCAAAAGTTTTTAAACATAGCCAGGATCCACAACAGCACCATGCGGAACCATATTAGAACCTGAGGCAAAAGGAAAATCACGAGTAGCCGTCCTGCCTTTGCTTAAAATTTTGGTATTTTTGTTCCTTGTGGATACTTTACATTAGTTTTGATATCTTGATGTTGCATTAAAATACTATGCTTCTTCGTTACTGAGTTTTTGGCGCCCAAGGTGGGTGCCTCACTCACCTCACCCTGTCCCTGCCTTGAGGACCGTTAAGAAGTGGGGCTTCCCAGCTAACCCAAGCAGCAGTTTACTGAAGGCCAATTAGCAGCCACATTACCTCAGTTTTACTCCAAAATGTCCCATCTCCTTCCCCTTTAGTTTCTGGAAACAGAAAGAAGTATTCAAGATTTTACACCTTATTCCCTCATCCTCATCTAACTCCCAACTCCTGGGCTCAAAGGCATCCTTCCTTCAAAGCCAGGAGGGGTGGCAGCGATGAATGGGTACCAAAGCCCTCTGAGCACTAGGCGGCCTGGGCCTGGTGAGAGAGGGCAAGCAGAACACACTCTACTAATGAAATGAAACATCACACAATCAACTGCTTTAATTATCTTGAATACCAGCATTTGGGAAAACAGGTGGCTGGGAAGGGAGTTTTCTTCGGCTTTCCTGAGGGAGACTTAGTAAGGCAGTCATTTAAGGATGTGTGTTAAAGGGAGAAAGAAAGTGCCTGGAAATATGAGGACATCGTGACACACCCCTTCAGCCACCTTCGTTCCTTCCCTAGGCCTAGGATGGTAGGGCATCACTCTGAGAAGGCCAGTCCGAGCCACTGCTGGGTTGTAATTGGCTCTGAGTCTAGCAGTGACCAAGGCCTTTTCCCCTGAGTTTTGGGCTCAGAAGGGACCTAACGCAGAAGTGGGCGCAGCTGCCGTGGCCTGTGCCGAGCAGGTGCTCTTCTAGGAAGCTTCCTAACTGCTGCTACAGGAAAGGCCCCTCATTCTAGGGACCCTTCTGAAGGCAGGCAGCCAACCCTCCCAAGTCAGAGAGCACACCTCCCTCTGACTCGATACCACCCATGTGGCCCACTCTCGTGGTGCAGGAAGCATTCACCTTTGGGAACTCAGGCAGGAATGTAGCAGGACACACAGTTACTTCGTTTTGTTGATTTTGTTCATTTGCTTGTAGCAAATTCAATGATCAGCTCTGGGAACTTTGGGAGATATTCCTGCTGGTGACCTGAAGATGCCAAAACCATGCTCACTGGTCCCTCCTTCCCTTTTCTTTTCCTCTTTCCTTTTTCTTTCTTTGCTGTTTCTTCCCTTCCTTCATTCCTTAACTCTTTCTCTCCCTCTTTACTTCCCTCCTTTCTTCCTTCCTTCAATCCTATCAGAGAGTATAGAAGTCCACACTCTTAAGGGAATCCAGTCTGGGACTTCCCTGGTGGCATATTGGTTAAGAATCTGCCTGCCAATGCAGGGGACATGGGTTCGAGCCCTGGTCTGGGAAGATCCCACATGCCATGGAGCAACGAAGCCCGTGTGCCACAACTACCGAGCCTGCACTCTAGAGCCTGTGAGCCACAACTACTGAAGCCCATGTGCCACAACTACTGAATCCCGTGTGCTTAGAGCCTGTGCTCTGCAACAAGAGAAGCCACTGCAATGAGAAGCCCGTGCACCGCAATGAAGAGTAGCCCCTGCTTGCTGCAACTAGAGAAAGTCCACACGCAGCATAAGTAAATAAATAAATTTATTTATTAAAAAAAAAAAAGAATCCAGTCTGATAGCACCAACCCACTGAGTTCCCTGTGCCTTCTAACAAACTTAAGCTCCTTTCTGCCTTAAGGATTTAAGCTGCAGATAGGAAATGCAAATTGCTGACCTACCACTCCCTACCCACACTGTCCTCCATAATATTTAATGTGTAACTTGGAAAAACAAAAACTTCCTGTAGAGCATCTCTGATGCGGATTGCATTGCACTAAAGACCGTAGGGACCCGAGCCCTAGCAATATGTAATTGCCCATCTTGCTTTCATGTATCAGGCCCCTTCCATGCAATGCCATGTGCTACTCCATAACTGAGCACTGATCTATCTAGGGCTTTGTGACAGCTCCTCTGTTTTAAGCAACAGTCAATTCACCCTACAAAGTCAGAAAGGGAGTTTTTGATGGCTGCTGTCAGTTTTATTGCTTTATCCTGGTTACTAGGATAGACTCTGCAGACACGGTGTGTTCATTGGTTTTATGTATCCCATGTTGTGGCTGCTATGACAAGCTACTCCTATAAAAACATGTTATTATTGCATATTGTAGCTCAGTGAGCTGACCCTGCATTTCAAAGTGTCCTGAAGCAAATAGCGTTGAAGTCCATAAAAACCGACTTGGCCTCCATCACAGGGGACTCTCTGCATGAGCTGCAACTCCCACAGTCTGGGAGCACGTTTTACATTTCCCCTGTGCCAGCAGCCATCACTGTTAACTGAACGCAGCACAGACCCAAACACAGGCGTTATCTACGTATCTACATAAAATTTCAGGGCAGGAAACTGTCATTTTATTTCTACCCATCTAATTCCCCAGTAAGTGCCACTTACAATTTTGAAGTTTACAAAAGCATGAAATAAATGACTATAATGTTTTCATATATTAGTGTAGCAGGCAAGAGGGGTGGCTGACATTGCTTTCTATCTGCCCTGAATGTTAAAGAGAAAATTAACTTGAATTACAGCAAGAGAGGATGCAGTTAGTTCTACGCAAGTCACGATGAGGTGGTCCTGGGTGTTGAGTTCGAATCAATTGCCTGATACATCAAGAACTAGGATGCCTGGTGTGGCAGGAGTTAGTCTGAAGGCTGCAGAGGAATCAGCAGCCCAGTGTTTCTCCCAGAGCTCCCGGATACTGGTTTATCAGCAGAATCATCTGGGGAATTCTTTTTTTTTTTTTTTTTTTTTGCGGTACGCGGGCCTCTCACTGTTGTGGCCTCTCCCGTTGCGGAGCACAGGCTCCGGATGCGCAGGCTCAGCGGCCATGGCTCACGGGCCCAGCCGCTCCGCGGCATGCGGGATCTTCCCGAAACGGGGCACGAAGCCGTGTCCCCTGCATCGGCAGGCGGACTCTCAGCCACTGCGCCACCAGGGAAGCCCCATCTGGGGAATTCTTTACCAAACAGATTCCTGTGCTCCACCTCTGGATACTGGGATTCTGTTAGACTAGGGTTGGCCTTGGACTCCCAGCCAAATGATTTCATGTAAAGTCCTTCCCTTTTCTTAACTTTATCAAAGAGTAACAGAAACCTGTGTTGGGCTCCATGAGTCAAATGAGCTGAAAAACTACGCCATATCCTGTAAGAGGAAATTTCCGAACAAAATGGGAAAAAAGTGTTAAGGAGCCTTCCAATCCAAGGGTGAGACATCTGGGCAAGCAGCTCATTACTCTCTTCTGCCATCACTGCCAGGCCACAGCCTCTGCCCCTCAACTACCCTGCTCTCCCACCTACCCCCACTCCATCCCAGCTGTTGACAACTTGAAATCACTTATGGAATACTGTGGGTCTTGAAAAAGGAAAGGACTAATCTATTATTCTTAAATTTGGTTTCTAAAAGCCATTATTGCTCATGAAAGATTAAACAGTGAACTGCATTGAACATTCACCTCTCGCCACCCCTCCCCCCATCTTTAGATAATATTCTCTAAACATTTGGCTGTTCGAGACATGGTACTAGATCCTACAAAGGTAAGTAGAAGACAGCGGGTCACCTGAGCATTCATCTGTCTTCCCCGTCTCCATTTATGTCGGTTCACGGGCTTTCTAAACAGCTTGGGAGACCCTTTTTCTCTTTCTCCTGTCTTTGGAAACAACCTAAATGTCCAAAAAGAGATAAATGATTAAAGACATTCTACGTTCTTGGGTGGGATAACAACATAAACATGCTGATACTACTAGGAATTAAAGAAAAACAAGTTAAAATGAGATAAAGTTTTATATCAGTCTGGCAAAAAGAGGAGGCTGGATAATAGTGTAGGTGGGATGTAGGATTATAGGAACTGCAATGCACTGCTTATGGGTGGAGACTGGTGCAGCTATTCTAGGACCATGAGGCAAAAATTCATCAAATTGAATATGTGACCCACCAATCCCGAGCTGGGTGTGTATCACAAAATTTCACAATTCCACAACAATACACAGTACAGCGTTATTTCCTTGTCCTCTATGTATGAGAGCCATTTTGTGAACCAACAGATAGAGCTTGATGAAAAAAAAAAAAACCACAACCCAAATGACATATTAACATGATTTTTATCAATTAAAAATACATGTATACAGAACAATGATACCTATGTTTTTTAAGAACACAAAACCAAACCATTAACAAAGTTGCCTGTGGGGTAGGAGAGGAGGCTGGATGCGAGTGTGGGGATAAGTTTCATGAACCTTGGCGCCAAGGTTGATGAGCCAAGGACCGAAGAGTAGGATGACCTCAAACATCTGCCTCTGAGCTTCTCTACTTGTGCACGTGCGCGTGAGAGGAAATAACGCAGCACGTCCTTAACATGAAATGCCATGCGGCCATTATAAATAATATTGCAGAAGTATACTTATAGACATTGAAATATATTTTTGATTTCATACTAAGCAAAAGAGGTTACCAAACATTATGCCCACTATTATTTCTTTTTTTTTTTTGGTAACATAAAAATCCATATAGATTGAAGAATGAAAGTGGCTGGGGAATTGCAGTGATTCAAACATTTTGTTTTGCTTTTCTGTATCTTTAATTTGCCTTCAATTGATCATGTATTGTGCAATAAAGAAAAAAATCAGAATTTTTCTTTTTAAAGAGTTTTTTGTTTTCACAAAGGCACAAGAATAAAGAGGTAGTGAGAATTTACAGATAGTACTGAGAAAGGAGCAGCCTTTTCCTAAGGCTTTGTGATTTCAAATGCAAATGCTCAAGCCCAAGCTTCCTGGGTCGCTCTTTCCTTTTCCTTGAGGACAGAGGGGGCCATAGTTGTTCTAAGAATCTCCACTTGAAAGGGGCAATAGGCTGAGGAGCTAGGACTCGCATTACTGGGTAGCACTGAACTGATGCGCCTGGGAGGCCCTCCACAGGAACTACCCTCTGTCCCTACAAAGGACTGCCTCCAGCCGAGGAAAGTCACTTCAGCCCAGTACTGTTTCACACAGCATATGTATGCCAAAGGGACAGAACTTTCAGGCAAAAGATTTTTTATTTAGACAGGTTAGGGCTGGAGGATATGGAGACGCCAGCTGACATACGAAGGCTCAGGAGCTGCAACATGCTTGCTTTAGGCCTCGTAAATAGCTTCATCCTTCACCTGCAGGTTCTGACAGCCCTCTCCGGGCAGCGCTTCAGTGAAACATCAGATGACTTTGTTAGAGTCTGTCAGCTTTACAATATTAAGAGACTTTCTGTAAAGCTGCATGGAGCAATTCCTAGAAACCATATGCAACAGATCTTCCTTTTCCCCACATCTGAACAGACTCGATGTTCAGTCCATCTCGGTAGAAGATTCTTTCATTGCCTGCATCCAAGTATTGGGCTTGACAGTCCCACCGGCAGCCTGTGATAAGAGACGGTGACCTTGTCTTTTGGATTCCCAGGAATCCAGGCGACGTTGCTGCATGTTTTTTTATGACGAATGGTGCTAATGCTTCCAGTACAGGGTCTGATGTGTCTGAACTGCCACACATCTCAGGCCCTGAACCTGGGCCAAGTGACTGACGTTTAGTATACAGAAAGTAATAAAACCAAGGTTCAACAAAGCTGTGGTCATTTCCAGCTTTCTTAGATATATGAGACGCATACGATACTAACTGGGGTAGGAGGTAGGAAGAAAGAGAAATAACACAAAATGACTTTGTGGAAAGTGTTAAAAACATACTGGCAGGAAGGAAATTAAATTGAGTGAACTGCCCTACCACTGAATTCCTTAATGTCTGGCCTATACTGAAGTAAGCAAATTTCCACAGCTAACAGAGCTACACTTTTTCATGTAACATTTGTGTTGTGAACCAAAAATCTAGAAGGGAAATTGCCTACTGACTAATTAGTAATTAATTAGGACTAATAAAGGAGTCCTATTACAGAGAACGATTAGCTTGCTTGGCTCATGGCTTCCCGCCAATCATCAGGTTTGTAATTTTGCACCATATGAATTTTTTTGCATGTAAACTTAGAAAATGAGATGGCTTAGATCATTCACAGAGGGCCCTGGGTCTTGAATTCAATTGCATGATACCTGGTAATGTTTAGAAAGGTCAAGAGCTTTAGAACCAGAAAAATCCACGCTCTAATCCAAGCTCTCTTTACAGGGTATATGTTAAGTAAGTCACATAGCCTGTCTGGGCCTATTTGCTCACCAGTAAAATGGGGATGCCACCGCCATCTGGTTTGAGGCTTATGTTGGGGCTCAAATAAGATGGCAGATGGAAAGCATCTTGCCCAGTACTAAGGGTACACATATAGTAGGCAGACAATAAATGTTAGGTTGCTTCCTTCCTTTCGGATGGTCTTAATGCTTTTTAATTATGAGGGAGGAGACAGGATGGGAGGAAAAGAAAGATGAGAGAACACAATGGTAATTGATGGAGCAAGGTTTTGGGAGAATTGAAGTAGGTGGAGTCATGGAGAAAGGACACTTCTTCCTGAGACTGTAGGGAAAATGGTGAGAATGATGTGAAAGTTGGTAAGTTCTGCAGCAAAGGAAGAAGGTTGGTAGAAAACAGAGGAAGGACTTAAAGGAAGACTTAATCTCAAAGAATGGAACATGTTCGTGTGGGTTAAAAAAAAATAGCAAACCATTCCACTCACCAAAAGGAATCTGCAGAAAACCATCCTTTCCATAAGAGAGAGTTACATTCAGTAATGTTTTAGAGACGCTATGTATGTGTGTATATGGGAAAAAACTTAATAGTCATTATCTTTTCATGCTAAATTTTTATTTCAATGTTATGCAACTGCATAAGTATAAATATTTGTTCAATATACAACAATTATGACATCCATAGGGAATTGCTTAGAGAAAATAAGACTGCAAACACTTTATTGCACAGATCCTAACAAACTTTGAAGCTGGTAAATCTACAGCTGGGAATACTACCGAGGAGCACATCTTACAATCACAGGAGACCGACCAAAATAGAACACAGGAGAATTTCTACCAGCTGACTGGAGAGGTTTACAACAACAAACAGGTATTACATGAATGCAACCTTAGGTACTCCGTAGCCATCCAAAATGCAAAAACATATTTGGCAAAAATGATAATACACTATACAAAATATACATCAAAAATATCATTTGTAAACAAGCAGCTAGTTGTGCTTTAAAGGAAAGTGGACAGTTAGAAAGCAAAGGCTGTAAACCATAAACTACCTCCCCGATAGGCCTGTCTAGATGTCTGGGTGCAGAAGGATCGGGTTATGACAACCGCCAAATGCACGTATGAATTATAAATGTTGAGACCATTTTTGAAACCCATTCAAGATCTTTCAACATATTTGTTTCTTCTACAATTCACAACATAGTGATGGGGAATGGCTAAAACCTCATGGGAAAAAAATTCGGAGCAAGGAGGAGACTTTTTTTCTTTTTTTCTTTTGCCATTGCCAACTCATTTTACAATGAAGGACAACCAAGCAGTTTAAGTTACGCCTTTGTTTTTGGAGCGGAGTTTACAGCCTCACTGAATGATTTATAATCCACAGGGCTGTAAGATGAAGCTGTGCTTAGGTGAACAATGTTATAGCCTGAAGATACTAAGACACTCCCCAGGGGGGATGGGTGCTGGATTAGTATTTCTTCTTGGTAATTTTTTTTTTTTTCTCTTACAAAACAAAAAATCCTGCTACGGATCCCAAGCATCTTATAAATACTTATCTGTGTGTATTTTCTCTTAGTGCCTTAGTACTTATGTCAGCAAGTGCTGTCTTACAATATAAAACAATCCACCAGGAAGGAAAACTGCAACAAAAAACAAACAAAAAGATCCCCCTCAGCACTAAAATGATTGGACAAATTCTACATATTCCATGGTATACAAAATTTAAATAAGGCTTAGCAAAAGTAAAAAGGACAGTCACATTCAAGCACCAAATAGCTCCAACAAGTCTTTTTGTTACAAAAATGATGCTCTTTATTAATACAGTATTTTTTTTTGCATACAAATAAAGAGATCATGTTATGAAATGTATGGAGCTACTTGATGTATCAGAAATGAATGTGAAACCCAGGAACTTGCTAAAAACAGCAAGCTTCATCTACAACATAAGGCCCCAGCTATGTATTAAAATGTATCTGATGTCCTGATTATTCCTTAAAATATATGCTATGATGCCAAAATCCACAACCCCACCCCGTCCCCCGACTTTTCCTCAAAAAAGCAAATTGAAAACCTCTTCCAATGCCCGATGCTTATGAGCAGATTTGTGTGCGGCCAGCAACTTTCCTTTATGTTCAACAGCAGGGCTGGTGCAGAACTACTATAAAATGTGTGCTTCTTAGACTAGTGACTCATAGCATAAAGGCCTGAGTTTAAGAGCATGAAAAGGAAAAGCGAGAGAACAGAAAGGGAAAGCAAAAGAACAGAAATAAGTCGACATGTGTTTATAGCCCCCGCTCTACCTATGGTGAGGAGTTGACATACACACCCACAGACAAGGACAACTGGCCTTTCAGACAGCTGGGCCCAGGGTCAAAATGGCTATTAGGATGACCATGAAATGAAATGAAAATGGCTAGCTCCAACTGTTGTGGCCATTTCTGATGGAGGAGGATTCCAAATGCAGTGATTCGAGTAGTTCTTTAGATCTGGAAGTATAGGTAGCCAGATACAGTACTATCAAAATCACTCGTTAAAAATACACATGAAGGCTTACAATCTAGTGTATTTGGGGCTTTCTTTCACCTTCAACTCGACTTAGAATGTTTTAACGTAGAAAAATGTAGCCTTGAAATATTCTTTTCAACCACAGACCAGAACACGTGGGTGGATGTGTATATACACGAATATGGGTGTATCTATACTTTTACATATACCCAGGTTTAACCCTTTTGCTTCGTTACTGCATTATGATCAATGGTAGAGCGAAAATCTTATTAAAAAAAAAGCTGTAGTAAATGATGCCATCAGCAGCAAAGTATCGACTCTATATCCCCCAAACCAAACACATTGCTAGGTATTTACAGAGAAAATCGTTTTCCTCAACAATCCGCAACCTCAACCTCAACCAAAAAGATTTTTTGTTTTTTTATTTTTATTTTTTTTGTACAAACACTATCTGGTAACAGTTTACCGGTTCCAATTGGGAAGGCATTTGGAAGAAGGTCCCTTCTTTTCCTGTTTCTTCTCTCCCCCTTCTTCGGTGAGGCTCCAGGCTCTGCCTGGGGGGGGTTCCCACAGTGCTGGTTTCCAAGGTAGTCAAGATGCAGTTACACACGCAGGCTGGGTGCCCCAGTCCCGCCAGGGGCCTGCCCCATCACAAGGCCTTCTTGTGTGGGCTGCCGCGCAAACTCTCTTTCCCCCGCCTCTGTCGCACCCCAGAGTCCTTCTCAGAAGGAAGGGCGATGGGGCGCTCCGCGCTTGGAGCGGGGAACGGCTTGGTCACCTCTCTGCCCACATTCTGCTTCCTAGTCTGAGCTGGCTGGGCGGGGGCCGGCTCTTTCCCTTTGGTTTCTCCCGCGGTGGCTGCTCCTGAGAGGACCCTGTCCCGGTGGCTGGCGCCCTCCCCCACGCCTGGGTTAGGGTGATAGGATTCCAGAGTGATGGCTGAGCTGCGGAAGGATGGCAAGGAGTCGCTCTTTGTCATTTGGGTTCTGCCATCCCCCCCAGGCAGGGGCTTTCGATGGTCCCTGCTGCTGGAGGCTGAGGGCTCAGCTGTGGCCCTGCCGGCCTTGGCAGAGAAGGTGTCGCTGCAGGTTGTAGAAGTCTCTGAAACTACTGATCTAGCCTCGGGAAAGCCAGAGGAGTAGCTCAGAGACTTCTCGGGGAGGGCAGTGCAGCGGAAAGAGCTCTGCGCCGTGGCCGAGGGCGACCGTTTCATGCCACTGGGCTTGCCCGCCTCCGTCAGTGGCTTCTGGGAACCGGGCCCTTTCCCCTTGGCCTCCGGCCAGCCCTTCCCGGCGGCTGCTGCCGGCCTCTCCGTGCCCTTGGGCCCAGCCTCACCTTGCACCGGGGAAAGGCTGGCCCCCGGCTTCCCACTGTCCACAGGGGAGTAAAGTGCTTCGGTGCATTTCTTGCCTTCAGACTTCCCGGCGTCAGCGCTGGCAGCCGGCGGACTCAGGCTCCTGTCTGTCTGTTTGCACAGAGGGGGATAATCTTTCACAGTGGATGGTTTGGGGGCCTTTGGAGATGGGTTTTGCCTTTCCCCTACAGTGGGAAGTTTCTGGTCTACCGACTCACTGGCCCCTAGGGGTCCTTGCCGTGGTGGATGTGCGGGCTTCTCCAGTGCCTCTGGGGGATGCCCACTGCTGGTGGGTCTCAGCTTGGTGTCTAGAGGACCCCATTCCATCTGTAGGGGGACTGAGGGCCCACTTGCTCCCTGGCCAATCACATCGCGGGCTGTGTTCTGGGGACCTGGGAGGGCAGGGAACTCCTCTGACACACCCTTACTGCTGCCCTTCCCCTCTTTGCCGGGGGCCTGAGCACCAGGCTCTTTGCCCACTGCAGCCTCAATGCTCAGCTTCTGGGAGAAGAGGGGCCGGTCTGGGTGCTTAGACTTTGGAGGGTCTGTGTCGGGGCCAGACCTGGGCTTGTGGCTGCTGCTTTCACAGAGCACGGCAGTGGGCTTGGGAGGGTCCTGGAGGCCCAGGATTGAGTGTGTAGCACAGGGCTTGCTCCCAGGCAGAGAGCCAGCAGGGTAGCTTTGTTGAGTGTAATGCCGCTGAGCGGCCAGGCGAGGGAGCTCTTTGGTGGTAGGTAGGGGCTGAGAGCTACTGGTGAGGTGATGCTTCTGCAGGGGCTGTTCTTTCCTTTCTGGTTCCTTGGGACCATCTTTCTGCACAGATCCGAAACCGGAGAGCTTTTCACTCTTCTCACTCTCTGTCCCGGGTGGCTCCAGAGACCACCTGGCAGAAGCGAATGCCAGCTTAGATTCCGGGCCACTCCTTCCCTTGCCCAGCTCCCTCTCACAAGGAGTCGCTGCAGAGTGCAAAGAGGGGCCTTCTCTGGCCAGTGGCCTCACCTCATCTCGGCCGTCTTTGGGGTTTGTTTTCCCACAAGGCCCGCATGCTTTCTCCAGGGCCTGGGTCTGGGTGGAGACATCTGGGCGGGTCCTCCCCACAGCGGGGAGGGTTTTGGAGTTGTCACTGGTTTTAGTAGCTTCTGGTGGATACAGCTCCTTGGAGGGGTCTCTGCGGATGTCGGCCCTCAAAGCCAACCGCTCACTTCTGGCTGTGGGAGGGCTCCTTTCGGACGACTCCCTCCCACTAGGCTTCTCCCTCAAGGGGGCACCTTCAGGTGGGAGCGGGCTGCGCAATCTAGACGGGTCAGCACCTTGGAGGTTCTGCCCCAGGAGGGGAAGGAGCTTAACATCGGGCCTGTGGTCTTGGTGTTGGCTGGGGCTGCCCTCTCCCCGCTGGGGATGGCTTTCCACGATGGTCACCGGGGTCCTGGCTGCATGGGAAACCTTCCTGTCCAGCTTCAGCTCTGGGTCAGGCAGGGGTGATGCCAGTGAGCCCTGCAGACCCCGGCTGGGTGGTGGGAACCGAGGCTCGAGCAGGTAGGATTTGTTCACCTTGAAGCTGGCAGGGGAGGACTCCCTCTGACCCGCAGTTTCACCCTTCCTCCCCACGCTGCCGGCGGGAGCCTGTGGCACAGGGGGCCCTACGTCACTGCCTGGGCTGGGGCTCTGGGCAGGCTCTGGTGAAGGCAGCTCCGTCTTGGAGGCCTGCGGTCCAGACAGAAGAGCAATGTCCAAAGTGCCCTCAATGGGCTTCAGGCATGACACAGACCGCCCTTCCAGCTTATACTCGGAGGGGCTTTTCCGGACAGGCGACTCTGGAGCAGCTAAGCCCGGCTTCTCCGCTCCGCTGTCCACCCGGCCAGAAAGGGCCTTGAGAGGGACAAAGGAGACGGTGCTGAGCTGAGCCACGTGGCCGCTGATGAATGGCGCGCGGCTCTCGGAGGCCGGCTGGGCCTCCTGCTGCCCCCCCGGCCGGTCGGCTCGCGCTCCCCAGCAGGCCCTCCTGGGCACCAGATGTCATCTTGGGCTTGAGCACAGGGCAGGGGCCATCATCTTTGTCTTCAAGGGACATCTTCTTTCTGAGGTAATCGATGTTGGCCAGCTTGCTGTCTAACTTCTCACACCGGGGACCCTCCTTGGCCTGCGGGGCCTTCTCCGTGTACTCACCCTTCCCAGAGGTGGGCCTGTGGGTGGCGTGACAGAGACCGTCTTGTAGGGTGCTGTGAGCCGAGGCTCGTTTGAGGTCACCGGTGCCCTGGCTGTGGTCCCCGGGAGCTGCTGCCCCCTCCGAGGTGACAGCCTCGCTGGCCCGCACACTGGCCTGTTTGTGGAGAGCATCTTTCAGCAGGCTGCCCGGGGCCTGGGCCTCCTGCGCGGCTGCTTTGTTTTCAAAATGCTTTGACCTTTCCGAAGCCTTTGGATAGATTTTCTTCTCTCTGTCTTCTAGCCTAAAAGCAGAGAGGTTTTCCACATCATTGCCAAGTGCATGGGGTTTCTGGCGGGATTCCTGTTTCTCTGGGAGCCCGTCGGGCTTCTTCACCACCACCTTGGCCTTCAACTTCTCTCGGTCCAGCTCGTCCACAGACTCTTGTCGGCCCAGCTTCCGGGACACAGGGCGTTTCAGGCAGCCTTGCTCCACAGGCCTGGCCCGGCTGAGGGCAGGCGCGTCGCACACGTTCTCCTCCAGGCTCTGCAAGGTCACCTCCCGCTGGGACTGCTCCCGCGGCGGCACCTCCTCCTGGGTGACCTCCAGGCTGTGCTTGCGGGAGCACAGGTGCTTCTTGTCACTGCCGTAGGAGGGAGAGAGCTTCTCCTCCGACTGCACGCGCTTGAGCAGCGGGGACCGCGGGGGCTCTGCGCTCTTGGGCCTCACAATGTGTCTGACGATGGTCGGGGGGGAGTGCATTTTGCTGGGAAAGGCTTGAGAGATCTTGGAGTTGCCAAGTGAATGTCCCAACAGAGGGGACGGTGACCGCTGAGGGGAGGTGGGCTGTGGAGTTGGAGAGGGTGTCCGGGCCAGCGGGGAGAGCGGGATGCTGCCCGCTGACTTACGTCTTCCTGACCGGTATCGCTGCCCGCTGAGTTTGGGGGCCAGGCCGTGGAGAGTGCTGGGCCGGATGTGTCCTGACCCTGCCGGGGAGTTGGGGGCACTAGAGCTTGGGGAGCTGCTCTGGGAGGAGTTAGTACCTGTGGGTGGAAAACAGGATGCTGTGAGCAACGGCCACTTTCCCTTTGCTTTCCATGCTTCCAGACCTAGCTGTTTTAGATAAGGTCAGGTAAAGGTCAGCAAATTGTCTTAGCATCTAAGCCTAGTGAATAAATGCTTTTCAGATAAACCTCCCCACACCAAGGGTTAACCCAGTACTTCCTGTCTTTTTTAATGGACCGAACAGCTGTATCTTCTGACCTTCCTATAAATCCTGTTCTCTGTCAATTACAACCTCAACCTTCTTTCCTTAAGCAGGAATAAGCCTCTCTTCCAGGATCTCAGATGGTGACCCCTCAACTCTTGAGAGGCAAGGAGACTCACTCACCGGATGGGAAGTCGGGGGTGGAGCGGTAGCTGGGAGTAGGGGATCGGGGAGACAAGCTGTGAGTGGGGGACCCCGGGAGGCTCTCCCCTGATGACAGGGATCTGTTCAAGCAGGAGAAGCTTCGGCTGGTGTGGAGTAAAGGAGAAGGCTGCTTGGCTAGTTTTTTGAAAAGGGATCTTCTCCTAGAGTGAAAACAGAAGAAAACGGATCAGATTCTACATTCAAAACCACTCCTCCTACCCATAGCACCAGTGCATTCAGTACACGCCCCTGTGCCAGAGACGGTGATGGGATGATGGCAGATCCTCTTAAAGAGAAGGATCCCACTTTTATATTCAAAACTTTTTTATGACTTAGAAAGGAAGAGGTTTTGATAATACACAATGGAAGCTCTCTTCTCTTAATTTCAAGCACTTTAAGAAGAGCTGTGAAAATAGGAAAAATATATAATAAATATACATTCATTTATTTATATGTCAGGTTTTTGAGGACACAGTTTTTTGCCTGAAAGCTTCTGAGTACATAGCCCCAAACACACTGACACAATTTAATTAATTAAGAGGTAATACAAAGTAAATCCCTGGAAGAAAAACCATCATCTTGGATATAGAATTCTTTGATGGTGGTACACTGGGTAGAGGCTTTATCTCTGAGGGGCTGTTTGCTGTGCTTATTCCATTGTGAGCTCTTGAATATTCCTAATGACTGTGCACGCTGTACGTTTACACAGAAAAACCGAGCAAGGTGAAATGAAGCTTATCACATCAGCAGGGCAGGAGACACCATGCTGCAGCACAAGCAAATGTGTAGTTAGTGCCCCACGAGCACACCTGAAAGCTAAAAGCACAGCTTCAGGTGGCTTCGAAGTGCAGGTGGCTGTACAGAGTTCCTTCATCCTCAGGTAGTTTACACTCTGCTACCCCTTGAAGCAAGTGTGTTCTATATGACCTAAACCACCATTAAAATATAAAGCTCACATTAAAAAAAAAAGGAGGATCTCAAAATGTGTGTGTGTGTGTGTGTGTGTGTGTGTGTAAGTTTAATCACAGTAATACATGTACTTGGGTTAAAAAGTCAAATAGTTTGTAATGAAAAATAGCAACTCCCTGCTCTGCCTTTTTCCCAATCCCCAGAGAAACCACTTTCTAGTCTTTTAGCTGTTTCTTTTCCTATTTGTCTGCATATTGCTATGAAATGTGCTTATGCTGTTTTTTTAGTTTTTCGAATTTAGAAATTATCTGTTGATTTCCTACCACAAAAAATGAGAATTAAGCTCGTATACAACTGCTTCCACCTTCTAACCGAAAACACTTCCCTGTTTCTATTCCTCTTAGTAGTGCTAAACCAAAATTTTTGGTTAGAAAAAAAAGGCTGGTGTTTTCTTTATTTTACATGATAAATACTGTTCACAGCTTGGCCATAATTCTATTTTCCTTCCTTGTATAACTCTGTCTTTCCTGGAGTCAATAATCATTCCTTTCTCATTTGCTTATTTTTCTTTTCTATCATCAAAAATCCTCATAATGTGATCCAACACACCATATCCAAGTGGGCAAAGTAGGGCTGCTGTGGCATGGTGCAGTGAGCACGTCTAGACAACTGCCTGGCAAGAAATATCCTCACCAGAAACACACACATACACACACCTTGCCAGTGCCTGCACGGGGCACAAAATGGTACTCACGGTGCCTCTCACAGTGCAAACGTGTAGCCAAGTTAGGCTTTCAGTCAGTAAAACAAAGCCTTTTTATTTCTAGGCTTATTTGGATGCTTTAAAGATCTAGTTATCTTCAAACATCTGGCATTAAAAAATAGCAACTGGGGCTCCCCTGGTGGCGCAGTGGTTGAGAGTCCACCTGCCGATGCGGGGGACGCAGGTTCGTGCCCCGGTCCGAGAAGATCCCATATACCGTGGAGCGGCTGGGCCCTGAGCCTGCGCATCTGGAGCCTGTGCTCCGCAACGGGAGAGGCCACAACAGTGAGAGGCCCGTGTGCCGCAAAAAAAAAAAAAAAAAAAAAGCAACTGTTTGTTTTTAGATAATGTAAAGGACGTTATTAAATACAGATATAATGCTAAAAACTGCCTGAAGTTTCAGTTCCTCAAATCCAACTCAACTGAAATGAAGTCTAGAGGCTTAAGAAAAGGCAAAGGGCTTTTCATGGTTCTCACACATGAGAAGAAGCAATATAAATTCTTCTACACTGTAACTACATAGGTCTTTTCACTATGAAAAAGAATGCTGTTACGAAGGAATATAAATGCTAATGTATAAATACATGTGAACCACAGGGCAACATTTCTCACAGAGAAATGGATCCTTCTCATATGCAAGCATTTACATTAAGCAAGGAGTAAATGTCGCTCAGTGTGGGAATGCACCAAACCCATGAAGAGGACGGCTCTAACTCACCTTTCCAGACTTTCCTTCTTCTTGGATTTCTTGCTCCGCCTTACCATCCGGCTCTTATAGCTGTTTCTCCTGGCTGGCCCCGTCTTGATTGATGTGTTCTCAAATGGGGTGGTCGTGATCGACACCTTATTTCCACTCTATAAAAATATGATGTGGTATTAAAGCGAAATGCTGTGATGAAACAAGACCAGAACAGAGATAGGAGAGCCAAAGACAAAGAAAAGATCCATAAGGACGGACATACAAAAGGCTTCCATGTGTCAATGACCCTTCAAGCAGTGAAGTCCTGACAAACTCGGTGGAAAAAAAATGTGAGGTTTCCTTAAGAGGGTGGGATCTGGAACTCCACAGAGCTGAGTTCAAATCTGAGCCTGTGACCTGAGCACTTGCTTTCCATCTAACAGGAGAGTCACACTTATCTCATAGAGCTCGTCTGAAGATCAAGGAGATAGAGTCTGTAAAGCCTTTAGCACTGAGGGTGACACATGGAAAGGACTCTATAAATCACAGTTATCCTCATCCATATGTATTAAGTATAAAGATGCCCAGGGGCTCTCTAGAAATCATAAAAAAAAATCATAAAGCAGCAAAACTGAATGAGACTTCTATTTTAAATTATTTTTAAAGGTTCCTTTTCTACCACCAGAAAACCTGTCAGCAGGCAGAGCTGGAAAGTTCATGCCAGCAGGTATGAAACAGCCTCTGTTTTGCCAGGTCAGGCATGGTGAGGTCATTCCTGGTGGGTTTCTGTGCCCTACCACTTGAACCTGGGACAGGGGCTGGCTGGGCAGGCCCTGGGGATGGATTTGAGAGCAGAGTTAGAGGGCAAGCTGAGGTGTGCCCTGGGCAAGTGGGCAGGACCCACCCCCTTCACTCCCATATCAATGACCTCTTCTTGAATTTCTTAATAACCAGGAGAGAAACATGTCCTTTCAGAGTCACAGATGGCCCCGATTACCTTAAGAAGACAAGAAGCATACGGAGAAGGGCCTTTTAAAAGGCCTATGCCTGGAAGATGCCTAGCAACTCAGCTCTAAGTGGTATTAAGAGATGGGGAGTTGAGTATGATGGGGGCTGGGGGCTGGAAAAACAGAGATTGTTTTAATATCAACATCCACCTTCCCTCCCAACTTGGGAAGTAATACGTGCCATTAGAAGAAAAGAGTAAAGCATATATATATATAAAAAAATCACTGAGGAGCTTACCACCCAGCTAACATTGGTAACATTTCTGTATATTTCCTGCTGGTCTCTTATCAGGCATGTAGAAAGTATGTATATATATATAGACACACTTTATAAATAATTTAAATCTTAATTAAATTAATGTCATATTTAGTTTTATGTTTTTTGTTCACTTCACATTTCCTAACTTTGAAAAACCTGCCCTTCGTCATTGAATATTCCTTAAGAACATGATTTTTACTGGCTATTTAAAAATATTCCATGAGATGGGTGAATCACAATTTAACTATTTCCCTACAGCTATTGTTTTCTATCTCGCAATTCTTGTAAGGGCTGGAATAAATACCTTTATCTCTAAATCGCTGTCCGAGCCTCTGACCTTTCCCTTAGTTTACATAATTAGACCCAATACACGCAGCAAAGGGTCTAGGTGGGCTTTTCAGCGACTCTTGGTGCCTGGTGATACACTAATTTCCAGAAGGGTTATGTCGCCTCATGCTCTTGCCAGCAGCGCATGAGCAGCAGCCATAGAACGGGCTTGTCAGAACTGAATACTAACATTAAACAGATTACTGATTTTACAGGAAAAAGTTATATCAAGTTTTAATCTTTGTTCTTTGGCTATTAACAAAGCTGGACTTTGACTCATTTATTTTCGATGATTTCTATTTCTTTAGAGAACGATTTGTTCATGTCTTACATCCAATTTTGTATCAGAAAGTCTTAGTATTATTGATTTTAGAGTTCTTTACATATTTAAGAACATATAATCCCATACTTAATGTCATAATTGTAAAAAAATATTTTAGGGAAATGAGATTTGAACTTGAACAAGAGAAACAATTTTTCTTCATCCTGAAAGAATAAAGTACATGTTTTATATGCAAATGCCAAAACTTTAAAAATAAACCTTAACCTGATAGTAGAGACTGACATTCAATTTACTCTTTAAACTGAAAATTCAGCTTTGAAGTATGAAAGGCCTACCATTGAAGGTTGTTTGGTATGGGATTCTCTCTTTACAAATTGAGTGAAACCAGGCTAACTGAGCGAGGCCAGGCTAAAGTTTTAGTTTTTCCTGCATGTCTTAGGGGAAGGAAAGGGGCAACAAACAGGATGGGAGTTCATCTTTCATTGAAGTTCCTTCCGTCCTTTTCTACATCATATACAGAGTGGACACAGAGCCACAATGATCACCGGGGCTGCTAGAGCCCATGAGCCATCTAAGCTTGAATCCACTTCCACCCCTTCTAACACAATTCAGCACTGACTTTTATATCTTTACCTATAAGAGGCTCACAATGCCACTGAGCATTTTAAAAGCACATTGTGAATGTTAAAGCATTTTTCACATATATTCTCTTACTTTATTTTCACAACCAAGTCATGAGGGTTTTTTTTTTTTTTCTTAAACCCTATGAGGTAGGAAGGGATTATTATTCTGTGACTAGAGGTAAGGAAAACAGATTCAGAGACACTGAGATTCTTTTTTCCCAAGGTCACAGAGCCCAGTGGGAGAGCCCAAAGCTGGCTCTCCCGCCCCTCACCCCACACTGCCCACTCCTCATGGGCAGGGCATGCCCTGATCCCTTCCATCTCTTCCTCCCAGCAGAGTGCACAGCTTGTACTTAAAGAGTGGTGGTGAGGGAACGAGGCACTGGATCCATATAAGGAATGATCAATGTATCAGACTGTCAAGAAGAAATTTAAAAAATATCGTCAACATTATATGAAAAAAATATAATATAAATGCTGAACATTCCTCACCAGAAAAGTTATGACCAGGGTTTGCTGAATCAGAGCACGTCATTAAGTTCTGTACAAAAGTCCCTTTCCACTATAAAACCAAACCCAGTTTTCTTTTTTTTGTTTCTACATATGGCTGTTCCAGATGACAGTTCACTTGACTTATGGAAATACACAAAGAGATAACTTCCCTGAGGGGAAATACAGACACAAAAAAAATGCAGAGTGCAAACATTTGGTTGGAAATGTTAATGATTACAAAAATGGTAAGTAAATGGCTGAAAAATATTATAATTTTATGGACAATAGGTGAGAATTGTGGAGACTGCCATCTGGTGGATCCATCGGCTATAGCAAGTGCTGTCAGAACTCGGCACACAGTGTTTTACTGGGTCTACTGACCTCAACAAATTCTTTTGAAGAAGAAGCAGTCTCTTATTAGGGAAATTCTGCAGCACTGTTTTAAAAAATAACAACGAAATGGGCCCAGAAGACTGTTAAATGTTCTATTAGTTAAGTTTTACTTTAAACTACTGGTGTGATTAGTGCACGGTGGGAGGGAAATTATTTTAAGCTGGCTGAACTGAACCCAAAAGCAGAAGTCAGGCTATTCAGTCTCTTCTCTCAGTCTGACTCCACATTAGTTTATCACTTGGCCTTGGGTACTTCACTGAGCTAGACTGTTTTTACATTTCTTTCTCTGCAAGACGCACATGGCGAACAGCACTCTTCCTGCATACGTGTGTCCTTGCCCTGACTCAACCCTCCATGATCCAGCCCCAGCCATCCTGCACACTTCATCCCAGATGCTATGAATGAACTCAGGCTCCAGCCACACTGGTTTACTCATGCACCTCAAGCACTCTGAGCTTCCTGTCCTTGTGTTTTTAAGCATCTTCTTTATTTTGCCTAGACCGTCCTACACCCTCTTCCCATACACTAAATGTCCACCCATCCTTCACAGCCCTGCACAGAAAACCCCTAACTCTTCACCCCTGCCCACCCTGGTGGAAAGCCCTCTCTCCTTTAGAACCTGGGCAATATTTACAGTTTGTTCCTTTTGTCTGACACTCTGATTATAGCCTAGCATTGCCACTGTTTCCCTTGTGAACGTTGGACTGTATTAACTCAAGTTACTGGCAATCAGAAGACTTCATGTACAGAGCACAGTGGCATGCTGGTTGAAAGCACGGGCTCTGGAGCTGCATTGCCGAGATGCAAATCCTCTTCTGCTCTTTCCTAGCAGATAACCTTGGCTGCTTTGTTAACTTCTCCCTGCTTTAATTTCTTTATCTGTAAAATGGGGACATTTATATTTATAGCACCTATGCACAAGGTATGAGGATTACCTGAGTTTATTCATGTAAAGGCTCTCGATTACCTATTATTCATACGTGTCATTTGTTGTGTGACTCTTCGGTATCTCGCACACTTCTGCACATTTTGGGGGCCCAGCCAATATGTGAGGATGGTAATAACGATGCTATTTGATGGTTCCCATTTTAGTTTCCAGAGGTTCTCCAGAGTTCAGGGAAAGGAAATTTTGAGGCAGGGGTTGGTGATATTTTAGGGCTTCTCTTACGATTGGAGATTTAAACTAACGCTGTCCTAAGAAAGCAACCTGGTTGAATAGAGAGTTTTCTGGATTACGGAGGCTACACTGGGCAGGTAATTATGTGAGCAGGGGATATGACTGGGTCCATGTGGCCTCCGCCCCTCACTGCAGTGGCTGGAGAGAGATTTCGGTGCTTTGACAAAGCTCATTTTTAACAAGCTACTTGCAAGCTGGATGGAGGTGATTAACTCCTTGTGGCAGGAGAGGTTTAAGGCGACGCTGAAGGGGCACAGGGATTCACAGAGCTGTGGGGAACTGAACCGGACGACAGTGACTTTCTATTTCCTTGTGCATGTAAGTTAGTGCTTCCATAGCAGGCTCATTTTGAAGTTGTGAGGGTAAGTGTGACCAAAGCTGCAGCCATGAAACACGCTTATTAGGTTCACAGTCCGAAAGATAAATAAGTATTGCACGTGTATCTCTAAATATACATACAGCCCTATGTAATGGCTCTTCCACCTTTTTCTAAGGATGCCATGAGATTTTGTGAAGTAGTTTGCAAGTATAAAACATCGTGTAAAAAGCATCTGAGAATACCAAAATACAGCTACTGCCCTGATGGTCCGCCAGTGACGAAGCCATCGGGAGCCCAATAGTATAGGATGCATTTGTGAGAAAGTTGACTAGAGTTAGGGGAACCACCTGTAGGTATGGAGGATAGCAAAGCCCGGCCTCAACTCCAGTGGGGACTGAGGCCAAGACCAAAGTTTCATTAATGCTGTGAACTGATCAACAGCAATAACTTTCCTACAATCGGCCATTTCACAATGGACCTTTGAATATGCATGCTATTCCTCTAACTGGAACCTAGGCCAGACACTGAATCATTTGAAGAATATACTTGTGTTGGCTGGGGGATGAGAGAAGGAAGAAGAAAAGTCATTTAACTGTACTTACTTTCCAAAGGCTTTGTACACCCACCTACCTGCACTACCTGCCAAATCCTAATTTTCTTTCAAGTTCCAGTTCAGTGTCACTTCTCTGTGATGACTCTCCTCATTCACAGAATCTTCTCTCCAAAAGTACGGGATTCCTCCCCCTGCTGTGGCCCTGGCTAATCAAGCTGAACGTTATCTGCTTGCACACCTCTTCTATATCTCCCATAGTCCTCGAGGGCAAGGACCATGCCTGAATTCCTAGGTTGCCAACATCTACCGTGGTACCTGCCTCAGGGCGAGTGCTCTGGAAACAGTCTGAATGCACCTTGTTTAAATGACACATATGTGTTTATGTTGTGCCTTTCAATAGGCTGCAGGTTCTCTGAGGTCATGGCTCACACCTCTCCGATAGCCCCTTATAGCCCAGCCCTCCCAGTGCTTACAAAAGCCAGAGGTCATCCGTAAACATCTGTTGACTTATAAAATAATCCTACAATTAAAGACTGTATTTTTGATCACAGATAGTCTTCTTTCCTTGAAAAAACTTAACATCAAACTCGAATTTATCTTTGTTTTAAACAGATCCATATTTGGAGCCATAACTTTATATTCTGTAGTCAGCAGGTGGCAGAGCAAATAACCCAAAAGAAAGGAGAGGATCAGTATAGACTGTCTCTCCCTATCATACTCAGGCTTCTTGTGATCTTCGTACGCCATTGGCTTGACTCAGCTTACATTCCAAGTAGAAACTGATCTACATTCAAATTCATTTGTACGTATGAATGGGAAAAGGCCTAACGATCGCTAGAATCCCTTCTTCCATTACCACCTATTTCTATCATTTATAGTGTATGTTATATATTCACAGGTCTACCTTTCAAAAGGAAACCCAACTCTCAGACTCAACCTTCAGATCTGACCTCACAGTTTAATACTACCTTGTCTTCTGCTATATAGAATAAAATTTACTGAAGAAAATCGCCTTTAGGATGAACGATTTCCAAACAGATTTTACTATGTGCGGTACATAAACAAAGAGAACTCTATTTGTAATTTAGGATAAGAAGCAAAATTAAATTAGGAAGTGACTGTGCAGATATACGAACGTGCATTTCATGATATAAAACCAAAAAATTCATGTTATTTTTGCCTTTACATTAAACAGACTACGGAATACTCTCTCAGCAACGAGACTGAGTGTGTATGGATGTGCCATATAGAAGAACTCTAGACCCTGAGCAAAGAACTCTTGGTACTAGTTCTTTCTGGCTACCTCCTTCATCTGGATGGCCATGACATCAAAAAGATAGTACCTTTAGCAGGAGCTCTATAACTTCTGTGTGGACGAGTCCATGCACTGGTTCTCCATTGACGTGTGTGATCAGGTCCCCAGCCTTCAGTCCTGCCTGGCAAGCTGGACTTCCTTCTTCTACATTCTAAAGTCCAAGAGGAGAGTATATATATTAATAAGCAAACAAATGACAACCCTGACACCTACTGTTTCTTGTGGCTCAGTGTTCTCAGTTAATCAGCAAATGATCCTGAGCTCCTAAGAGGAAACCAGTAAGACAAGGTTTGCTATTCTTTTTCTGTCATCATCCTAAAATAGGGTAATTTCTATAGTTCCTTAAACAATTTCAGGTGATCTGAGAAAGTACTTAAAAAAAAAAAAAAAAGGAAGGCTAGGGGAAAAAAATCTAAGAAAAGAAGAATGAAAGAAGGATAAAAACAGGACTATCTTTGACTGTTTCTACCAGCTTGGTATGCAGAGTGGTTAATCAGATATGAAGACTAACAGAATTATGAGAAAGAATTAACTATTGCTAAATTCAATCCCACCACATAGATAAAGGGCAGGAGTATGAAACAGGTCCCAAATGCCAGCTTAAGAGAAAAATCATTTGCTGTTAACTACGCCTCAGCTGACATATTTATTCTCCAGTTTGGCTGGGAACAAAAACTAACCAGAAAGGGAGACTGTCGGTCTTACCCAAACGATATGATGCACTGTGTAAATGTCGCTGTCTCCCACATATACCCGGATGGCTCGGATGGTGAAACCATAGTTCTTCCCTGAACTGTGGATCACAACGGGCTGGTATGGACTGGCAGAAGCTCCTGAGGAATCTCGGCTGGGAGAGGAATCCCTTGAGGAAGAAGGGTCCGAGGACAGAGAATGGGGAGACATTGGACTTCCCAGTGGAGAAACAGCAAACATATCTGCAACAGAGAAGCCAGTCATCACAGCTCATCCTGGTCCCACAAACTGCTCTCAGGTAGCCCTCACTAGGTAGCCCTGCTGGGATTGGGAGGACAGTCACAATACAAATCCATTCCTTTCTAATAAAGAAGAAATAATATAAAAATATTTATACTGGTAACTAGCATGGTAACTGGTAACTTGACAGAAGCCTGTCAAAGAAATCTCAGAAATGCCTCTTTTTAAACTAACTTTTAAACTCACATTCTGAAGTTACAACTTCTTAGTTCTCTACACAAATTAAAAAACACACGAAACTTCACTGCTATCGGACTGTGATCTTTTAATGCACTTTCTTTTAATTAAAGAAACAGGAACTTCCCTGGTGGGGCAATGGTTAAGAATCCGCCTGCCAATGCAGGGGACAAGGGTTTGATCCCTGGTTCGGGAAGATCCCACATGCCGCGGAGCAACTAAGCCCGTGTGCCACAACTACTGAGCCCGCATGCTGCAACTACTGAAGCCCACACGCCTAGAAGCCCGTGCTCTGCAACGAGAAAAGCCACTGCAACGAGAAGCCCATGCACCACAATTAAGAGTAGCCCCTGCTCGCTGCAACTAGAGAAAGCTCGCATGCAGCAGCGAAGACCCAATGCAGCCCCCAAAATAAATAAATAAATAAGTAAATAAGCAAATCATAGGTGCACAAATTTCAGGTATACCCTCACACAGGGAAGGCTGTATGGACTATAGTAAAAGATACTCAGGCTCCAAATATTGCCCTAAATAACGTTAACATGGTTCTTTTCGAAAAAACCTGGCCTGGAAAGCAATTCATCAATTTACCTCTGCTTTTTTATAATATTACTGAACTAGTACTGATTAAATAATTTTGATCAACATTGTAATGTTAACTTCTCTATAAAAGAATCATTCCTTATTACTATGATTAGAACTGATTCTCTTCATATATTACCTGTAATTCTAGCAAGGTTTCTGAGAGGATAATGCAGGTGGATAGACAAATTTTAAGAAAAACTCACTTCATATTCTTCAACACCAATACTATTCTGTTTTCCTTGTTTTATGAACAAACACACTTTTAACTTATAGCTCTTATCACTGTTTCATCTATGTGAATCTAAACAGATCCTAACTGGTCATGTGAAATTGCGTGTGCATGTGCGTGTGTGTGTGTGTGTGTGTGTGTGTGTGTGAAAAAGAATAACCTACAAAAAGATGCTGAGGTTTAAATGTGAGCTCAGTCAGGGCCAGGCTACAAAGGGCCAGCGCACCTGAAGCCTCCCGGGGTTCGGTGAGTAACATCGTGGCCACAGCAAACTGAAAGTATCCCGACTAACTTTTGCTCTAATGCTTATGTCTGTCCAAAGGAAAACAATTAGCTAAATGTATCACTATCCAAGCTCCTTCACTTTCTGACTTCATGCGGCATCCTGACCCTTTTTTCCTGGCTACCTCTGTCTCATCCAAAGGCCAGGTGAACAGATGCACACCGGTGGGCAGGGAACGTCAACACATGCAAAGGCAGGAAGAAGATAGAGTCGATACACAGATCCAAACTGCTAAAAGAGCCAGGCCCCCGACCCTTTACCTCAGTACATTTTACCTTATCTCCTCCGATTGAAGAACTGACCTACATTCACCAAGATGTGGGCTTTCTCATCAGCTCTCAAAGGGGACTGGACCACATCCCACTTACCTTCCTGACTGCAGCTGCACTGGGGCCATTGCCTTCTGGTTATGAATAGTCACTCAAACTAGGGAGACAGGTGTTTGTTTTATGGTGCTACACAGACATTTCCCAGAAATGAGAATATGCTACAGTGAGCATTACCCCCCAGGGAGCTTTTGTTTTTACCCAATTTCTTTCTGCAGGAATTTGAAATTTCAACAATGTAAACAATCCCTTTTATACATGGTCTGTATTCTTCCAACTGCAAGCCATCTGCAATATAATTCGACTGCCACTTCCACTCTCTTACTGTCATTTGAGTGATAAATCGTAACCACCAGGGTATATATTTTCATCTCAGCCAGTGGAATTACTGTAGACTTTGTGATTAGCAGAGGCAAAACTAGGTTGTGGAAACATACTGCAACTGAACAAAACCATTAATTAAGCCCAGTTTTTTAATATAGGGTAGAAAACAATACCAGTAGGAGGAAGCATAACCCAACAGACAGGGCTGGTAAGCCTTGTAATTTCAGTGCTGTCTGTGACTCTGCATCCCCAGAAATGAAAAACTTATGTTCTCTGTGTCGATTTCCTCGTTAATTAGATGAGAAAAACTATACTTAGCTTTCCAACACAGATGCTGTTAACAACTCCATAAAGGATACAAATGATGCATAGTCTAGGGAAGAAAAATTATTCAGAAGAGGGACATTTATCACTTAACTTGGGGAGCGTGGGAGAAAAGGAAAGAAAACAAATAAAAGAAATAAGCCTTTGTGGGAAGAGAGCCTGCCTCATCTCCTGCTGCAGAAAGAAGCGAGGAGTAAACCACATATGCCCCTGGGAGCTCTGGAGGTCTTGCAGGGAGACACTCTGGAGGGCTGCGCCAGGACAGCACCCACTACTGTTTCAAGCCATCTTGTATGTCAATCAGCATTGCAAACTGGGGGCGGGGGGTGAGCATGCACAAATCACACAATGTCATGCAAGTAGATGTCTCTCTACCTCCTGGGATCATGAGGGACAGAGCACTGGCAGAAAGGGACTTTGTGACTTTCCCCGAGATTTTCTTTTTCTCTGTGCTTTCTAATCGCTGCCGAGCCACGTGAGAAGTGGGTTCACTGGAGGGCTTTGAGGAATTATCTGTACTGTCCACACACTCGCTTCGTCCATTTATCTGATCCAAGTGCTCTGAAAAACTGCCAACTGTACAAAGAAGAAGGGATAAACATGTTCAGGAAAATCTGGGATAGGAGAGGTGGGGAGAGGGAGAGAGAGAGAGAGAGAGGGGGAGAGAGAGAGAGAGAGAGAGAGAGAGAGAGAGAGAGAGAGAGAGAAGGACAAACGCTGGGAAACAGACGCCCATGTGGTTCATGAGTCCATGTGGTGTCAGGCAAACATGAAAATCATGTGACTGGTTTGAGAAAAGTGGCGCGGAGGAGGAAGAATGAAAGAGGTTTCCGTTCAGATTTCGTTCTACTTGTACACAAGTCCACTAACTCTCAATTGACTCCATTTAACTAGGAGATTACTTTTTAGAATCTTTTACAACCCTAGTAGAGACAACTCTTCCCCCCGACCCCACCACGAAAGGCCATGAACCAAACATCAGCTCATGAACCGCACAACGCCCACCGTATGGTATGACCATCCTATGACACAATGATCATCATTAGCAGTGCTGTTAATATTGGTTTTTTGCTATGTGGACATCATTTAGTCACTTCGTGGACATTTATGCCCATTGTCACCTCCTACCATCTTTCTAGGCCACACCTCACACCTAGGCTCAGGTTTGTAACTTATGGAAAAGTGCCTAAAGTGTCGCCTTTGTCTTCCCACACCTGCTTTCACTCTGAGCTCCTTGTAAATTTCACAGGACAAGACAAAGGGTATGCTTCACTGTGGTACCCAATGGTTCCCTACATCTTCTTGCCTTTAGACTAGACAGTGCCAAATGCCGATCTGCCCTGAAGTTACTGGAAGTGAAAAGATTTGTCCCCCTCTAAGCCAGCCATCACACCTCCTTTATTTTTAATTTTATTAATCCTCAGTATACACTGGAGAGTTTTTTTTTTTTTTTAAGTTAAAAAATTAGGACTTCCCTCAGCAGAGGAACATAAGAGAACACGTAACCACGTAGGAGGAGGCAGAAATGGAAAATCACTGATACCAGTGTGGTAATTGCACACGCCCAGAGTAAAGAAAGTTCTTTACTCTTGTCAGAAGTGACATGTTGAAAAAAGCCAAGTGACCATCCCTTTTGGTTTCTCCTATTCTTTCTTTCACAGGCTATCAGTTTTCTGGGTTTTTTTTTTTTCTTTCTTTTTTTAATCACTGATAATACATCTTTGTCCAGAAAAAAACAACGCTTATCTTCTTTTTCCTTCTAAATGCTATATTATAAGGCCCCTGTGCTTTAAAAATCATCAACACTATCACCACATTAAGATATACAATCCACACAGAGAATTTAATACCATTATAAATGATCCTTTGAAAGGCCAACCAGCACATTTTAAAGTGCTGACCATGACATTCTTTGCCTAGAGAAGAGGCTTAATCAGACTTAACTGACATTTCTGTTACAGTGCTATATACACATCATTCGATTGCACGGCAGGTTTGGTCCTAGTTCACAGAGGTGGCACAGACCCACAGGTGGGGTCCAAGCTGAGGGAAGGCTTGGACTTGGGACAGTGGGCTTGGGCACAGCACAGCTCATGGCCACCTACTGTGCTGTAGGTACAGGGTAAGATTCACAAACTTCCACGTGACACCCACCTGACCTACTAAGGAAGACGATCTTAAGGCAAATATCAACAACCTTTCTACTTCTATATGCCAAATTCAGTCCCACATAACAGCATATCTACTCTATTCACTCTAAATGAAGAAATCAACTGCTGAGGGACTTGACAAAAACTGCTTCACAAATCAAAAAAATCTTATCTCAAAAAACGTTTAGTTTACTTTGGGGTAAGTTACACACTCCCTTCTCCTTTCTAATTTGGCTTGGATAGGATCACGGACAAGCATAAACTGAAAAGTGGAATCTCTTCACAATGAATAATTTGTTGGATGCGTTCAAGCACTACACCTAAAACTTCAAGACTTACTTTTCACTGATTCAAGTACATTGTAGTCATGAAAAGAGAGACAGGTATAAAGCTGCACTTCCCTAAATGCCAGAGTGTGAATATTCAGTGTTCTCTTTTATCATCCCTCCCTCTTGCCTCCGCCATTTCGTCCCGCCATCTCATCTCATAGCACTGTATATAAACGTGTGTTTCCTTTCTGCCACTGGTAGATAATGTCACCTTAATGTTCTGTAAATGTCAAGGATTCTTTCTTTTTGATGGTGAAGCAATATAAAAATCAACAAATTTAATTTTACTACAGTCACGGTTTTCAGATTCCCTAATTACCCTTGGCTGTGAGCAAATCAGCTCATCTCTCTATTCTGTACGGCCCCCAAGGTCTTTGATTAGTTTTAGCGTGTGTATGGGGGAGACAGAGAGAAAGGTGGTTTGAATCTATTAATCATAATGCATAGCAGGATACAGACAGATTGTTTTTTCAATTGTGAAAGTAATCAATCAAATGCTTAGACACCATTCCCCTCCCTTTACCTCCTACCTTTCTGGTAGTGAGCAGGCAGAGGAGACCAAGAGGTCATAAACAATTCATCATATTAAGAATAAATGTGAAGTAGAGGTAACTCTATTCAGAGTAAATAATAACTAAGAAACAGATGAGAACTTAGGAACCAGAAATATCTACATTTGATCTGATTACCAAGATGAACTAAAAATGGTCAGCCATCTTAGACTACTAGCTTGTTTCTACACTACTTCTCCCCTGCTGTGCTCTTGGCTCTCTGATTCAGGACAAGTGGAAGTATCCTGCATGGAAACAGAACTGAGGTGAAGAGAGAGAAGGAAAAAACCCAATAGCCTTCTTCCCCATGATCAACTGTAAGCTCATGTGACGCTACACAGGACCAGACTTTAGTGAGGCGGAAGTAAACCCAGCCTGTAAAATTGGTGATTTTGAAATGATTCAAAACAAGATGAAAACATGACACCACGAATATTCAGTAAGTTAAAAAAATGTTCGTGAAAATTCTTGGAATCATTCATGGTTATCAATATAGCATACTGGTTATGGCTTAATGAAAACATTTATCATAGCAACCTTAATCCATATCCATGTTTTTATTTTTTAAGCATAAATACACATTGCTCTGTAGAAGGACATGCTGTGCATAAAATTTTTAGACACCGAATAATATTTGAAATGCACTTCAAGGACTTGCTCTGAGGGAGGCACAAGGCCGATCATCTAATGAGGACACCTCCGTGATTAAAGGCCCCAAGTACCCATGATACAGTAAGCATTTTAAAAACCTGTGGAGATACTGCTCCTGGTGGCAGGAAGGTTTACTTCACATAAAAATGACACCATAAAGTGCTCCCTATAGGAAAGGCCCAAGCCCCACTCTGTCTCACACACCCAAAGATGTCTTAGGGTTATTTGCGTCAGTTATCCAGAGGCTGGGAAGGCAGCTTGTGTGCAGTGGAGTTCTTTCATAGGCGCACGAGACACTGATTTGAACTGTGTCAGTATTCCTGACTCCCCTCTCCCCGCTCCATCCGTGAACCTCACAGAATAAGCATCTGTTTTTTTTCCCCCCTTAAAGAAACTTTATATCCAAGTTACTTTTGAAGTAAAACGCTTCAAAAGTATAGATCGAGGTATGAGGTATTTTTTTGTTTACCGTCATATATACAAGATGTTTGCCCACCTAATTTCTTGCTTGTCTTCTTTTTTTATACGTCCCTGAGATTCTCATCAGCCTCTGTTTCTAGCCAGCTATGCAAACAGAATAAGCATCTTGCTGCACTGAGGGTCTCACGTGCAGACTGCTTGGTTATTGGGTATAAGTGGTCCCATGACAAAAACCAACTCCTCCAAAGAAACAACCACCCGTCTCAACAGCAGAAGGAAAACTGGCTTACACGGCACCTTATGGGTGGTGATTTACGACACTGTTGAGGGTAAGTTTGACCATTTGACTGTTTGATAGGGTCGCTTACTTGTAACTTTGAGTTAGATGCAACTCCACAAGGTACGCCTTTGTACCCACAACAGAGAACATGCTCCCTTACTGTGTTCTGACAGCCATCAAAGGACGCCACTGAAACCCAGCAGAGGATGTGAAGGCTCCAGGTGAAGCAAGAAGGACGTGCTGTACAGCCATGCACTAAGGAGGGGTCTGAGACATCTGATCTCAGTTCTGAGGAGCCCATCGCCCAAGCTCAAGGAGTGGGGCCATGGAGGGAGTCTAGTGGCACAAAATGCCCGTCATCGCTGCCTGGCTGGGCCAGGCCGGGGACTCCGAGCACCAGCAGTCACTTCTCAATGTGGTGGGTGATGCCTGGACGGCAGGGCCGCGCCCAGGGCCTTACCTGACAAGGTGGAGCTGCTGATGGTGCTGGCCGGAGTGCTGACCTCGGGCTCCTCCAGAGCACTGTCTGCAGGGGGCGGGGCTGGCTTTTCCCGCTGCTCATGCAGCTCTCTGGGGTGGGGGGCAGCCTCATCTTGTTCTGCCTCTGCTGAAATAGCCAGTTTGGGAAGCAGGCCAGAACCGACTTTATGTCTGTTGCTTTCAGTATCCGAAGAGTTGGATGTGGATAACTGTTGCCTTCATTAAAAACAAAAACAAAGTCATGCATCTATACATGCTATGAAACTGTGTTCAAGGTGAGTTTTGGAAGAAACCAGGTAAAAATGGAACTGAGGTAGCCTAACCAAGACATGTCGAGGGCAGTGATTCTTACAGTGTGGTGCCCAGACCAACAGAATCAGCATCCGAGGGAACTTGGTAGAAATGCACATTCTCAGCCCCTATCCCAGATCTCCTGGGTCAGCAATCTTCTTGTACAGGCCCCTCCAGAAGATTCGGATGCACACTCACGTTTAAGAGCCACTGTCCTAGTAGCTGCTGTTCATGATACTTGTTAACAAGAATTTCACATACAATAAAGGTGTTAAAAAAATAAAATAAAATAAAATAAAATAAAAAAAAGAATTTCACATACATTTCAGAATACTCTGAACTCCAGCTTAATGTTTCCGTGGACGGCAAAGCTGTGCTTTTGGTTTTGTCCCCAGGGTCTTCCTTTTCTTCTCCTGGATTCTGAGTACCTCGATCTATACTGTTGAAAACCTGCAAGGCAAATAGTCAGTGCTTATTAATACCTTCTTGAAAGGGATTGTCAGAATAAAAAAAACCAAACAAATCCTGGCAGAACAACCTGAGACTATGACTGAAGTTTGAACTGGGACTGTGTATTCAAAAGGTACTTTCCAATGCTGTTTACTTGAGTCCTGAGGTGAGCGGTCAATGTACAATTTTTTTCCTTTTGGAGTGGGGAGCTATGAATTCATCACCCTCTCACCGTCTCTCACTATGGACTTTGTATCTGCAAACAAAATCCATAGATGCATTGCAGTTTCTAGGCCCGGGATCGATGCACATGTTAGATTACTTTTTAACCGTGAAGTCAATCAGAAAAAGAAAATCACAGAGAAAAAAATTGAATGGCCCCCAGTCAGGGGCGGGAGGGAGAAAAATGAATTGGAATCGAGGGCGAAGAGAAGAATAAATGACCTGTTTCGAAACATGTTGGGGGGAGATGCAGTGCGTTAGGAGTCAGAGGTACTTACTTGTTTGGCTTATAAATCTCACATACAGACAGGCAGCTTCATATGTTGGTACCAGGATTTCTGAAGGGGATCATAGCTTAGGCAAACTGAGATCTCTGCTGTACCACAGGGAAGATGGAAGCTAAAATAGGGAGCTGAGAGCCCAGCCCAGGAAGCGCTCACTACTGCCCAACCCAGTCACTTGTTGCTCTCATGGGAATGGACCTTAGACCTCCTATAATCTCCTGGGATTTGGAGGAAGGTGGCTAAAGAACAGGGGACCGTGGGCAGGGAACAGTTTAGGAGCTGGCTTTGATGGGCCAGAGAACAAGTACTGGGAAACCCCACACTCTGTGTTATCAAAGCTTCTGTCCCGGCTCTGGGCCAGACCTGCACCTTCCCTCCAGGGAAATCCCTACCTCTCCATGTCCTTCCTATAAATGGGGAGGGCAGTGCTGGCCAATTTGCAGATGCACCCCGGGCAGTCACTCAGAAAAAGATACGGAACACTTTAAAATCACTCAGTGCTAGAGAAAAGCTACACAATAATCATGCAAGATGCCATGGCAACAGAAAATACATCGCTACTGAAAATAGCAAAAGGAAGGCAGGATGCCCTCTAGGTTCATTTCTATCTTCCTAGGGCCCTGCCCCCCCATCTCAGGACTAGCAGGTGTGTCTTCGTTTTGTTTGTCTTTTAAATCTTACCACTACCAGTGAAAAAGCATCTTTCTCCAATGTGGATTTTATCTTCTACCATTTCCAAAATTCTAGCTTGGCTTCCTACTGCCCCTTTAATATAATAACTTACACTTTCTATCATCGGTTAAGAGACTTTCTCATTCCGCAATCAACTGTCCCCAAGTGTCTGGGCTTATGTCAAGGACCAAGCTTTCTCCTTTGTGTTGTATTCCATGGGATACTAGAAGAGGGCTCTGCAAACAATGAGCTCAACGTTCTTCACTATAAGATGAAAGAAATGGAAGGATGCCTCCAAGGCCCGGCAGCGCTGAGCTAGACCACAGTATGTAAATGGTATCAGGTACTCCAATAATGACTATTAAAGCAAGTCTCTGCCTCAAAGAAAAAAGATACTAATCTTTGGATCATGAAACAGAGAAATATACCCCAGCAGGGCGGTAGGGACTCTGGATTATCAAGATGGTGGGGTCATTACCCACCCCCCGAAAAAAATCTCAAGCCCCAAAACACTGCATGGGGTTTTTACAATTCTGTGCAGCTGTTTAAGGCACCAACTACCTGGCCAGTAGGAGATTCTCCCAGAGACCTTCTACGTTTATGCCATATTTTACTTACTTTAGAAAACCTATGTGAACATGAGGAAAACTGCCTTATTTCCACAGTAAAGTCTTCGTCATTTGTGTCATCTTCTTCCTCAGTCTCCATATGATGGTACTTCTCTGACCGCGCTGCAGGGAAATGTTTGGAAACAGTTCCAATTATTCAGATTTTCAGCTTTTAATTTAGCTATTTTAATTATGAGTCCTTATATCAAAGCAGCATTATGTTTCAGAACCCATGCGTTCAAGACTGGAAGGTACTACCAAAAGTAGAGCTGATTTTCTACAAAGGCCAAATCATGTTTTATGTCAGATAACGCACGTACTATCAAAATAACTCGTGTCATCTTCGGATTCCAGTTGGGGAATGAATTCTGCCTTCTGTCTCAGCAAACTGTTCCAGTCTAAGGAACGGAAGAATCGATGCTGTTTGACTTCATACGCACCACCTTGAGGTAGGGAGTGGAGGGGAAGGACACAGGGAAACATGTTAAATGATCCTCCCAGCAAAGGTAAGAATCAGTTTCAAAGAACAACCAAAAAAAAAAGAAAAACAAAAAAAAGTTCTATCAAGAGAGAACTAAAGAAGTCAGAGAAATCTTTTTCATTCTACAACCAAAACCTCCAAAAATTCTTCCATAATTTATCAGCAGGAGATTTGATTTTGCTAACAGCAGTTGCTATGGCACAGTTTTTCTTTGCTAATTCTTCCATGGCTTCCTCTATTTTTCAAAGGTTAATGTGGCCACTTAAAATCCCATTGTGATGAACCTGGGGACGTGGACACACACTGGCCCAAAGCAGACTTGCTCATTACAAACCCCCAAAAAACCTAAGAAGGTGCAAAATGTGTTCACAGCAATATTCCCTCTGGAGGTAAGGTTTTAATAAAGATGAATTTTCCCTAAACAGTATATAACGGTTAACATTTGATTTTATTGGATTGCTCATTAACACTGGTAGGAATTATATTCTGTGGACTACAGATTCTTAAGTAAGAATACTACTCAGCCATAATAAGAAATGAAATTGAGTTATCTGTAGTGAGGTTGATGGACCTAGAGACTGTCATACAGAGTGAAATAAGTCAGAAAGAGAAAAACAAATACCGTATGCTAACACATATATATGGAATCTAAAAAAAAAAACAAAAAAAGGTTCTGAAGAACCTAGGGGCAGGACAGGAATAAAGACGCAGACAGAGAATGGACTGGAGGACACGGGGAGGGGGAAGGGTAAACTGGGACGAAGTGAGAGAGTGGCATGGACATATATACGCTACCAAATGTAAAATAGATAGCTAGTGGGAAGCAGCCGCATAGCACAGGGAGAGCAGCTCAGTGCTTTGTGACTACCTAGAGGGGTGGGATAGGGAGGGTAGGAGGGATACACAAGAGGGAGGGGATATGGGGATATATGTATATGTATAGCTGACTCACTTTGTTATACAGCAGAAACTAACACACCATTGTAAAGCAATTATACTCCAATAAAGGTGTTAAAAATAAATAAATTAAAATAAATTAAAGAAAGGAGAAAAAGAAAAAGAAGCTGGCAAACCTGTTTGATAGATTTATAATGCATGTGATGAACATCAATCACAATCCCTACGTTTTAGGCTTCTTTTTGCCAAGTTAGCATTACAGCACAGTTCAGTGAAACAATATTTTTAATTCAGTTCGTGATTTTAAAGAGAGATTTTGCAAGGGCAGGCCCCATCAAAATATTACACTATCCCTCATGTAAAGAGAAGAAGGTACACATTTTATTAAATCCCAGCATGAAAATCAGACCCCCGCCCTGCCACCAACATGCACACTATTGATGGGGGAGATAAGGAAGAATCAATCTTCAAACAATTCCAGAAAGAGAGATTTCTTGCAAGACTAGGGCCAGGGTCTAATCAGCCTCCCTACCAGGAGATGCCCCTCGATGTGTGTTGCAAATGCCTCTTTAATACACTCATGCTTCTCGCCCTGTCCTCAGTGGGGTACAAAAGGAATAGGATGAGAAATTGAATCTGAATGAAAAATGGGCTTGGATCTTGGGGCTGGGGAACTGTCTGTAAAAGGACATGGCTCTGTCCCCACTGGACCCCTTGAGCACCAGGGGCAGGCTGGCTAGAGCTCTAAACCCAGCCAGGGGAAACCGGTGTTCCGAAGGCAATGGAACAGAGAGAAAGAAACAAAGTGGAAAAATCACCCCCCAAAAGGGAGAATGGGTTCTTCACAAAGCATTTGATCAGCATCTTCATATAGAATTCCAGCCAGGCTTTTTCCGTGTTTATAGCACAATACTCAAGTCTGATGTTGATCCCAACAGCAATAGCATTAGCACCTGTGATTTGAGGGACAACTCTGACTAGTATTACACTAGATGCTAGAGGAAATTGCTTCTTTTAATTAAACCACTGAAAGTAACCCCACGGAGTAGGTATTGTCAACTCCGTTTTTGGATGGGGAAAGTAAATAAGCAGTAAAGCATACTGGGCCAAGATTACTAGGTGAGTAAGGGTTAGAGGGGCTGAGCTGAGGTCTGTCTAAAAACACCCAGGTCCATCCTCAGTGCCACAGCGCCACAGGCCATACAAGGGGGAGGCATGTTTCAGTTTGGATTCTACCCTGCCATCTTTCTCGCGTCAGTTTACAAATGGATTCTCGACTGCCGATCCTGGGGGACACAGCCAAACAGCCAATTCCCCAGCACCTCTGCCCAGTCCAACCCCAGTCTCCATGTATCCTGGTTCTCTTCTATCCCAATCAACATCCTCAAACACAGCTGCCAGGGACATTTTCTTCCAGTGATCTTTTCCTGGAGAAGTTAAAAGGGCTTAAATATTTATCTATCCAACTCCCTCACTGTGCCAGTGACACTGAGGTCCAAAGAGTCAAGCCCTACTTAGTGGCCCACCATGCACTATCCAGCGATGACTATGACTTCAGCTGCCACAGCAAAGGACAGCTCTGACACGCCCAGGTCATTCAACTTTACCCAGAAAAGCACAGTTCTCTAGACCCAAAGGCTCGAAAGACACTTCCAGACAATATCTGGAGTTTTTGCTCCCTGACCTGCTAACCTTTGAGACCCACCCACGTCGGTGAGAGCATTCGCTTCCTCTTTGTGATGAGTGCCAAATGGGTCCTCCCCAAGGAGCCCCAGCCCACTGGTGACCCAGTGCACAGCTCTCACCCTTTGGCCTTTGTGCCCCACTGAGAAGCAGTTGCTTCTCACTGGGTCATGTTTCTCATGCACTTTTGGAGAGATGGGGAGCAAAAGAATGAAATGGACACACTGGGGAAAAATTAACTCTGGGCTAAACCGTTGGTATGATATAGATGATGGCTTTACGAGCCAAATACAAATCATCAGACACAGGAACTCATGCAAATGTCAGCTCTCACTGTAAGAATTCACCAGGAAGGGAAGGGAAAGTGACTATTTCTTGAGCTCCTACTATGCACCAGGTTAATGTACCAGATACCTTCATAAACATGCCTGCACTCAATCCTCACAATAATCCCTCAAGGTGTGTAACATGCCCATTTCCATAGATTAGGAAACTGAGACTCCGGGCAATAAAGAAAAGACTCACAACCTCCCAGCTGGCTCATGCGTGGGAGTCAGTCACATCTGAGCAGCTCTCAAGTCCAGTGAACCTGGCTGCCACTCAACACTCTGCAAGTTCAACAGTCGAGTTCAAGTACGACAAGGTCCCAAATTGCAAGTTATGCTTTGGCACTAATGTTCTCCTTTGAGTTTTCCCCTCCCTTCATAGACGCTTCTTAAACATCCATTATGTTCTTCACACTCCTTTTCTCAGTCTCTCTAGTCTCTTGGGCAAATGCGCACTTGCACATTTTCACGGTGCATTATTTTGCCCGCTAAATATGCATTAAATCCAAAATGCTGTCATTGGAAGCAGCATGGCAAGCCTGCGAGATTCTCAGCCTCATTCTCCGGGCCCTACTGGGACCTGTCACGTTGGACCTGCCTGTTTGACAAGCTCTCCTTGACAATGCTAAGAGCTTGGGCAGGGTCTTTTAAATGTCTCTTTTGAGCTTCTGCTAGAAGATTTGTTTCTCAATCTGTCAAACCCTGAAAAGACCAAAAGCAGCGGTCAAGCAGAAAATGTGCAGAGATAACTTGCACCGTATAATCTATAAACATGGATGTACTGACCACCATCATAGCCCTGTCTTGTTAAGTAAAGCCGAATCAAGTGTCCACATATTCTTAAAGAGGACGGAAATGGGCAGAATACTAAGGAGGAAAACTCTCCAAAGTGACACACGAACACTGAAGGGAACTCTTTAGGGGGTGTGCTGATTCCAATATATTTTTAGCCCTACCTTAGGACAACACTCCCCTGGGACAGCTCATTAGGATATACAAATAGATGCTTGTACTGTTGTAGGACAATCTTAAAACGCCACTGTTTCTCATATTTGGCTCAAGTGAGTAAAATCATCCCTCAAAACTCTGCCCCACACAGAGCCTTGACACCCATTCTTGGACAGCTACTCTTATCGCTTGAGCTATAAAGCAAATCTAACTGCAGGTCACAGATGGTGGGAAATAACCAGTTTGCTAGTCACTTCAGACAAAAGGAAAACCAAACAGGGCGACAAGAAATATAAAGGATTCTGTTCAAAGAGTTCAGTCAGCCCAAAAGTAGGGGCCACCACCACAATTTCTAAATCTCATATGTCCAAAGGGGAAAGCAAGAGATTATATACACAGAAAAATAAAAATGATAATACCGCAGCAGTGTCACATCTGGTCCTAAGAGCCAGAGTCGATGATCTTTTATCCTCACAAAAATCCTGGGACATAGTGCTACTATCAGCTCCATTTTATAGATGAGGAAGTAAGGCACACAAGGGAAAACAACCTGCTCATGGTCACACAGCTGAGATTTAAACTCAGGCAATCTGACTCTGGAGTTTATCCCTTTAAGTCCCATTATATTGCCTTTCCTAGTTAAAGGCCCACTCATCCACTGAAAAAGGCAAAAAACACACGGTATTCCAGTATGAAACTCAAAGCAGTTTTGCCAACTGAGTCCTGAGTTTAAAACTTCTTGGGAATTCCCTAGCAGTCCAGTGGTTAGGATATGAGCTTTCACTGTTGTGGACCCGGGTCCGATCCCTCATTGGGGAACTGACAGACCACAAGCTGCATGGCACGGCCAAAAAAAAAACCAAACCCAAAACTTCTTGGATTCTCTAATGCAGGGTCTTTAAGAGTTTTCTGTCGAGCCAGAAAGTCAATGTTTTAGGCCTTGTGGGCCATGCAGTTGTTCATGACTATTCGACTCTGCCAGAGTAGCATGAAGGCAGCCATAGACAGTATGTGACTGAACAGCATCGCTGTGTTTCAATAAAACTTTATTTACAAAATAAAGGTTGGGCCCAGGGGTTTTAATGCATCATCATAACCTCTAGGTAGCACAGCATTCCATACTTAAGCAAGAACTGAGCTCTCCAACTGGGGAAGCTGTGAGCAAAAGTGGAGAACAATATAAGATATATATTTGGAGCTGTTGCAAATGATTTTGGCCTTGGAAAAACCGGGTGAGAGAAAGATCTCGTCAGTATTTTCTGATCTTTCTAGCAAAACCAGGTAGAATGAAACAGCTCAGAGTAAACAACCCATCAAGTCAACAATTTTCACTGATGAAAATTTTTATCGATACAGGTACGTGTGTGGTGTGTGTTGTATGTGTGTGTGCATGCGTGTATGTTATATGTGTTTATTATTTAGTCTCATCTAGATAAATTCACATACTGGGGTTGGCTAGAACTCTGTACTGGGATCTCTGTCTATTCAGAATATAAGGAAGAAAAGGAAAAAGAGCTGGCAAAAACAAAAAACTGGAGGCAGAACAGTCCGGAAAAATAATCAGCAAGAAATAAACCTACTATCTCCTTAATCTTGAAAGTCAATGTTGTTTAATCCTCTTTCTTGGGCCATGGTGCTGATCAACCCCAGGCACTCATTTCCAATAATCAGTTCAAGTCCTGATAACCTGTTTCAAAGCCAGCAGATAGTAACTGCTGGGTCAGATCCTTCTAGGAATATATATATTTTACAACCCCAAACAAACAAACCAAAAAACCTCCACATCCCTAATCCTCTGTTTCAAATTGTTAAGATCCATGCTTTTCAGGACAGAAGAGTTACATGTGCCCCCGAGGTTTTCTTCCAGAGAAAGAAATCAGTTTATTTACTGAAACAAATTAAGAATAATTTCTGCTTTGCAAAAAAGAAGAAAAACAACAACAAAAGAAGACAAACAACAGCCACCAACCCTCTTAGCGTACATACTACTCTGAATCAGGAAAAAAAAATCCAAAATATTATTGTTATAACATATTGTAGTCATATTCTACATCAACCAACAGATGTTTCCTATGAAAAAAACAAACAAAACAAAAACACAAACCTCTGAGTGCTCCACATTGACATTATTTCCTGCATATTAGCAAAATTAAGACGTATGTGCTCTAACCTGTTCCCAGTCTCTCCAGGGGATTCTGCCTGAGAAGCAAGGTAATCAGATCCTGGGCATCAGGTGGTGGCGCCTCATCCTTTTCAGGCCAGTTGATCTCATCTAAGAGGAAGAAAAGTAGTTTACGACTTCACTGCTGAAAGGCTGGTCCACATCCCAACAGCGTGGACATCACCCGGGAGTTTGTTAGAAATGCAGAATTTCAGGCCCCACCCCAGACCTGCTGACTCAGAATCTGCATTTTTAAGAAGACCTTCAGTTGATTCCGAGGCCCAGTCAAGTCTGAGAAGCACTGTTGCACAAGATGTGAATAGCACAGCTGTCAACAAGGCAGGGAGAGAACACTTCAATGAGCAGTACCTCTCATCTGCCTTTTAGATTCACTTTTCTTTGGTAGAACTGGGTCACTACTAATTGGTCCTCTAGTTATTAAGAGGGCTCAATATAGCGGAAACTCTGAACTTCTGTGTTTTAGGCGATCGCCCATCCAGGGATCATGGGGAGTCAGGGTTTCTCTTCTACCATCATCCTCAACTGAGAACCTGGCCACAGCCCCAGGGTTCTTCAGGTCCAAGAAGCAAAAAATAATTTTGTAAAAATAACCATTTCCAGAGACAAAGGAAAGGTCAAAATGCTAAGACTGAAGAAGAAGAAAAAGAAGAAAAAAAAAACGCCAAGGAATTGTAGGAATGGAAGTACTTAAAATCTGTCATAAATATTAGAATGTTCTACATTCTAAAGGAGTTTGCCTGAAGATAGGTGTGCATGCTTGTGTGCATGGGAATGCAATAAAAACATGGGTTATTTCTGCATGTGCTTGCCTCTAGCTTCCTCTGCTGCAGTTCAAATCTGATTTGGAAAATAGAACGTGAATATGCATCTGAGCCATAAGGCATCGACAGAACAAAGCCAGCATTTGCTGCTTGTGTTAATTAAACAGTTGATTCCTTTTGCCATTCATCCTTGATATATCAGAAAACAGCCTAGTTATAAATCCATAACGAGCTCAGATATTGTATAAAAGGGTTATACACTGCGGGCAACTCACAAATCTACTTTGTTAAAGTTTACAAATATGCCTGGCTCGCAAAATCAATGATGGAAAATAATGCTGTGATTAAGAGGCTCCTCATACCAAAAGGAATGGTCCCCCTATTTCCACTGTTGGACACTCTAAGCACAGTCCAGAATGGACCACAGGTAGGTGATGAAGATGTGACTGATGACTGACAAACTTTGAGGAGGAGAGGCCTTTTTGATCTCTGCTCCAGGGAAATTTATAAAAACAGCAGGTAGGGTAGTAATAAAGCCTATTTAATTATCATTTAGTTTTGCCACAAGCCACACAACAATAGTTAGGGTCAGCTTGCAGGTTAAGATCTAAAGGTTACTGAATTTAAATGAAAGATGAACAGCTGTTAAGAAATAACATTACACCATAACAACTACCAATGAAATCATTAACAATCTGTGGATTAAATTTGCTTCCTCCCCATTCTCATTATTTATTATTTGGTAGACATTTGTTTTAGGGTTTATTACATTTTTGTTAATTTCTTCACTGTGCCAATAGCCATTTTTCCCATTTGTGTAAATGTTACCCATGTTAACCTCTTCTTCCCTGGTGCAACTTTCCCACTATGGAAAAGAAGACTGGACAGCCGTGAAATCATTTGCAAATCCCACGCCAATTTCTTTTGCAGAAAAAGTACACCATAAAAATTGGTCACATTGCTAGTACATTTCCAAATTCCATGTTAACAAAACTTCCCCAGATCAATTCCCAACACAAATTGCTCTCTTGAGATTGTGAAAGTCAGTTATGTGCTATGATGAGTGAGTTCTTTTAATTTGTTGGCCAAACCCTTTGATAAAGGTTAACTGTTTAGTAAAAACAGTGATACTCCCCAGAATTACATTAAAAAGCTGCTTCCCAACAGCGGCTTAGAGATAACTGCTGACAATATTTACCACTGATGACTTGTCCAAATAGCTCTTCTGGAGTGTCCCCAAAGAATGGCACGCATCCAACCAGAAATTCATAGAGGATAATCCCCATGGCCCACCAGTCTACCGGCTTCCCATAGCCCTGCCTCAGAATCACTTCTGGTGCAATGTATTCAGGTGTGCCACAGACCTAAAAGATGATTGCAATATCAGAATAATTAGAATATTAGACATGAATTAAAATGAGCAAGATGGCTAAATATCAATTATTTTGCCTAGAGTGCACCTGCTCAACCACATGGAACCACATGGACAAAGAATTTAAGAACAGTGATTCTAAGTCGGTATCTATCATACCAAAAGCAACGAATTACTTAAAATACCAAAAAAAGCAAAGTTTAAAATGCTGCTCTAACGTGAAACTGTGTGTAATGTCTAATTTCAAATTTGAGTAGTTTTACTTACTTTACAAAAACATTTGTAATCCTTGGATTTAAAATAATACTGCATTTTTTTGTCTGTCACTATCAGAGAGAGTTTTAGTATTTATATGACTGAAATATATTCACATCCTGGTTACTTCATAAAAGCCTGACAGTTGAGATGTGTTCACCTTAAGTAACTGTACAATGAACAGATTGTGGGCACATGGTAATGAGGCATGCTTAAAGGGAAATGGGCCATGGCTTGGATTTTGGCACCTGTGATTGTACAACGCATCATGAGTTTCATGAGGACTCTACTGAGACTCCCGAATTCCTTACGAAAACAGTTTTTCCATTTGTCTCTCTCACACTCTCACTTGTGTAGAGTTAGATCGTTTGTCTTACTAATAGACCATAATGTCGAGGGAGGAATGTGGAGGGACCGACATTTCAAAGAGGCCCAGGGAGAAAAATGGAAGCAATTTGCGCTTTATCAAACGTAAGGCTTATATAGACATCTAAAGCCCCAGCACTAATGTCAAGATAGCCTAGGCGAGCTGATTCTGAATTCCACTGTCAACACTGCACTTTGTATTTCTCTCTGGAGCCAAACAGCACGCAAGCTTACCTGTTTGTCCAGGAACTCTCGAGCATCCTTCTCAATATGACCCTCATAAAGATTGGTAGTCATGCTCATTAGCCCCACCTTGGATAATCCAAAATCTGTCAGCTTTATGTGCCCCATGGAGGTGACCAGCAAACTGTGAAGCAGAAGGACGTATATCACAACACTCACTTTGAAGCTCATTTTTTGTTTTTACTTTTCTCCCTCCCACTGTGAATTGATAAGACTATGTAATATATAGGTATCAATCTTATCACAAAACCCAGACGGCAAAGAGATGAGGTCACACAAAGATGTTAAATATGTGTATCTGGCGGCTGAGAGTAATCCACAAGGGGAGGCCAGAGACCGGGCTCAGCCCATCTTCCTTGGAGATGTCACATACAGCATCATTTACAACTTGAAGCTCTCAGAAAAATTCAAGTATGGAACTCTGACACCTTTCCATTTCCAGAATAAGAAAAGAGCTGAGAAAGGGCTACTGATAATCCCACGTCACACGTCAGTAACTAACATAAGCAACCAATCCGTGATTCAGATGAGACAAAAGATAAAGAACTTGGAAGAAAAATGTAGCATTGTTTCAGATTTCAACTTCTGGCTTGAACTTAAGTGTCTACTCACTAAGCACAAGACCTACATGTCTTATACATGCAAAGAATTCACATTTGAAAGCTTTATGAATTTACGGTTAATTTTTTTTTCACTTTAAGTGGCAAAGAAATTTTTAATTATTTAAAAAATTAAAGGAGTAGAGGAGTTAAAAAAAATAAAGCTATTGGAAGGATGCATGCCAAATTTCTAATAGCTGTCTTCGTTTGGGAATGTTGTGAATGAAGTTTTTTCTTTTTGTACTTCCCAAATTTTCTGTAATGAGCGTAAGTTAATTTTATAAAATTTTGGCACACTTAAAAGCTCTACATATTAATAAGAACTACTTCTAGAGGTGTCTCAGATTAGTGGAGAAAGCACGGAACATTTAATAAATGGTGTCAAGATGAATACCTAGTCATTTGGGGAAAGATAGTCTATCTGTATCTCAAATCAGACACCAAAATGAACTCCACATAGACTAAAAATTAAATAAAAAACGAAATTGTGAATAAAATAGAATAGAATATCAAGGATATCATCTTGGGGGAGAAAAAATTATCTAAGTATCATTCTAAACGCCGAAACTATCCAGAAAACAACTCATAGCATTCTATGTACCTATTATTTACATAATAAAAAAAACTAAAAATAAATTAACTAACCCTGGCTTAATACTCTTTTTTGTTTGTTTGTTTCTTATAAGCTGCTATTGTAAACACCATAGCCTTTAAAAAGATTATACAAAAATCATCATGTATACTGCTAAAAATAACTCATTTTGGAACATTATGGGAGAATTTAAAAATGTACAAAGCAGCATTAAAAGAAAACATTTTTATAGACATAAACACTTCTGTATTGTGTGGAAAAAAAAGACATATTTCATCAGTGTACATACTTGTCTGGTTTCAAATCCCTATGTACAATTCCATAATTATGTAGATATTCCAAGGCCAGGACTGTCTCAGCAAAGTACATCCTGGCCATATCAACAGGGAGAGGACCCATGTTCTTCATTAAGGTAGCACAGTCACCTCCTATAAAACACAAGAAAAAGACTTAGCAGGTATAGTATCAGCTGGGATTAAAGACCGCCAGTTTAGACTGCAGAATTTCCAAGTAGAATGGTCTCTATCCATAGACATAGTCGATCGTGTTCGTAAGTGGAGACTGTGTTAAGTAATCATGTTTCTACTTATGATGTGGTGTGGAGAAAATATAGACTTTTATTTAAGAAGCGCTGCTCATGAGAGAGCAGATTTGGCCTGAAGTGAAACTAAATGTTGAAGAACTGATGGTGTGTGTTAGGAACAGCATGATGATTTAAAATAAACCATTTTAAAACATGGATTCTGGAATCAGGCTGCCTGAGTTCAAATTCCGGCTCTGACTCTTACAGGTGGGGACATCTTAGGCAAGCTGGTCTTGGTTCTTTCAGCTGTAATATCAGGATATGAACAGTGTCATCCCTTTTATTGTGAGGATTAAATGAGGTAATCTGTGTAAAGAATTCAGGATGCTGTCAACACATATTAAACATGTGATAAACGTTAATTATTGTTGTTAAAATCACCATAACAAAAGTTAATAAAGCAAAGTACTGGTGTGGTGAAAAGAACAATGGGTGGAAATCAGGCAAGTTATGTTTTTGTCCTGTATCTACCACTAAATATCTAGTGAAACCCCTTCTTGGGTTTCAGTTCATTCATCTGCAAAATGAAAACGATATTTAACAGTTCGTTAAGTTACAAGTTTTGGGATTCTGTTCAAACAATCACAAGGGCTTAAATTAGATGCTTTGAAAATTGTTTTGGAGACTAGGATTGACATATATACACTAATATGTATAAAAGAGATAACTAATAAGAACCTGCTGTATAAAAAAATAAATAAACTAAAATTTTTTAAAAAAAGAAAATTGTTTTGGCCCTTGCTTATCTATTCATTTTATTAGCTTTATTTATATCAGTAAGTCATGGCTATGGAAACACTCAAAAATTTCATGTAAAGTTGACGGACATAAGATTACTTGGAACATTTAAAAGGTAGACCACAAACTTCCAAAAGAAAAAAGGTTAGTTTTTTAAAATTAAACTATAGTTGATTTATAATATTGTGTTAGTTTCAGGTATACAGTTTCAGACTCTTTCCTGTTATAGGTTATTACAAGATACTGAATATAGCTCCATGTGCTGTACACTAAATCCTTGCTGTTTATCTATTTTATACATAGTGGTGTCTATCTGTCAATCCCATAGTCCTAATTTATACCCCCCCTTTCCCCTTTATAACCATAAGTTTGGTTTCTGTGTCTGTGAATCTATTTCTCTTTTGTAAATAAGTTGATTTATCTTATTTTTTTAGATTATAAGTTAGATTTTCTTGAATGTATCTTTCTCCTAACTCACCATTAATTTCGTACCATACACCAAAAAGGATATATTTTTAATATTTTCCTTAAGAAGATCCATTGTAATGAATGTTTTTATGATATGTGATAAAGATAAGTAGGAAAAATCCCATCACCTATATTCTAACTTTAATGACCAATTGAGAGGAGGTGCTTAGGATGAAAAGCCATTAAAAAGGGAAAACAACCTTTTTCCAAATAGCACTAATTTTCCCTTTGTTATAGTAGAGCTGGCCCTTTACAAGCAATTATGGGAAGATAATGACTGGGAAGACAGCCATCTAATTGCCTGGCCTTGGTTCCTACGTGGATACAACTATTGTATGGCACAAGTACAGAAAGCGTCAGCTGCACAAATGAGCCAGTGGTTTCTGGGTACAGGTGTCATGTTCTCTGTGTCAGAGTGACTCACCTTCGACATATTCCATGACCATGCACAAGTGGCGCCTGGTCTCAAAGGAGCAATACATGCTGACAACAAAAGGGTTTTCTGCAAAAGTCAGGATATCCCGTTCCACAAAGGCCTGCTGGATCTGGTTTCGGAGGATGAGGTTCTGTTTATTAATCTTCTTCATGGCAAACCTCTGCCGCGATTCCTTATGCCGAACAAAATAGACTGCCCTGAAAAGGAGCACAAGAGTTGGGGTTCAAAGGAAGAGGGGATGTTTCTGGGTACAGTACATCACTTTTTTTTTTTTTTACATTCACGTGATAGCCGGGATTCAGCCCACATAAGCTATGCTGGCAACTACAAACATTCCATTCCAGGCCAAAGCCCTTTGGCTAATTGATTTTTTAAAAAAATTCTTTCAATAAAAGTTACAGGTCACACATAAGGCAAATTCATTTCACTGAAGAAAATGGACAGTCTCCAGAGTGAGCTACTTTCCAATAGCTAGCTGTTGTTTTCAGTTTTTCTATAACAGAACAAAATCCGATATATAAGTTAAAACAGGAAAACAATGAACAAAAAAAGTACATACATATTCTGAGCGAGATCCTTTCTAGCATTAGATATCTATTAGGCATTTTTTCACAACTGACTAAAGCAATAATTTTCTATATGATACTCATGGGATCTACAAAAAGGGACCATAGACTATAGCTTCTTAAAGTAGCTGACTTCCAACTTGAGAGTAATTTACTTCCCATGAACTTTCTAGATAAATAAGAAGTATGTAATAGGTCATATGAGGCTGCCCTCCCTGTTACAAAGAGTAGCATATTTCTTCATTACAGACCTCGGCATGAGTTACACCTATGCCTGTTTCAACAGGAAATGCATTTCCCAACCTAAAAGGGGGTCCAGAGTACACTGCATTTCTGGTCCATGTGACCCACAGCTGAGGTGTCTGGCAACTCTACTGTAAAGTGAGCAGGCTGCATGGAATTTCTGCCAAAAGTCTCATCCAAATACTCTACAGAACCAATTCTGTCTGGGTAAAGACAATGGACTCCCTGAAGCTTCAAATGATGTAGAGAAAAGAAGTAATTCGGAGGAGGATCCTTCAAACCCCACCTGGAAATGATGAGCAACAAAGAAAATGTCTTGGACGGGCTCCTTTTCTCATAAGTTACTCCTCACTTATCTCATTATTAAGGGACAACAGGTTTGAACTCTCAGGTCGGGCAATTGTCAAATAATTAATAATTTACCTAAAGAGCTATCATCATTAGAAGTGTGTAATAGGTTGTACGAGGCTGTCCTGAAACAAATGCAATGACCAACTAAGTAATAATTTACCTGAAAAGCTATCAATCATAGTAAAGTACATCCAGTAGTCTGTTTCCTAAACGAGGGGTTATCTGAGATGCATTTTTCACTAGTGATTTTCATTGCCTCCAAAAAATGAACTCGAAGGGGACTAGGACACCCTATATTCCTGCTGGACCAATATGTCAGAGTGATACCCTTACATAAATCTTAAGTATATTCAATCTCAGTTTAACCAATATTCACATTTTCCTCTTAAGCGTTCAACTAGGAATTCATCTTTCTTTGAAGTGTGTACGTCTTTGTCTTCTCATTGTATCCATCTTTTCCCTTCACTCACAAAATCACACATTTGTGGGGTCTCTGTTTAAACATTCTTTTTTTTTTTAATCTTTACACCTTTTTCTCTCTCCTCTTTTCTCTGGCCTTCTAGTTCTTCCTTCCCTGTATAGTAAAAAGCTGTCTTAGCCACACTCCACATAACGAACTCGAGGAATAACCTGGTACTCTTATTCCCACTGTACAACAAACTGACAAGGGAGCTGGCTGGCTGGGTGCCTACTGCTTTCCACAGAGGCTAGGCATCCTCTTCAGGATTCCCAAACACTTTGGGCTCCCACCAGCCGGGTTAATTTCCACACCTGTTCTGGCTAGGCTTGATATCATGACTGACTAATTTAAACAAATATTTAAACTGATGAAACACGAGTGTGAAAAGAGAAAGCACTGTTGTTTATAAGAAAGCTGAGTGGAATGCTTGGGAAAGCACTGATAAATGTGAGTTACTAAATAAAATTCCTATTGATTTAGTATGAGTGAGAAGATTCCAAACGTCGAGAAAATAATAAAAATCTAGGCGGATTGCTTCCAGTTCTTGCTTCACATGTAAAAAAGCTAAAAGTGTGAAACAAACAACATAGTACAGTCAGCCCTACATAGCCACGGCTTCTGCACCCTCAGATTCAAACAACTGAGGATTGAAAAATATTAAAAACGAACAAACAAAAAAATCCAGAAAACCGCATGAAGCAAAACTCGAATTCGCCACACTGGTAACTATTGATATTTATGCAGCATTTCCATTGTATTAGATATTATAAGTAACCTAGAGATGATTTAAAATATATGAGAGGATGCCATTTTATATAAGGGACAGGAGTATCTGTGGATTTTGGTATCTGAGGGGGGTCTTGGAACCAATACCCCTTGGATACCAAGGAATGACTGTATAAGTATTGTTTATACTGGCTGTCTTATAAAGGGCTTACATCGAAAGGCTAGCCAATTTACATATATTTAGGTTAAATTAAAATGTTTAAAGTACATATCATTTTTTGGTGATTTCCTACTTGAACTTTTTCATTTACCAACTACTCATTCTTTCTGAATCAGATTAAAGGCTACGACAATTTTTTTCTTTTTCCAATTACTGATTGGATAAAATCAAGATCCAAAGACACTTGAGCTTCTCCTAATCAGAAGCTGATAGCAGGACAGAGAGATTCAAAGGGAGCACAGAAAAGAACTTGGCCTCCCCTTACATATATGAGACATGCATTGGCAGATACTGTCATGAAGAGGGATTCTTGAGATACAGAATCTGTTTTTTAAAATGAACTTTAGAATTGAAAATGTTAAAAGGAAAAAGCCAGTATCTTTATATAAGCACTTGCCTATTCTTGAGAGTCAACTGGAATACAGCTCACTTTCTATCACTTCTTTCAATATTTAATATTGAGTAAGTTCAGGGCTGAGGACCTCCAGCCATATGATACTGTTAACTTCACTTTTAGACTATCAGTAGGCTGCCATTTTGATTTTCAACCAAGCTCCACCATTTCTTACATAAATAACTGCTCCTCAATACGTTTGAGAACAACAGGAAGTGAAGGAAAAAGAATAGGGTTTTACATGATTTTAAGAAAGAACAAAAGAGAAAGATACCTCAGACCCAATTTGACCAGTACCTACACTAGGTACTGTGTAAAAAGGCCTTCAATCTTTATTCTTAGATTTTCAATTCATAAAATTTGATTTGACTTTCTGTCTTCCCTTGCTATTGTACTTAAAATAATCAGGTAATCCTTAGGGAAATTTACCTAAACCAGTTGAAATTAATCCTATAGGTAGCTTGAGATACCATTTCCTCAGGAGAAACGTATCTCGATCAAGTTGCAAAAGTCAACCAGACTTAATTAGAATTCCCTGTAGCTGCATTTTTGTTTGTTTCGTTTATGTTATGTTTTTACATTTCTGTACTGCTTTGGAAATATTATTTCTAATGCTGAAATGTGTTTATTCAGTAATATGTGTTGTCTCTCACATACTCCTTTCCTCCATCCTTACAAATCGCTGTTCTAAATCTACTCAAGTCAGCAGAGGGTGAAGCAGAGGGAGAGAGGGGGAGGGAGAGGCTGAAAAAGAGAGAGAGACAGAGAAACAGAGCAGGACAGACAGACAGACATCTAACACTGCTAAGCAGAGCTGCAAACTGCCCAAGGTTATAAAACTAGACTGAACTAATTTGGCCCCCATTTCTCTGTTTTCTGGCCTCAAGGGTTGGTTCCCTTGAAAAGGCTTCTGTGTCTCTTTTCCTACACTGACCCGCCCTGTGAAATAGGAAGACCCAAGGGTGGGAGGTGATGCATGGGGAGGGGCAGCCAGGGGAGCCAAGCATCACTCCACTCATGCAGAACTGAGGCGGGAGAAGGGACAAATGGAATCGGAAGCAGGCAGGATCTAGAGCAGAATGAATCAGTCCTATTGGGAGTGTGAACATCTCATGCATATAAAATTATGCATGAATCTGAGAGCCTGATACATGAATCCCGGTGAGCAGATCCGCATGTGGGAAGGAGAGTGCAAATGTTAGGGGGAAGCTGAGGGGAAAGGCTATCAAGAGGGAGCATCCGTCAGTCTGTCTCTCAGGTAAATGACCCTGTCCTTGGAGGGTTAAAAAAAGCAGAAAGGGCAGCAAGACTAGAAAGCAATGTGAAGTGGGGAAGAAGCATTGTGCCTCTCAAATTTAGCTTTCTTACTTTAGAAAATTTTAGGTCAATCTTATTCTTCTACTTCGAAAACATTCAAAATTGTTATTTAAAAATCTAGGTGGAAGCGCTCAATGGAAGAAGGATTTCTATACCCTAATTAAGGTGGCTAAAAGTTATAAACGATATTCAGAGGGAGAAAAGAGCTCTGCTTGCAGTCAGAGTATGTGTGACCAGGCTTGGGAGCCTCTTTCTCCACATCTAAGTGGAAGTAACATCAACACCTCACAAGGGCTTGTGAGAAGAGAACAAATAAAGAGAATAAAGAGACTAGTCCAGTGCCTGGCACACAGTAGGTGTTCGCTTTCTACAAAGTGCTAAGTTGGCATGAAGGGAGGTGCAACTGCCAGTCAGGATCTGAAACCTGTTAAACAGAGAAGGAAATTGGGTGCTTCTCAAATTGGCAAATTGGCTTTATATTGTTACTAAGTAGGATGTTGAAAAAACCATGACGTGTTATATAGCTCTATCGAATGAAAGGGTTAGTTTCTAGCATAACCAGTATTTGAAAAGTCACAGAACGGGTGTCGCTCTAAGTCACTGATGTGAGCGAGGGACTCGGTTACAGGGATGCCCAAGAAAGCCTCGAACGGCTCCAATTCATGGACCTACGTGATCCACCTGTTCAGCCAGTTCACAGAAGCCCGCTATCAGCATCCTGATCAGGTGGGCCAATGGGCGTAGCTCCATTCAAATTTTAAGTGAAAAATAATTAAATTGTAGAGGAAATCTGTCAGAAATGTAATGAGAGATTAACTTGGAGAAGAGCAAAAGAGAAAAAACAAGTTTTTGGCTGATCGGCAGAGGCTCCCACAGGCAGCTTGTAAGCCCATTAATGACTTGGCCTCCGTCCTGGGTGTTTACTGATTCACAGCTTGTTTAACTTCTTGTATATTCCCAACCATTCCCCAAAGTGTGATATACCTCATCTACTATACAGTGGTTTAATTTGCACTACAAATGAGTTTACTCAACCAATTAGAACTCCAAATACTGCTAAGATATATGCCCAGATTTTATAAAAGTGGTGCTTCACAGAAAATCCTATGCCAGAATTCCACAGGCAATAAAATTCAGCAGTGCTCAAACCCACAGATCCCTTAAATCAAAGTTGTCTTTTCCCTAATCAAACAAGAAATCCTCAGATGATCTCCAGAACTAAAAAGGACTAAAAGCCAATAACATATAAACAAAACCCACAAACAACTGCATGCTAAAACAATCTTCTTAGGTAGAAGAGTTTCAGTGAGCTCCTCAAAAGAAATAGAATATTGTAAAAATAAAACATCGGAAAGCATTTATAAGCCACATCAGGAAATATGCCATTTGACATAATCCTGAAAACAAATCAGTGGAGCATAGAAAGCACTCACAAATATTTAAGTTCTTCACTAAGTTAATGGTGTGGAAAATATTAGAGGTGAAAAAAACACCATAAGGAGAAACATCCCTTGTGGCGTAACAAAAATCGATTCTATCTCATCTGCTGTGTGTGTTATAAATGGCAATAAATGTCTACGGGATTGTTTATTGCTGTCCACCTACGGATGGAATTGGGATTAATACTTAATTAAACTAGAGTTCTGGGCTGTCTAAAATGGATCAGGACATAGTCTGTGTATTAATTACTCTTCCAAACTATTAGTAACTCAGAGGGATCTTGTCAGTATTGACCTTATGCCCTGAGAGGGAAACCGTGTATCTATAAAAATGAATCAAGGAAGGGGCTCCACTAATGTGGTCAGACTATAGCATAGAGTTCAATTGAAAAAAAAAAAATCCTGGTGTTATATAAAGACTAAAAGAAGTGTGTTGCTTTAAATTTTCAATCAGCCTTCTTATTAAAGTACTACTCTCCCAAGGTTGACTGCTGGTCAGACAGGAAGTACTGGCTAATTCTCAAGTAGAAATGCTATAAATGAATTTATATATATTCAGATACATATATATATCCAGATGTGTATGTGTATCTACATAAAAACAGGCACATACAAAAATTTCCCTTACTTTAGAAATTTTTACTTTCTAAAGTCTTCCTCTCCCATGCTCTAAAATAACCCCCGGGTCACTTGAAATGTTTTCTGATTGGGTATCCAATGAAAAATGATTTGGGCTTCACCTGATACCCATCAATGAAGGAGCAGTGATCTGAAAACTCAAGTCCCCAACAACATCTATTTGGCATAAGATCAATGTGAAGAATATATTTCTCAGGTGTGTTAAAATATAATAGAGAGTTTTCCTGAATTACTCACCCGTAGGCTCCATTGCTAATCAATTTAATCGTCTCAAAATCACTTTCCCGAGGTTTCCTTCGAAGTTTCAGGGAAGCATTAGAGCTCTTGGAGACAAAATATGGATGTTAAAAAAATAGCTCAGAATTTAAGAAAATGATTTTAGCAGTAAAATAACTAATATTTGAATTGCATGCTCTATTGTTTAATATGTTAAAGTGCAGTATTCTAGCCAAAGGAACCTGGGGGACGGCTTTAAAGCTCAATTTTCCACAGCAGTGCTGATAAACTACTCCTCATGACTGGCTCAGTTTCATTTAAGTGAACACCATTTCCAGGAGATAGAGGCACCACGTTTTTGAAAATTCCTGATTTTTAATTTACCTCTGTAAACCATTCAGGTGAGCCTCACCCTAGTCTTTTAAAGTTTTAAGATTTGAGTCCAAAATGCCAAACCTTAATTCTAGTTTCAGCCAATCAGAAAAGAATGGGCTGGAGTGGCCCTCTACGGGTTGGTGGATCACATGGCCTCTCTGCCACTGACCAGGGCATGTCCATTTCATTCCTGTGGCAACCTTTCCTGTTTGGAAAAGGTAGCTGGCAACAGATGAGACAGCCAGGCAGAGCATGCCTGTCTTTCTTTACTTCCATCCACCGTAAGTCTTACTTACCATGGTTTAGACACCAATTTTCAAAAAGATAGCTCTTTAAAAAGTTTAGTTCAAAGGACACGAATAAACAAAGTTTTGTTTTGTTTTGTTTTACAAAATTTTCTCACGCCCCATGTATCTTAGCACTGAGAGAGGGTTAAGAGTCGTTCTGCTCCCTCCGCAGAGACCAGAATCCCCTTCCCATAATTTTGGAAGAAACCCCATGACTCTGAGGTATGTGCCATCCTCCCCAACTCAGTGCTGGCACCCGCCCACTCGGCTGCCCCACCGCCTCTGGAAGATTTAGACCGAGCTTCCCACTGTCCTCAGTGCCTGCATTCTCTCACCATCCTGAGTGACTTCCGTATCTACACAGATAACTCAGCCAACAACCCGGCCTCTGGGCTACCTGACCTCCTCAATTCAACCAGCTCCTTTCTCTGTTTCTCCTTGGCCTCTGGCCATAGGACCTGGGTCTACTCATCACCTGCCAACACCCCACCTCAGAAAACATAATCCAAGACTGGGACCCCTTACTTGTTCAGCCACCCAACTCCAACTACCCTCCACAGCTCCAGCTACAAGGCCCTGAACCAGCCCTCTTGTCTCATTAACTCCTCCTCACCTGAGTGACCTCACCTATGCCTATGGATGACTCCTAAGTCACCTAGACCATCCACCAAAAGCTCTCCCTCTGAGGGCTGGAAGATCCCACACCTTATATACAATTGGCTGCTCGATGGCTCTCCTTGGATGTCTCAAAGGAACTTCAGCTTAAGCTCATTCAAAATTATGGCAGTTATGATGAAACTAACAAAAACAACTATCATTTATTTAGCAGATGTGAAGCTGTCCTAACCATTTTATACAGACTACCTTATTTAAGCTTTTTTTTTTTTTTTTTGGGTTCGCGGGCCTCTCACTGTTTTGGCCTCTCCCGTTGCGGAGCACAGGCTCCGGACACGCAGGCTAGGCGGCCATGGCTCACGGGCCCAGCCGCTCCGCGGCGTGTGGGATCTTCCTGGACCGGAGCACGAACCCGTGTCCCCTGCATCGGCAGGCGGACTCTCAACCACTGCGCCACCACGGAAGCCCCTTATTTTATCTTTTATATCTGTTTTACACTTGAGGAAACTGAGGCACAGAGAGATTTTCTTTTCCCCAAGCTAGTAAGAAGTGAAGCCAGCTTTGAAATCTGGAAACCTGACTCCAGAGCCTGGATTTTTAAGCCCCCAGGCTACACAGCTGCCCCTCTTTCCTGACCACCCCCCGATGCTGGGGGTGGTCCATCCTGGTTCCTCTTCTGCTATTCACAATTAGGAAGAATGGCACCAGCATCCAGGACCTCTCATCTGTGTCACTGCTGCAGACTTTCAAATGGCCTCCCCAGGGTCACTCCAGCTGGCTTTCCTCACCTCATCTACTTCCTACACTGCAATCAGTGTGATTTTTTTTCATGTTGTTACTCTGTTTGGGTCATCTCCCTATCTATGCCCCCTCATCCTCCACACACATCCATTTCCTCCACAGTTCATCAGCTTCCCACTGTTCTTTGTTTTTTTTTTTTTTTTTTTTTTTTTTTCAGTACGCGGGCCTCTCAGTGTTGTGGCCTCTCCCGTTGCGGAGCACAGGCTCTGGACGCGCAGGCTCAGCGGCCATGGCTCATGGGCCCAGCCGCTCTGCGGCATGTGGGATCTTCCCGGACCGGGGCACGAACCCGTGTCCCCTGAATCGGCAGGCGGACTCTCAACCACCGCACCACCAGGGAAGCCCCCCCACCGTTCTTTGAAAGAAACAATTTGACAAAGATGAACAGCAAGCACATCTGTGTCCAGTTTTTACCCGAGCTCTGTAGGCTGCGCGGTCTCCCTCACTCTTAAGCCTTCAGATATACTCTCTCCCTTGTATCACATGATGGTCCCTTGGCCTGGAATGTTCCCTCTGCCTCTTCTCATCCTAGTAAGTTCTCACATCTCGAGTGTCCTTTCCTTAGGAGATCTTTCTGGACTGGTAAATCTCTCTTTAATGTTATGTTCCAGGAGCACATGGCCCTTTTTCTTTATAGATCTTACTCAAGTTTCTCATTTTGATTTTTTGTGCGTGATTTCTCTTTATTAATTTGTTTCTCTTTGAAGAGAGGGGCTAAAACTGTATGCCTGGTGCCTTGCATATAGAAGCACAATAAATATGTGTTGAACAAATAAAGTAATTAACACAGCCAAAATCTCCACATGCTAATAAACAGAAAAACCAACATCATATTTCATCAAGAAAGATACTTACTTTCACTGATTCATCTGTTTCTGGTGTTTCTGCTGTCCCACTATCATAGTTTCCCAGCTGAGCCATTTCTAAATTAAAAAAAAAAAAAAACTAAGTTTAAGAGAAATAGGACAATTGTAACTAGACAAGAGTACTATGCTAAAACAAAAGAAGCACAATTTCTCCCATATTAAAAAAAGAAGAATTTACTCTATACTCCAATGTACACATGAGAAAATCTTAATTCCAACATGGCAAGAACCAACAACTGATATTGATATTTTGAAATTGTTCACTTCATGCCCTTTTTCCTAGAACTCCATTTCTTATGAACACATAGACACAGCTACTTAGAGCTGGGTCTCTGCTCACGGTAGCAGGATTCACTGGCTGATACAATCACCACAGCTTGGAAAGGGTTTGGGGGCTCAATGATTATGCTTGTAATCAGATACTCAAGAGAGGCAAGTTTCCCAAGCCCTGACAGGCATCGGAGATGCACTGACTACAGCTCAGAGATGAGTCCCAAGTTGTCATGAGCATCCCTTGCTCCATTCCTTCACGTCCACTGAGAGCTAGCCCTCCTAGTACATAAGAATCCACAACTTTTCAGAAAGGAAGCAATAGTAGTTGTTAAGAGGAGTTTGGAGTTGAAAAGACTCGAGTTGCCACCACTAAGAGCACTTACTAGTGGCTTTTTAACCTTGGGTTCTTCCTCTGTAAGATGGGAACAATATTGTTCATCTCTTGGAGTTTTTTATGAGTATCACATGTGATAACGCATGTAAAGGTCTTAGGATGTTGACTAACAAAAATTAAGTGCTCGCTGAATGTTGATTGTTATTTATTACCATTAATTATATCATGTAAAGTAGTCAGTACTAGGCTGGATGCCACATGCTTGACACCAGCCTAAATTCTACCCTAGTGGTCTAGTTAAGAGACAAAGCACTTCATTGCTCAACCTACATTGGAATGCATCCTTAAGTCTATATAAGTAAATGAGAAAACCTAATTTATTTTACCGTTCATTTTGATTTTTATCAAACAATGCACACTTAAGAAAAAACAAAACGTGTTTTATTAAAAAAAAGAACATGAAAAAATTTTCTCCAAAACTTTAAAAGGGGGTTATCGCTAAGTGGTAGTAGGATCACAGGTAATTTGAACTTTCTAATTTTTGAAAATCAAACGTGTATAATAAAAAGTTATAGTTTTTAGCTACATATTTTTGTGTGCATCTAATATTATTTCTTAGGCTGTCAGAATTTTATGTATTCATGTTCTTATAAATATAATCATCCTTTTCCGGGAGAGATTACACATAAAACACATGAAGCAAAGCAACAATGGAGTGTTGTCTTTAGAGAAAAATTAACTCCAGAAACTAAAATAACTGGAGATTGACACTATCCCAGTTTACTTACAGAGGAAGTTCGGGAATTAAAAATGAGCTCAGTACACACTGTGTGCTTTCTTGGTGTCATTCAAATGACCTCAGCGTCCTATGTGACTAGCACTTTAGATTTATAGACTAGGAGGTAGACTATAATGTATTCAGTTGCAGGGGCTCAAAGGGGCAATTTTACTATTATTTATTTATTAAGCATTATTACATCTTAGGTGCAGAGGTGAGCTCATATAATCCTAAAAACAACCCTATGAATAGGTACCATTATCCAGTTTTTACGGAAAACACTGAGGCACAAAGAAGGTCATCACAATGTGATCAAGGTCACACAGTCTGCACTGACGCTCTGGGTAGTCCCATTCCAGAGTCCCACTCTTAACCTTCAAATGTCAGGCTTTAGGTCTGCTGGTGTCCATGATGACAAGAAGGGAAACAAGTGCAGATCAGCGTTTGCAATAATCACATTTTAAGTGATTAGAGCAAACAGATTAAAAATTACCCTCAGATCTGAATCAAGAAAATTAAGTGTTAAAAGTTAAAAACAACTCCCAGTGATAGATTGGTAGAATTAAACATGAAACTTGTCAAAAATCACTATTAAAGTGTTTTAAAGACAATAAAGGCATATAAATGGGCCTCAGATTATTCACCTACCAAAGGTTCAGCCTACAGTGATATTTACTACCAGGTAAGAAAACTGTGAAGAGCTCACTCAGTCTACAATTCAAAGGTTGACACAACTAACTCTGCCGGCGTGAAGAGTCACCGTAATATACTTTGACAGTCTCCCCCACTCCAATTACTTTCATAAAAAAACAAATTAAAAGATGGTTCTGTTTTAAATAGAGTTCCTGCTAAATAACTATTATCTGGGAAATGCATATTATTTGTAAGCAGTGGGTAGTAATGGAATGGAACCAAGAGTCAGCTTTTGAAGCAGGAAGCTAAGGCATCATTTTGTAATGCCTGAAGAGATTTTAAAAACTCATCTAAATACCATTAAACATCTGCCCTTTTTATTTCAGTGATTTAAACCATTTCTGAAGACTCATGATTCAAAAAGGTAAAGATGGTAATTTAAAAGCTATGGGGAAAAAATTTCTCCCCAGGGAACTTTTCAGAAAAGCAGCCACCAGACTCTGATAAGTGATGAATCTGTTGTGGTACTGCTTTCAGTACAGTATAAATTTATCTGGCATTATCTCCCGGTAACGCATGCATCATTTCACTGGAAGCAAAGATTCGATGGCCATAAGAGCAAATAAAGCAGGGGAAATAGGAGAGCAGGCAGAGAGCAGCAGGTTCCCTGGCTGTAGATGGGAAAATACCTGCCAACAGTTAGCATGATCACAAACAACTTAGCATATAACACTTTGCAAATTCAACTTAATGACCCAGGAAGACAATTTTGAATAAAGGAGTCTATGATTGCTTTTGAGTCTTTTCAGGCAGTATATAACCTAAGTGTTTTAAATGACAATCCCAAACAATAATGAACAGGAAAAGGTGGTGGAAGGAGTGGTTTCCCAATATCAGATTTGAAAAAAAATCATGAACAGGGTGCTTCCTCTTCTCTGCATTTAATAGCATTAGACCTTTTTTTTTTTTTTATTTGAATCAACCAGGAATCCTTGTATAAGTTCTAAAAAAACATTTCCCCCCAACTGGCTCTCTAGTATATTACTATTTTTCATACCTTTTTGAGACAAGTAAGTAAAAATAGATTTACGAACACTGAACCTGATTTAAAGATCATCAGTCATCAGTTACCTGACTCCCAAATTACATTTAAATGTCACTTTTAAATTAAATGTAATTAATTCATTTACCAACATTTTCAAAATGTGCACCCTTGAGAAGAATCCAAAGGAGCTCTGCAAGAGAAAAAATACCCCCAGAGAAGATGGAAACCTAAACCCTTCTTGGATGCTCTGGAATTGTTAGGCTGATAAGACTCTAGGATTTCAAGGTCTCTTCCCTACTCTAGTTAAACATAAAATTCAACATATAGTTCTTTCCTTTAAATCACAATTGGTCCCCAAATTTGGCCTTTTCAATAGATACAGCCAAAACATGAGGAAAAAATAAAGACTTGCCACTAAGTTTTTCCATGAGGCCACGGTGCCTGAGCAAGTAAAAGTTTAGCCCAATCAGGGTACTCACCTTCCAGAGGATCTTTATTGAGACCCAGCTGGCTAATGATGTACCTGGGAATGTCAGTTTTAATAACCTGTCCTTCTTTTGCATGGCCTTCTGCTGCTTCCAATAGGTAGTAAAATTCTTCAGGATCAAACTCCTAGCAGAAGACAAACAGAGATGGATACTTCTTCGAGCCAAAACTGTCTGTGGTTTTATTACATAAACCACATTCACAGTAAACTTGCTGGATATACATGGTAATAAGTTATTTATACAGAAAGAAGGCAGATGGATTACTTCATTTAAAAAGCATATAATTTTCAGTTCATATTCAAAGCCTAATCATATTCTAAGACAATACATTTCAGTACTTGGTAACCCAAAGATAATTTCCATTTCCAACTTCCTTGTAATGTGACTTTGAAGGTGCTAGGCTCCACTTAAGATATCTATCTTATTGAAAATGAACAGGTCGGAATTTTTAATTGTGCCTTTTTAGTAAAGTTTTAAAAATCTGTGAATCTCATCCAGAAGATTCAGTTTCTTTCTCTATACAAATAGCCACAAGAGAAATAATGTTAGGATGCATTTTTCTCAAAGGTTTTGTAGGAAACTCCCTTGGTACAGAGGTGTCCAAAAATATGAGAAAGAAAAATCCCCAAATTTTATCACCGAGCTCTAAAATTAAGTTATTAATATTCACATAATATGAACATTAAGAAAGAAAAATATGAAATTAGTAACTCCAGTTACCTCTGTCTTCAGTAAAAATTTGGGAACACGTTTTTCCTAAGTATTTTATTTTATTTTGCTGTCTGTTGCTTCTAGTATGAAATAAAGATCTTAGGATCACATCACTCTAGATGGATGCCGCGGATTTATGTGTTGTAAACAATTATAGATTTAAAGCACAGTTACTGTTTTCAGTTAGATTTCCTAGATCCTCCCACTCCCAGAATTTTTCTCATTTTGATTAGTGCCCCATATAGGCAACTGTGGAATCTCAGTATTTCACCTGAGAATTACTCAAGTATTTCGCCTGAGAATTACTCAAGTATTTCTAAAGGCCATACGAAAAAGCATGCTACAGAGTAAAGCCAAACCATTGTCCACGCTCAGTACCCTTTACATAAAACTACAACCAGAGACAAGGCAAGCCTGGGACTACAGGCCTAAGAAGACTGGTCGGGGGAAACATTCCCTAAAACTCTCAAACTCCAGTTTCATTTGAGCTTTAAACATCATGGAAAGCAGCAACATCTTCAGATCTACTTCTAAGCTCACTTGTTTCTATCTTTGATAGGCTACATGTACTTTAACTATTTCTCTTCTGATTAAGAGTGATTACTGTAAAAAAAAAAAGTCATTTCCCCTTTTAGGGCAACATCTCTCTTAGCATGTCTGCTGCTGTCCAGAGAAGCAAGTTTTGATGCTAAATGGTATTTTCCCCCAAATTGAACAACTGCAGGGGAGTACAAGCCTGTGGTGCATAATTCAAAAGGTACAACAGGAAGAGCAGGAAAAACTCAGACTTCTGCCTGTATCTGCCAGTCACACAGTTCTCCTCCCCAGAGGCATCCTGAGTATTCTTCTTTCCCTTTATCCTTCCAGAGACACTCACTGCTGAATGATGCTTTTGATTCTGTGATTCCAAGGGTCCCGGCCATTGATGGAAAGCCTTCCTCCACCACACACCTACCTTTCTCCTCCAGACTCACCTTCCACCACATCTCACTATGCACAGGTATATGTTTACGGGGCTATAAACATTTCACTGTTATAGAAAACTATGAATCTTAATTAAAATAAGAGCAAAACCAAAGCAATAATCACCATGTCTGTACATATGTGTACATAAAATTCTGAAAAGCTGTATTGTACTCAGTGTTATAAATAACTATTAGTGAAACTTAAAAGTGAGTTTTGACACTACATTAAGCCCCATAAAACTATTCTTATGTTCGAAGCTTCGTCTTTGTTCAGTGTTGACTGAAATCTCAATCAAAATTACATAAAACAAAGCAAAGATTTTAAAACAGGAAAATGGTCACTGACTAAAGAAAGTATAATTGATAAAACAAACTAATCTTGGAAAGTCTCATTCCTTTAGGTCTGGATAAGGCCATACTGTATTCTCCGAATGGACTGCTGACTAGCACTTATTTCGAACATGCCACATTTAAAAAGTAACAATTATAACCACAGGTCACCGTATATCGTATCTCTGATTTCCCTCTCTCTTCATCTTGGCACCTCCAAAAAAGTGGGGTACAGAGAGTGTTCTAAGTGAGCTACAACATAGAAATTATGCTGAGATAAAGTCAAGCACCTTATTTCATGATCATTTTTTAGGTTTGACCAGACTGTGATATAACTATCTCTTAACACAACACAAGTCCTAGAACTTTTACTGAAAACCAGACAAGAAAAAGCACACACGGCTGTTGTCATCAACATTCACGTGTCGCTGTTTCTCTTGACTCTTTCTATTTAGCTCTTTGAAGCCAAATGCAATTGGAGCTTTCTGGTGGTCCCTGCTTTCCCACAGCTAACAATAAATAACAAAATCACCTCGAGGGGCAACTCACCAGGCACTCTAATAACCGAGCAGGACGGGCAATAACAATTAGGATCTTTCGAACTAGCTGTTTAATAAATGCCAATTCTCCACTTTCTGAACGATCATGAGCCTATGAGGAAGCAATGAAAAGAATGATGAGACAGAGCTGCTCCACTAAATGGGAAAGAAAATCAACAAAGCATGCTAATTAGATAGCTGCAAATATCCAAAAATTAAGCGACTTAGAAAATACTTTTAAAAGGTTGAGAAGCAGACATTATCTCTACATAAATGGACACTATTAAACGTCTATATCTACAAAATGGCTCTATCAGCTAAATTTTAATTGTAAAACTTTGATTTATTCTCTGTGTTAAAAGTCAAATATTAGGGCTCTCAATGGGAACCGTGAGTGAAGTACACATTAAAAGTTCATGACACATTGAGTACATGGTACGAGTAGAGTGGGCAGCCGATGAGGAACCTTGATTTTCTAGGTGTAACTTCTTAAGTGTATGAAATGGCTAACATAGCGAAGGACTGATTCTGTTAACCTGGGCATTTAACACATTCATGAAATATGTTTTATATATACAACACTATTAGCCTGTAAGTTAGTTATTTCATAATATGTAAGAAGTTGTACACTGCTTATTTCAAATGTTAGGTGAATACTGTTTATACTTGGATACATACATATGAATTTGATTTCACATAATGAATAAATAATACCTAGATACTCAACTCAGTAAAACTTAACTGACTCAAAATCTTCTAAAATTTTCTTTTACATGTTGCCTAACATGTGAAATCTAAGCACAAAAGATATCCTGAGGACAGAACTTAGTTTATTAACAGGCATTTTAATTTTCAATATTTTTTGAAGAAATGAGGTAAATCTGTATCAAGGCAGATATAAAACCAAAGTTTTAAAAGTTTAAATATAAACTTCTACACATGCTCACTTTCACGCTTTCTTAATTTTTATGATTTGCTTTCCTTCAAGGATTAAAAAAAAGTATCAAGGTGATGCTGGTGCAATAGAACACAATTTCATAGATATGGTAATAAACATTTAAAATCATTCTTGAAGGTGCTTTATTCTGACAAGAACTAGCCTGCCCATAAAAAGAAGTGTCAGACCAAACCTATGAAAAATGATTATACCTAGGAGTAGTGTGTTTACTAAATTTAAGTCATTAAATCAAAGGCAACTTTCCAAAATGTAGGTAGAGAAACCATATACAGGAAAAGCCAAAAAGCTAACATTTAAAAGAAAAAATGACCACTGGTGAATAACTGTAGAATAGAATGTGTTTAAAGACAGCCAAGTGTCAACTATAACTATAGGTTCTAGTAACCAGTAAGGATGTCAGGACACATACGAGGAGACATACATAATATTTAAACTGTCTTTAAGTTTTCTTTTCATTTTGTAACAAAAACGGATTTAGGAAGATACAGTGAATGCCAAGAAATAAGGTTATATGTCTTCTTTATAGTTTATCCTTAATCAAAACTAAACAGAAAATCTTAAAGATGAAGCCAAAAAGACCCACCTAACTTCTGGACTGACATTCCTCTTACTATAATAATTACTGCTTTATAAATGAAGGAATATAAAGAAAACCTAAAAAGCCTAAACATGTTTTGGTGGTCTCTTCAAGGAGAAACAAGAACTTTATGTCTTAAAAAATTAAAAATAGCTCAGATTATACAAATTCCATTTCAAAAATTGTAAAAATAATCAGTTCATTCCAACTTCTTACTTCTGAGAATTATCAGCCACAACCAAGGCCAAAACACACAATGAGTTATCCTAACACAAATAATATTTTGTCTGCTATCAATAGGGGAGATGGGAACTTTGTTAAAACAACACCAAACAAAACCACACACTCAGCATGAGAAGAGAAATAGTTTAGTGGCTGCCGGCAGCAAGCTCCAGCATTTCTGGATTCCCTGTGTTTGTGCTTTAAGTGTTGGTCAGTATAAAAAATACGGAGACTAAGATTTGAGAGTAGGTTATAGCTTCCTGTGCATTTTATTTTCTTTGGCTAAATACACCTAAGTGAAAAAAAGAATGGAGACATAAAAGCGTTCCTCTGGAATTGACCTAGACCTCAGGACTTTAAAAAGGCATCAGTTAAATCAAGCTACTCAACCTCAGGGGGACTTGGCCTGAGTGTGCAAAGGATTGACAATGGGAACAGTGGCGGGGAGACAGGCTAGGCGGGCACACAATGTCATGGCTGGGAACTGACAATAATTGCATCGACGGGAAGGCAAAGCCAGGCCTCACAATGTGATTCTATCCAAAGGAGCAAGTTCCCCTGTGACCTTCCCCAAGCTCCAAACTCTGGAAGGACACTGTGAATATGATTCTGAAGACAGTTTTAATTTTCACAGAAGGACTGAAGGAAAATGTTTATCTGTGAAAATAAATAAGAAAACATCCTTATTCAAACCTGACAATGCTCTTTATGTTACACACGTATACATGTTTCTCTGCCCAAGAGAGAAATTTCTCTAAAAGTCAACAATGTTAATCTATTACATGGTGCATTCAGATGATTTTTGAAACCCTAAGATTTTTTTAGTTGCCATGAAACAACTTGCCGAGTCTATCATACAGAAACAAAATTAAGTGGGGGATTTCAATGTAAATAGCTTCAGCTTTGGGTTCTACCCTTTTCAGGGAATGCCTATGAAGGAATGAACCACAGAACTCAACCAGTAATTATGGTAATAGCCTGGGACTGAACTATAGAATTAAGGAAGAAGTATCTCACAGAGGTAAATTAATTTTCATCATAATTTATAGTAGAATTGGTCCATGACAAATTGGAAATGGACAACAAAACCTGAAGACAATGTGTTCATCCAAAAACAGTCTGAGAAACATGCCCTTAGTGAGCTGCAAGAGGTTGAAATGTGAGAAATGGGAACGGAGCATAGAAAACTCTGTTGGGAGGTTTAGAATGGAAAAGGGAGGAAAACTGGTGGCTGCTAGTCAGAGAGGGATCATCTCATCTTGCCACAACTAAATTCAGTATGAGCAAGGACAGATGAATTTCTAGAAAATTAGGATGCCAATATTTTCTTTCAGTTCCATGCAATTATTTACACAATCATGCTTAGAGAAAACCACCTACGGTTTTATTTACATCGGCATAATGTATGCCGATGGGATACAGAAATACAATATATCCAAACATATCGGCTAAACAGGTTTTACTTGTAGGCTGTGGCTGATCAATTTCAGTCAGGACAGCAATATTATGCATTAATTGCATTCCACTATACACACTCCCTTCCTGTCCTGGGTGTTATCAGGAGCTAGGACTGCAAGTGTTAGGCCTGGAAGGGGCCTGTGTTTATCTGTCATTTTAGAAATTGGATATTTTGTTAGAAGAAAAACTGACACTAATGAAAATATAAGTTGCCATTTACTACCCAACACCACCTGCAGGTTGATTAATAGGACACATGGCCTGGAAGAAGCCAGCAATTTTCCATTTAGCTTTTCCAGATATTAGAGCTAGATTGCATCATCAAATAATGTACATACACTCAGGCAATTTCTAACTTTATGGTTAAGGAGGGAAAAAAAATCACTGCTTCAAAATCCTTCACAATCCACTTATCCTAGAGCCATAGATTGTTGGGACCCAAGGTTCCTGTAAAGGTTATTAACATTAACTTTCTATTACTCTAAATGTTGACCAGAATCCATTCACAGCAAGTAGCAATCAATTTTTTTTTTTCTTCTTCCTCTTCGCTTCCCTGGAATATGAACTCTGTCTCATGGCTAAAACTTTCTGAGCAAATGCTCTCATAAAAATTTTTCTTATTTCAGGGGAAAAGCAAAACAAATCAGAAAACTTTATAAGGTGTAGGGTCTATACCTCATGTAGCAACTTATCTAATTTGTGCTGTAATTCAAGGAAGTATCGTGAGGTGATGAGACCCTGGTGGGATTTATCCAAGCAATCACGAGCCAGTTCAATAATCTGATGGTGAGTGAAACTAAGCACTCCATCTGCGAGGGGGAGGACGTGGTCCGGGGAGTAGCTGGTGATTATTTCCTTTAGGCGCTCTTCCATCTGAGCTGTAGCCTGTTTAGAGATGACAGGCACACACGGATGTAATACAAGGAAACATATATGTAAACAACTCAATAGTCACATTTATCTAGCATTTACATAGACCTCCACAAGTTATTAAATAGAATTCTAGAAATTAAATTTAAAAGAAGCCTCCCTTCTGTAAGATACTATAATGGTACATATATATCATTATACACTTGTCAAAACCCACGGAATATACCACACGACAGAGAACCCTAATGCAAACGATGGACTTTGGGTGATTATGATGTGTCAGTATGGGTTCATCGATTATAACAAACAGACCACTCTTGGGCTGGGCGGGGGGGATGTTGATGGGAGGGGGCTGTGCATGTGTAGGGTCAGGGAGCATTTGGGAACTCTCTGTACTTTCTGTTCAATTTTGCCATGAACCTAAAAACTAAAGTCTATTTGGAGAAAAAAAAGAAAGAAGCAGCAGCAGCCTCACCATGTGGGAAAAAGATCTGAGGTATATAGGAGAAACTGAATCTCCCAGGGTGATAATTACTTTTTTCCTCTGCCCTATCAAATGTAAAGTGGTACATGTAAGCTTCTCCAAATAACTCAGTATCTGTGAATTGCTGTGCTCTCATTTCAGATCTTGGGCTCTTTCAGATAGATTGCCAAAAATATCAAATATTGTAGCTCTGTTTTTACCTATTCAAAAATCAGGATCGTTGCTGGAGTTCCACAGCGTGGGCCAAGAGTTTGTTCCTTTGGCTGTGTTTTAATGTACTAGGAACAAGCATCCTATACCATCCTTACTCATACCTCAAAAAGCTACATCATGGGCAAATGGCCAAGGGGATTCCCTTGGTAACATAAATCTAAAATTTCCTTCCCAACTTTTATTTCATTTTCTGGGATCCCCGACTGCCTAATCAATGTTCCCTGCCTGCATTAATTGTATATGCTGGGAGACTCCCTCTACCTCCTGTTCCCTTCTAAAATCCTAACCAGTATTAACTAGTATAGTCAGGATCTATTTCCCTGGTGAACAAGTGACATGTGATAAATGGCTAAAATGGCTGTAATCAATGACATCAATGTTGGGTTCATTCCAAATAATAAGTACTCTACTCTTGATTTATGAAGCCAAAGACTTCCTTTTGCTCTACTGCCTAGGGTTACAAAGGTGATGGGGGAGGGACAGGAACAGAATGGAGAAATTGCTTCTCCCAAATGTGTAGGAACACGCTGGTGGAAAAGCTGTGGAGACGAGGTGACAGGAGCTCCTTGCAGCCAGGGCATCCGGCAACAACCCCTCGTCAAGGCCTCTCTGGCTCAGTCCAAATTGCTGGTCTAACAGGGAACACTGCAACTGGACCTTTCCTTCTAAGAGGGTTAGACGTACGATTGCTAAAGGGATTGGAAGCCACGGAAAAGAAAAATCGGGTGAAAAAAGTAAAAGACTTTCGTGACACATACCAATTTACAGGCTTCTGAGGAAAGAAAACAATTTCTGCTTGACCATACAGCAGCAGGCCCGGAACACGGGCAGAAGGAGCACCAGGGTCCAGAGGCCTTTCAAAGCTGACGCTCTCTGGAGTACCTCACCAGGCTCACCCAGTGGGTAGGACAACCAGTGGCACTCACGTTACAGCCAGTTCAGCCCACGGAATGTGTGGCTAGTTCTCGGCAGCTTTTAAAAATGTTTAGTGATTTTATCTTTCTAAAGAAGGCTATGGTGCTATTTTATAAAGAGAGTCCTCAATGGACTGGACCATTACTTCCCACGACAAACACCTTACAGATGCTAAACCTAGGTTGCCCACTTGTTTAGATGCTAGGCATCTTCAATGCAACTCATTACCTTTGGGAATCTTTCCTTGTAGACATGGTTCATCATAACTATTTCATGGTCACAGCAGGCAGGAGAGCGTCCAGGGCTGCAGGCAAAGCAAATTACCCTTTTAAACTTGCCACAGCATGAAATGGAAATAAGCTTTTCATTTATAAACAATTGGTTGCATCAAAAGTACTATGCAGTCTTTGTAAGAAAAGTATATTAGGTAATAAACTACAAAATCAGTCATTAGCACGCATACATACTCACAAACACACAGAAACCCCGAACAGTGTTCATAAAGAAAGCTCCAGAAGTGGAATGCTGCAAATTGATTATAGCTACAATATAAAGGTTCAGAAAATGTTCTTAAATTGTGATTATATTTTGTATGTAGCATGCGTTTGCGTGGTTCTAGAAACCAATTAATGAACTGCAATATAAAAGAAGACAGGGTAGCTACAAACAGCAACATCTAGGGCACGCTGAACTGTATAATTTCACACTTTCACCATACACCTGCGCTCTGCCACGTGCCACTGAAGAGGTTTAAGAGTTTTCCACGGCACAGGTGTCACCACTGAAATCCATTTTCTGGCCTGGCAAATATTTATTTGGGATGCTGAGGAAGGCACTGTGTACAGTACTAAACACAGGCATACAACTCTGTGTCTTCTCTATTTCAACAGGAGGTGCCTGCTCCTTCCTAGTGGTATACAGTCAGGCAATTTCAGTGTGAGTTTATGTATTCCACAGAGGACACAGCTGCTTGTAGTAGCTATCCTAGGAACTCTTTTCGTAAAGCCAAACATGGCACCCATGTGGTAAAATACGACGAATGAATATCCATTGAATGAGTACAGCTCTAAATGAATTTGTAAAATCGGTCTTTTATTCCATATCTCAAAATAATCTAACACAATTGTGCCATGTAGCTGCTTTTACTATAAGACACTAAATAAGAAGGGTACAAGGGGAAAACGCTTCTCAGAAAACTCTGATGTTCAGCTGAACGCCTGACAAACTATGTTTTACAATAAACCTTAATATATCAAAGCGGACCAGCTCTACAGCATGAAGATCTCAAACTGTGGAGGACCTGAAGAAGGACTACCCTGCTCCCCTTGCAGAGAAGGACCTGTTGTCCAGCTGCTGGGATTGCAGAAGGCTTCAGCTGCCAGTCCCTTCAAGGATGGCCTCAGCTACAGAGCCCCCTCACCCAAGGCCATGTCCTTCCCAGGGTACCACATCCCAGGACTGAGGCAGGGATATAAAGGAAGGGCCATCTGGCCCAGAGGGACAGCTCTGATGGGTCGTGTCATCCCTAGAGCTCCCTGTGGGGTTGGCTGCAGCTGTCAGGTCTGCACTGCAGCTAGATTTCTCCCTCTGCCCAATCCTGCTTCCTCCCCAGCTCCCACAGATGTACTTCCCAAGCAGTCCCTAATAAACATCCTGGTCTGTGTTATAGAGTCTGTTTCCTGAAGAGCCAAACTGTGATATACGTAATTTTTTGAGACAAGGCCAAAACAAAACTGGCTCTACTCAGTGTCAAATGGACTACATATGGTACCCACAAAATACAAGGGATACAGACTCCTAACAATTTGCTCCTAATCCTGGAGAAGGTAAGACTTGTGATGGGAGGAAAGAATGAAAGATCTGGGTGGCTTTTCGTAAAGTGGAATCTGAATTCCACATGTGAACCCAAACGTGCTGTCCTTCCTTTTCAGCCAAGCCTCTTCCTCGTAAAATATTAATTGATGTAGCACCATAATTAGATGGTCTTGAAATTTCCAATGGCTCGAAGTTTCTCTAGGTGGTCCCTGTAGTCCATCACGGTTACTGCTACCACAGCAATTAGCAAATTGTAAGGATTTAAAAGAAAAGTACTAAGATGCCTTTCAAGGGTAATTCACGATACCACGTGTAGATGGAAAACTATATATAGTAGTTCATAAATTAATTAGCACATATATGAATTACAGGACCAAAAGTCTTCCCTTGAAATGGTTGAAAAGAGATTATCCAACTCATTGAAATTTTTCAATCAGGGCTACAAACCTCAGACTTCGGGAACGGGGGCGCATGGGTGTATTCCTGCATCTGTTCTCTGTGGCGATGCTTTCGGTGGTACAAAAATGTTTTGATAAGAAGTGTAATTCATCTGGTGTTGGTTGATATGGTAACTGGTGCAACTTCTCCTGGGAGGAGCAGGATGACTAAAACAAGCCAAAGTGAGGTTTTAGGACTAAAATTAGAGAAATTCTTTAAATGAATATGAGATCACAACATTAAATTTTGTTATATCACCGTTTTACACTACATCCTTTCCATGTAATAATTACAATAGCTAGTGCCTCAATGTATACCTTGATGTTGTCTCTGGGAGGTCAAAATGGCTTCCATATTTCATCTCATTTGTCTATAAGATAATTTCCCAAAACAAAGCTTACTCTCTGGAGAAAACCCAGGCTCTGAAAATGGATAGGACCCAGTCAAAGCCACAGCAAGAAAGTGACAATTGGAGTAAGAATTTAGGTTCATTAAATGACAGATTAGTTCACATTGGTATCCTTGCTTCTACCACTTGCCACAAACACTGTGACTTTTAGGTAAGTAACATAAAGTGAATTCTGTGATGTATGGTCATAAATAGGTAATGGGATCTCTCTTTACAAATCAGGCTACCCTTTGATGCAATTTCCATCAATATGTGTCCTGGGTAAAAAGGAAAGGGGATAAAGAAGATACTTGTCTTACTAATGCCATTGTTTTAAAAATTGGAATTTTCTATTTCTGTCTTCTTTGGCTTAGGTTTCTTTAAAAAAAAAAAAAAACCTTCAATGCTGGTGAGTTTTTTGTCCCTTGAATATAGATTTGCTCTTTGAAAACTGTCATTCACCACTTGGAGCAAAGTAAGGTAGAAAAGGTGAATGGCTAAATAACGCTGCTTTTAATCAATCTGAGAAATATAACTATAAAGCGAAGTGATTGCTTTTTTTGTTTGTTTTTATTGAGAGGTGAACTCTTTAAGCATTCTAACAAAAGAGATGAGGAATGTCTGAGTAATGGAAACACAGGTAGAATAAGCATATTTTGAAAGATACCCCTCATTTGAATCTTCCATTCTAGCAGGGTTTTTTTTTTTATTTAAAGAAAAAAACAAACGTGCCACACTAAGAGCACACTTCATAAACACTGCAGCATCACAACGCAGTAACTAGAAATTAATGACTAAAGCTTAAAAGTATCCTTATACCTTGAAATTATAAAACACCTTCTAAGTAGATACTGAGATAAACAGGACAGGACTTTTTACAGTGTAATGAGATTATTTTATAAACTATAAAAATGAGGACACTACTAGAAAGACTTATGAGGTAAACCAAAGCTCTATTCACAAAGTACAGGTATAGTCTTAAATACTGTCACTACAAAGAAAGAAATAAAACACACATAAACTAAGTCAACTCAAGAGATCAGTAAAAGAATAAGAAAATCAATGTCAGCAGGAGAGAAGCAGCAGCGATAAAAGCAAAGATGATGAAATGAGCAAACAGAAAAACAGAATTAAGGATTTGTACATATGTCTCAAAGGTAAGCAATGTCCACAATTCTGAATCCAAGAATTCAAAACCCGGAAGTTTGTTCATAAGTATACAGTAATCCTTTCAGGTGGCAAAGCATTAATTGAACTGATGGAAAGCTATTTAAAATATGTATTTAATCCACTTAGTATGAATGTTGATTCAGGTTGTTGTAGAAATATTAATGTAGTTGATTCTGAGCTGCTGACCCAATTGCTGCTGAGCTGTTATGTACAGTACAGGGAGGATCATGTTACCTTTCTAAAATGTGAAAGTTAATTTCCAAAACACACCAGGCTCAAGAGTTTCACATAAGGTACCGCGGACCCGTGCTTGCATGGCAAGGACACAAACTACTTCAGGAGGGTGGTTCCCTCTGTGGAGTGAGGGAAGAGAAAGGGAATGGGTGCGAGGGACTTCAGTTGTATTTTAATGTTTAATTTATTTTAAAAGTTTATTTAACAAAAAGCTGTAGCAAATATAACAGAATATTAACACGTGCTAACCCTAAGATGAAAATTTTGTGGTTATACCATATACATAACCATATAACTGAACTCCATAGGGAATATGCTCTGGGCTTACTGATGGGGATATGTTAAAATGAATGAGGAGGTGGGATAAGTAAGTGTTAGAGAAGTGAGAGGCAAGGGGCTTCTCTGGGGAGAGAGCTTCTCTCTTCTCAGTTGGAACAAATAAGGTGTAAATGGGAAAAGGGTGACACCGAACCCAAGCGACGTCGAGATGAGTTTATGGAACTGGGAACAACTGTAGGCTCTCCAAATGGCCCAGGGATTCAAAAGGTACCAAACAGGGCCCCAAAAGTGAGTCAATAATGGACAGCAGAGAAGTCCAGGGGTCAGTTTCAGCAGAGGTCAGGAACTCAAAGGAGAACTTGTGAGTCCAACAGAGGCTGCAGGTGTCATCCTCAGGACCTCATATACTTACTGAAAAGATACTTCCGCTGGTCAACGCATCCTTGGAACAGCACTTTTACTAGAGTTTCAAGAATTAGTTTGGGAATTTCCCAATAAACTGAGTCCCATGACTTTATATTTCTAGTATGTTCTCTAAGTGTGGCGCCAGTGAGTCTCATCACCCAACTAGTTTGCATGTGACTTCTGACTACATGAAAAATCAAATCCACTTTCAAAGAGTGAAGATTTACAGAAAAAAACTGTGCTTCTACTTCTCAAGGCAATAAGAGTTCCCCCAAAATGTTCTGAGTAATGGTATCATTCAAATAAACATTTAGTCTCTCAAGATAACCATTTTGCAAGGGATGGTATCCATATGCATGTGTAATTTTCCACTTGTTATTTATTAAAAGTAATATTATTTTATAGTCATACCTCATATTTATAGGTATTTATTTTCGTATTTCCATTCTTTCCCTCAGCAGAAAATAATTCATCTGGTAAGAAATACATGCGAGATGTCCTCCTACTGCTTCGATTCCATATTACTTATATTCAAATTAAAAATTATGTTCTGAATATTATCTTGGAAAAGCTCTGCAAATTAATTTTAACTACAAAATTTGAAGTTAAGAGAAGCTGCAATAGTAAATATTCTGTGGAAGGACTGATTCTCCACATGGCCAAATCTTTCCAATTTCAGAATAGAGCATTTTAACGCTTGTGAATTTTGCAGTTTACATAATATCCAAAGGATCAAGACATGGCGTTTACCTTTCAGGGTTAGTAATCCTGGAATTCAGCTAACAACAATTATCTGTAAAACTTAAGCTGCATTTTCAAAGTGTCTGTAACTTATTTGTACATATTCTGTGTTTTCATCTTAACAACTAAAATGCATTTCTAATTAGCTACATCACAACCAGTTAACCCAGAAAATGAGACTCTAAGAGTGATTCAGGTTAGATTTAGAAAAGAAGAAAATGCAACTCCTAAGCAGTTTTGCACAATGTTCGCCCTAATATATGAAGGGCGAGAACATAAAGAAACTGGGGTAAATGAGAAGCAGCGTTTTAGATTTTCAATTAGCATTTTTTTTTTTTTTTTGCGGTACGCGGGCCTCTCACTGTTGTGGCCTCTCCTGTTGCGGCGGAGCACAGGCTCCGGACGCGCAGGCTCAGCGGCCATGGCTCACGGGCCCAGCCGCTCCGCGGCATGTGGGATCTTCCCGGACCGGGGCACGAACCCGTGTCCCCCGCATCGGCAGGCGGACTCTCAACCACTGCGCCACCAGGGAAGCCCTCAATTAGCTTTTTTATCAATAACCAATAAGGAGAAAAAATAGCCAAACTTCTGGGCAACAGAACCTACACTCCCCAAATTTAACAGTTCCTTTGGTCTTTTGGTAAAAAGGTTAATTTTGAAAGTTAAAATTTGATTTTGAAGGGAAGAATAGGAATAAGAGATCAACAATTATACGATACTACCTTCTTCAATAAAATAAACACTTAAGAGAAAAGCTGCCCTACCTCTGGGCAGAAGCTGTTAGAAACACAGAATACATGTGTGTGACTAAAAATTGTCTCAGGAAGCTTTCTCTTTAGGCATATATGCAAGTCAGGGACAGCCCTGATTCCATTATGACAGATGGCCAGGTCAGATTTATTAATTATCAGGTTTGTTTTAAGAAATACCTTGTAAATTCCTTTAAAAAAAAGCCAAGCGCCTAGAACCCTTACTTGTATTCTTACTGCTACGACAAGGGGGTTAGTAGACAGCCCTTCGGTTCATTCTCTGGGCCTCAGAGTTTTGATCCATAAAATGATGACAATGATGACAACCACATTATGAGGTATGTTTCTACAATTAAGCCAATCAATGCGTTGTAAGTAGTGAGGCTAGTACCTAACACATAATAAGTATTTATAAAAATATAATTTCCAAAGTAATCCGTACCAAATGGGGTCCAATTCTATGTAGCTCACCTTTGCTTTTTGGATTCACTTTTTAAAATAACGTATGATTTACTAGAGATGGAAAGAAGAAAGATCCTGTGTTCTCCCCTATTTTTCTTGCAAAAGAGAAATTTCTGTATCCAAACTATAATAAAACTTGACTGAAGGGCAAAGCAAGGCGATATAGTAAAAATAAAAAGGATTTAGAGTCAAGGAACATGATACACATTTGGGGTATGGGGAGGATTCAGTGAGAGTATGTACGAGTAAGCCACAGGGGACAAATACTCTGTTTACTGGTGGTTGGGTTCTAATAGGAGACGCTTAGGAGTCTAGGGAAGAACACCACTTAAAATTTGAAAATTATTCTTTTTGCTTTTTGGTCAATCAATGTCAGCGTTCATGTTCACACTGTGGCGGCCCATACTTTCAACATCTAAAATATGTGTATAACTGAGTCACTTTGTTGTACAGCAGAAATTAACACAACATTGTAAATCAACTATACTTCAATTTTTAAAAAGTAAAATAAATAAATAAATAAAGCTCCGTGGAGACATATCTCACAACATCACTAATTTAAACTGAGAAAGCATGTATCTGACCCACTGAATCACTTCTAGTAATTGCTAGGGCTCCTGTTGAAATGTAGTTTGTGGCAAGAGTATCCCTTCTTCCTCTATCCTATTTTCATTGTTTCATCTTGTCTCTTTATTGATCTTAATCTACTACTAAGTTCTTTTAGTCTCTCCTTAAAAGAAAGTTCTTATCCAGAAGGCACAGATTTAAGGCTTGACATTTTCTTTCTTTGAATGAGAAAAACTAAAAAGAAAACCTCTGCATATAAGCCACACAAGAAAAAAAACGACCCAGGCCATCAAAGTTTAATGGCATTTTCAGTACTAATATCACTGGCATGGAGCCAAAGCAATGAAACCAGATTATGTTTCCTCCTCCCACCCAAAACACCAAATAGTATGAAAAAGAAAGCTCCCAGTCTCCTCCCAACTGGTGATCCGGGGACTCACTCAACTTGTGCATCATAGTTTAAAAGCGTGCAGCGAAAAGTATGTCCTTTTAATGTTTGTCAGCTCATCATCTGATGTGTTGCCTACTCTGAGGGGCAGATATGCAGAAATTATCCTTTCCTTCCTATCAGGAAGCACCCAGAGAAAGCACTGCCTGTGTAAGAGCTCTGGGGTGTGAGAGAGGAAAAGTCGGGCACTTACAGAGACCGTGGAGCTGGGCGTGTTTGTCCCATAGCCAGAGGAGGGGAGAGAAGCCAAGGACCAGCGGCGTCCATCAGTCCTGGTGAGAAAGTGAGATTAGCTTAGGCCAACGCTGGATTACGGTTACATGGGAACCCCAGGGAAACCGAGTATTTTTAGTTGAACAAATGACACAAACACAGTCAGTGAGGATGTGGAAATGTTCAGCAAGGGCCAGAGTAAACAAACATTATACAGCAGGTTGACTTTTATTTAAAGTGAATCAATACACCCAAACAAGCAGAAAGTGAATGGGGTGATCCATATTATTGATCTCTCACTAATACACTTTGACAAAATGAATACCAGGGATAATTACATCAGTCAGACTCAGCAGATTCAGATGAATAAAAACAGAAAGGGAGGAGGAAAAAACACTCTTATCTGGAAACTGATAACCGGGGCCATGATCTTTGGAAGGGCCTGCATTCCAGCATGGTACAAGAGCCTGTGGGGACTTCCATTGCATCCTCAGGACTTTCTGCTTATTATTTTCAAGGGAGCAGTCCTACTCATCACACGGAGGGGAGAAGGGATCGGGGGGCTCAAGACCGGCTCAAGCCTTAAGTGGCAAATAATTTGAGCACTAAGAAAGTGACTGACCTTGTGCACAGACTCTCTTAAGAGTTATTATACCTTCTGACACGACCTGGCTTTATAAAGTGTTCCAGCAAAAGCCTCTTGCAGGGTTTATGAGTATGCAGCCCAGCTCTAGCCAGTGAGAGGGAGGGAAGAATGAAAATTCTCCACTAGTGATAGAGCCTAATGCAAAGAGTAGGGTTACCTGCCCTAATCGTAGAGGCAAAGCTGTCAGGAGTCTTAACAGAGTATGGTTTTTATCTCCAAGTCGTAACAGGACGGATAGCTTCTGGGCTGAACTCTGGCTATGAATTATAGTCATTACAAGGGTCTCAGATGAGCTGCTGGAGTAGTAAAGACAACACTGTCGCTAAGGCAAGGGGACACCAGAAAGTCAATTTTTTCTGAAATCTCTGGCGTTCCAGAACCATTAATTTACTAGCAATTTTGAGTGAACTATGCCTTCAAAATCACGTAACAGTGTGAAAACAAATATACACACATTTGCCACGAGGAATACAGGAAACACATACTTTTCTAAAGAGCTATACTGCTTTCTTAGATGCAGGATCATATGTAGACTTTTTGTAACTCATGATTAGATTAATCTACCAAATGAGAGACAAGAGTAGACCAAATTTACCACAGACACATTCACAGTAAGCTGAAGTCGGGGAATTCACCAGCATTCGACTTGAATCTGAGAAATGTCACAAGCAGATGTTTATGTAAAAAACCGACACTGTAGCCTAAATCACAGTCAAGGGAGAATACAATCATAGGCCACCAGGGATGTTGCCTCCAAAAATGCAAATGGTCCACAAAGACAAAATGGAGGAATTCAGGTGGACAAATCACAGAAGCAGTACAATGTTAAGATTTTAGTAAAATTTACCTGTCATTTCTGTGACCATGGTTGGAGTACAATTGAATCAAGTATGGTTTTTTTTTTTTTAAAAAAGAAGCAAAATAAGATGTTTGTAAATATACCAGATAAAAGGAATGAAAAGAAATAAATCACATGTTCTCTAGAAATAATTTTATACTACTGAAAATGTTAAAAGAAAATAATTCTAAAAACATGCTTATAAAGACATCTGACCATCAATTAAATGGACACAGGTTGGATCTAGTTTATTTACCTAATTATTAAAGACTTAACCCATTCCTGGACTTTCTATTTTAAAAAGCTCCAATTTTTAAATGGACTTGTTCAGTCCATTTAATAGCAATTATCAGAAACTAGTCTCTGGAAAGAGTGAGGGACACAATTTCCCCCACCATGATTTTGCTTTGTGATTCCTTAACTCTCCTTTCCCTCAGGTATCAATGAACATATTTCAGATAAACGAACAACTCCAAGAGGAGACATGTTCTTATTAGTTCTGAAGCATAAATTACATTTGCTTACTCTGGAAAACACACAACTAGAAAGATGTTTAAACAAGAATATGCTCAGTACTCTGTGCAGCCACGGACCAGAAATAAGTTATGTCTCATAAAGTTGCCTAAGTTGTCCGTGTCTATCTACTCCAATGGAGCACAAAGGACCATTGCATTTTCATTACCATGACAACTGCCCGTCAGAAATTCCTATATATGCTATATACAGTGCTTAAGAGAGAGCATGCCCTTTTTTGAAGAAAGCTATCACAAGTATAATTTGGATCCTACTAACAATGTTCTCTTTTCTTTGCAGCAGCTACCAGTAAAATGCTACCTGAAAACAAGAGTACATTCTTGCCAAAGCAACAAGGCTTTTTTGAAGAGTGCTTTCTTTGTGGGTGGAAATCTTAATGTTACGCTAAATGAAAAAGTAAGAAGGGAAAAACACCTGATGGGAACACAGGATACAAAGAGATTGGCAAACAAAAAACAAAAACAAAACCCCCCAAAACCCAAAAAACCCACATCATTTCAACACTAACCACAAAAAGTTAGATTAATATGGTATAAAACAAAGGAAGAAAGAAAAGTCCCTATTACAACTGTATGAAGAGGAAGATTTCTTTGTTTGTTTGTTACAGTCATCTGGTGTGAAACATTTTATGGTCTAGCTGATATTGGAACAAGATGAATTATGCCAATATAATGCAACCAGAGTAACTCTGCCCACCAGTGCTCAACAAGTGTCTCATGACCTGACCTCTCAGCAGGCAGGTCTGTTCCAGTAATTTGCTTACGGAAATATATTCTGAGATTTAACCTGACAAATAACAGCTAGACAGCTAGGAGACATCCACAACAATTATTCAGGGCTCTATTTCCTTTTTAAAATTTTTTTAAAAATTTTAAAAATTTATTTATTTATTTGTGGCTGCATTGGGTCTTTGTTACTGTGTGCAGGCTTCTCATTGCGGTGGCTTCTCTTGTTGCGGAGCACGGGCTCTAGGCGCATGGGCTTCAGTAATTGTGGCACGTGGGCTCAGTAGCTGTGGCTCACACGCTCTAGCGTGCAGGCTCAGTAGTTGTGGCGCATGTGCTTAGCTGCTATGCAGCGTATGGGATCTTCCCGGACCAGGGCTCGAGCCCGTGTCCCCTGAATTGGCAGGCAGATTCTTAACCACTGCGCCACCAGGGAAGTGCCTCTGTCTATATTTCTAATGACAATGAAAGCAACTTATGTTACCTAAACCTCTACAACTTCTGGGGAAGGCAGAACAATGTCATTACCTCCAGTTTACCACCACCAAGAAATAAAACATTAAGTAACTCCACAATCAGATGGATTGTAAACCAGCTTCATCACAGTGATTAGCAAATTACAAAATATGTTTCCTTGCTCCAGACAAAATCACAGTGATTAGCAAATTACAAAATATGTTTCCTTGCTCCAGACAAAATCTACTACACTATGATGCTCATTTTCATCCTTTTATTTTAACTCGATACTAAAAAATTAACTTGATAATTTTGCTCTCAAACACCTATTAGATAATATGGAAAGCAAGTGTGTGTCATCCTATTTCCCAGTCTGAAATTCAACATTACAGGGGATGTCTACTGGGGGGTAAATTATCACATTATAAGTAAGATCAGAAAAGATTAATAAGTCTGACCTTTATCCCGTCACCCAAGAATAATTTTTAAAATAGGACAATCTCTCCCCTCTGTTGGACTGAATATACAAAATGATAAAATGTGGGACTCCCTAAATGGCAGTACTTCCTGAAGGCTCAGAAATGCACGCCAAATGGTAGGGAATGGAGACCCATGGAATTTCCATGTTTCTTGAATGAAAAATCAACTTTAAAATGGAAGAGAAAGATGACTGATGTCAAATAAAAATAGGCCAATTTGAGTTCACATAGCAAACACAGGGTTCTATTTACTTGAATAAAAGTTCAAAAAGATGATCACTCATGTCCTAATCTAAATTAATGCTTTTTGAAGAGTGTGGAGGGAGTTCCATCTGGAAATTCCTGCAAAATGAACCAGAGGTCTCCTGTGATAATCTTCTGTTACGGTTTATTTGTCGAAAATTAACATGCCTAGGGGTTTGTGTATTTTTTTTTTTTATAGCATAGAAACCAAATTCATCTGTCCTCCAGTCAGCCACTTAATTATTAGATTCTCTTCATTTTTATAAATCTGGCAGGATTAAAAGACTGATTTCAGTCGCGTTTAAATGAGGGCTACAATGACATTTGCATTTTCTTTCTACTTAAAGTAATTAAAGGCATTCCCTTTTTAAGAGAAATGTATTTTAAAGACTATGGTATGTTCTCTTTTTTTAAAATCAGTTTTTATAAGATTTCCCTTTTCACTTAGAATGGTACCACCACAGTGAATTAATATTCATTGGGCAAACAAACACAGGCTTTGTGAGACCAGCTAATTGTCACATTTCCTTTATGGTGTTTAAATGAGCACTGAAAGTATCAAAGTTGGAATTGGGGAAAATTGGGGTGTCGGTCTCAGGAAGTTCATTGGAGATCACGTCTTAATTACTCTTGTGTCCTCGCTATGGTGGAGGCCTGGTACACACAGGCATTTACCATATGGTGGGGAATGTGTGATTTTACAAGAGAATCTTAATTTTCAGGAATTCTGAAAATACTGCAAGCGGATCCTTTTCTCTGGATTTAGTTATATAAAATGCATTGAATGCTGACAAAAGACAGTGAAGACGTTGCAGGTCTTGCTCGTTAGTAACACGTGTTAAATCTATTTTTTTAACCTACCTATGTGTCTTAATTAAATGCTACTTTAATTCATTTCAAGGTATGATTAGGTCTCTGAAGAAAATTTAACAAATATCTAGGACAGGGACTTCCCTGGTGGCGCAGTGGTTAAGAATCCACCTGCCAGTGCAGGAGACACAGGTTCGATCCCTGGCCAGGCAGATCCCACATGCCATGGAGCAACTAAGCCCGTGTGCAACAACTACTGAGCCTGAGCTCTAGAGCCCGTGAGCTACAACTACTGAGCCTGCATGCCACAACTACTGAAGCCTGTGCGCCTAGAGCCCGTGCTCCACAACAAGAGAAGCCACCACAATGAGAAGCCCGCGCACCGCAATGAAGAGTCGCCCCCGCTCGCCACAACTAGAGAAAAGCCCGCGCGCAGCAATGAAGACCCAACGCAGGCAAAAAAAAAAAAAAAATATATATATATATATGTATATATATATATATATATACACACACACACACATATATATATAAACAGGCCATAAAATGAATTCATTCTGAATATGCAGAAACCTCACTAAAGGGACAATTTTGTTTTCCGTGTGTTTTTCCTGGGTGGAAGAAGGCAGGGTATACACATGTTGAGAGGGATGACGGAACCCAGGAAGGTGAAGATTTGAATGTGACAGGGTGAAGTACGCTAATTCCACGCACACAACACAGAAGAGGTGGCTGTGTAGACTCCTCTGACTGGGAGAAATCACAGTAGAAGATCCAGAACTGAAAAGGTTTGATAATAGATCATATGCCCACTGTCCTCTGAGCAACAATACTTTCTCATGACTCACTGACCCAGATATGAGACATATAACTTTGATATGTGGTGTCCAATTCTAACTCAGATAGGAAGAGCAAACATAAAACACCCTCATGGCTTTATCTCAGGGAGATCACTAAATTGCTGGTTTGGTGCCCTCAAGGAAAGGCATCTTAGAGTTTATACCTTGTGATCCCAAGTAAGGTCATTTTTATTAAGGGGGGGAAAAAAAAGGTATTTCAACAACAACAAAAGCAATTGCACCAAGACATATAGGTGAATCAAGTTCTTATAATATAAGCTCAGATAATTCAGTAAAAATCTGTTGATCATCAAAAGCATGTATGAGACACTGCACTGGGGATGGGAGAAAAGGTGGAAATGGTTTTCTCCTGCCCTCAGTGAGAGCCCACCATCTAGGAAGGACCAAGAGAGGTACATATAGCTCTAAAGGGTAGTGGAGGGAGTGGGCTGGGGGAATGGGATTCTCCACGTAACACTTCATTATTCTACTCACAAGAAATCCTTACCTCCGTGCAAATGAAAAATGGGCAGAGGCACTGGGGGAGAAGTTTCTTGGACTATCTTGAGGGCTATTTCCTGTAGAGAGAAAGAAGAAAAAAACGTGACATCATGACTTTGTTTTTGTATCTTTATCTACATCCAAAACCTTCTTCTCTTTAGTAGTAAGTTTCTGTACACTTTTGTAAAATGTCCATGTCCTCAAAAAATGTTTTACTTTTACTTGGAGAAGAGACAGGGGGTCAGCTTGAGCTCCAGCACAGCTTTCCAAGTGTGTAATATATGAATAAACAAACCTACATCACCAACCAGCAGTTTTCCATATATTTAACAACCTAAATATTTCAGTCCTACAGAATAATGAATATACAAATGTCCTGGTTCCTACTCTTCCAGATGTTAACATTTCCAACAGCAGGATGGATGGAGAAGTATATGCTTCAATTGGGAGGGTGAGGCTTTCTATTTTAAGGAGGCAGTCTTGATATTTTTATTTACAGAAACTGAAATAAAATTCTGAGCTCTCAAAAATGAATCCTCATATTTCAAAGTACATATTTTAAAGGGAGAAATGTCAGAACAAGTCATAAAATACTGGGGAGAACCCAACAGTTCAGACCTATTCCTCAAATGATCCAGCTCTATCTCAGCATGGCCTAGTGGCCCAGCAGGACTAACCCTTATCCGTATTTCCTTCAATAGTCTCTCTGCTCCTAAGCAGCTGGGTGGTGACTGGCCAGGCAGCCTTTAAAAGCCACACACAGAGGCTGGCAGAGGGTGTCTTCCCCAAGTCCTCTGGAGGCAGGTGGAGCACAGGTTGCTTTCTGTAAGGCGGCAGCTCCTGGGGGACTTGCTACTTTCCCCATCAGAACATGTAACCTGCTACTGATCACTGAGAAAGCTTGGCAGGCAGCAGGTGAGGGGAGGTTCAGGGCACTCCAGACCACCCTGCTTCCCTCTGCATGTTTAATTAGGTTGAGAATTTCCTGAGGACCGGATGGGACTGTAGCTGGTGTAAATAAGGAGGTTAGGAAAGGTGGCAAACTAATCCTGTATGTTCTTGAAACACAGAAAATAAATCAAGAAGACATGTTTAATCCTTAACAACAAGCCAGTTGCCACATTACTGATTTCTTACCGGAAGTGACAATTGTAATTAGGGGTAAGGAATACAAGGCGGCACCTTCAAGTCAGTACCTAGCTACACAGGTAAACAATTTATTACCTGTGTGCAAAAAGAATAGATTAATGCATTAAAGTGGATAATTTCAGTGTTACCTGGAGGACTTCTGGACTGGCTACACCTCTACAGAAATTTTTCAATTAAAGTTGCAGATTTTATAGTGATGGCACCAACAGATGCCATTAAGTTTCTGACAGACAGCACAATTAAAGCCATTTGACTGGGAAGCACTGAAAAGCCCATTTCTTTACCGATAGAGAATCAAGAAGCATTTCCCCCCTGCAGCAATGAAATTTATCATGCCTTTGCATCTGTTGTTCCTTGGGCCCCTGGAGAAATGGATTCTGCGTTTGCCATCCAGCAATCCAGGACTCTTTTTGTCCATTTATCTACACAGCTAAATTAAGTTCTTTGAACTTTTCCCAACAGCCTTCATTCTCCCTGCCCCCCCCTCCCCAATTTAGTTTGTGCATCACTCTTCATATTCCTTAAAAGGTCTTGATTTCAAGATGGCTAGAAATCTTGTTTCTAAAGGGAAACAAATCAAATGCCAGAAATCTCCATGTCGATTTTGTTTTTATTTGGGAAAAAAACGTTTGCTTTGCTCACACCCCACACAGAGCAAACTACCAGTAAATTATGAGGAGAAACAAAACAATTGATTGAAGCCAAGGCATTCTGAGAACAATCCCTGCTACCCTATTCACTGAGAATAAATAATAAGGCCAGTGAAACTTGGCACCAAATTCTTAGCCCTGTGTTCTTTGTAAAGAGAACACTATATCTGGAGATTATATGAGATCAACCAGAACAACTAGAGAGAGCTTATTAAATGTTTTTAAGACTCTGAAGGAGGGAGAGACAAGGAATTATCTTAAAAACCTTTTCACTTTTAGAGATTTTAAGGAGTGGTCCCCCAGGAAGCTATGTAACATCTTATAATACATGGCGGACCATCACTTTGAGGATGAATGGGCAGAGATGGAGATACAGAGGTAGGTTAATTTAACTCTGCTCTTTAAACAAACAAACAAACAAACAAAAAACCCAGGGCTACCATTAACCATTTCTCATCTTCGGGTTTTGTCTTCCTATTCCATGCTGCCTTTTCAGGCACTTCCACTGACAATGTTCCTCAACTCCAAGCTATAGAGCCATTCCTATCATCTTACTAACCACAGATCTTTCTTCTTGTTTCATGTCTGACTGAAGAGCTAGTTGAAATGCAAATACACGCCCCTGCATTATCACAAAGGCCCTTAAATGCAACGGGATATTGGAGAAAATGAAGGTGGCATCAACTAGACTGATAATTCCTTAAGGACGAGACACTATAGCTTAATTTGAGGTCAGTTCAGCAAGCTGGAGATAAACAGAAGGAATGGAAGGACTTCAGGAAGGGGACAGAATCAACCCAAACACAGCGGGGCAATGCAGTGGAGACAGGCTCTCTACAAGCAGGGAATTCAGACTGGTAAAGCCAATGAGTTGTGAACTACATGTATTGGTACTACCTAGTGGAAGGCCTTAAGAGATGTTTGGATGCAAGAGAGATGCTAAGAGATTTTAAACTGGCATTGAGTATGCCGAGTGGACAGATGTGCTGCCGAGGAGAAGGAGCTAGATTAGGACATGGAAAGCCAATGGAAAGGATATTCTGGTGAGCAAACCAAGGGTAATTGGTGATGGATTAGAAATAAGTCATGAAAAAGATTACAGACTAAAAGTGACTGAGGCTTCCAGTGTGAGTAGACTGTCCCATTAACAGGGAACTTTTAGAGAGAAGTGGGGCGGTAGTAATAGTAGAAGAAAAGGGTAGATGAGTATTCTAGACATTTTTGTCATTTGTTACAGAAAATTCCTCTATTTTCCTTAGGGAGAGATTAGAAGATTAGCAGATTAAATAGGCAGAAGTCAATCTTCGAGGTCTTTGTTCTTATTTGAAATAAAAATTGATTTCTATGTTGTCTCTTAAGTCTTAGGGGTACTATTTTATTTTATTTTATTTTGCGGTATGCGGGCCTCTCACTGTTGTGGCCTCTCCCGTTGCGGAGCACAGGCTCCGGACGCGCAGGCTCAGCGGCCATGGCTCACGGGCCCAGCCGCTCCGCAGCACGTGGGATCCTCCCAGACCGGGGCACGAACCCGTGTCCCCTGCATCGGCAGGCGGACCCTCAACCACTGCGCCACCAGGGAAGCCCAGGGGTACTATTTTGTTATACAAAACAACACTAATTTAGAACAGATTGAATTATAAAACACACCTTATATAGTCTTAACTTAGAGATGAGGACGAGACTGTTGTGGACACGCACAGCACTTCCCCAGGACAAGAAAGTAAGCTGGATTGAAACCAGAGTCCTATACTTGACCTTCACTGCTCACCGCACTGCTCTCTGAATTCATCCACCCATCTGCAAAGCAATACCTGAGAGACTCTCAAACGAAAACTGGTGCCAGTTAATTCTCTGCCCATATGTGCGACACTTGCTTAGAACACAAATCCAGCTGTTCCCAGGGATGTGCTGCCTCTTGGATGTTTGAGTGCCATGACACTTTATAGAGTACTGTTTCTGACCTGGTAAAGGAAACCTTAGTCGTGGTCAGGCGTTGAATAGGTAATTAACTCCAGGATCCCCAGGGGCAACTAGCGTGGCTAATACACAGGCAGTACATCAAAACAGTACTTTACCTAACGGAGCTACACAGGGCGCCTCATTTTAGAGGCAGTTATTGTTAAGAAAGTGATTTCCAGATTAATTAAATTGTTTGATTGCTTTGTAATTAGGTTGGAGAAGTCCTGTGTCTTTACCGCAGAGAAACAAGCTGCAAATCTTTTTAGAAGGCATATGCTATACCCACTATACATTATTAACGTGCTTTTAATAGCTGTCTGTTCACAAAATGATAGTTTCTGGTTGCCGTGATTTTCTATCAGGACTTGAGGGATCCAAGAATTAATGATAATTGCCATTTGAAACTCCTGGTAGATCAAAAGGGTAAGCCCTCACTTGAATCCTCGTTGTCATTACTTGGTGATCGGCTTAAATTCGTTGTGACTTTTTTACACCATAACAACCAGCGCTGTGTTTCTTAATCGTTCTGCAGGAGATTCTCAGCGACGAATTGACACTGCTGAAAAACCTTAAGTCGAAACTTCACAGGACCAAACCTAGGACCCCCTCACAAGATGTTATGGCAGCAGATAAAGGGGGCAATGGAACAAGTTATGCAGGGACCTCAAGCTGAGTGGACTTTGAAAAATAACAGTTCAGTTTCACGTGAGAACTTTAAGTCTATGCTACCAGATCCAGCGGACGCCAGAGAAGAGTTAGAAATCCTCCTTTCACTTAGCTGTCTCAGAAACTGGCTCCTCTCCAGATATAACTGCAGAATATTAATTAAACCTGGACAGCTGTTTAGACTCTAGGTGGACAGAGAGAAACCTTGATTAGCCTTGGGTGGCATTCTCTCAGGGTAAGCTGTGAAGTGTTCACAGCAGGCCAATAAATAGATTTTTATGCCTGGGTTTTCAGGTAAAGAGAATTATGCACAATAAATCAAGCCTTTCTTAAAATCTGGCCTCTCTGAACCTCTTTTGGTTTTCCCATCCCTGCCATATTGATCCTTCTTACCCAATACCACTACTCACTGTCATCTGATTAATTCATTCAACAAATACTTATCAATATATAAATGGTGTGATTTGATTTGCATTTTAGAAAGAGCCCTCTAGCTCTTCTGTGGCCAATGGGCTCTAAGCAGGCACAAATGCAGGAAGCAGGGGAGATCAGTAAGGAGGCTACCAGCATAGACAAGGTATGAGATGATGGTGGTTTGGACAGGATGGGAGTAGATCTCAGGTATGTTCTGGTTGTAGAGACAACAGGATTTA